CGCTTATCGCGGCGTGCATCTTAGGCCTACTGGTAGAGCTCGACGTCGAGACCAACCACCAATACCTAGACAGCTGTAGCCCAATTCTTTTTACGTTCGTTAGCGATGTGTGTGACATTACAATGTAGGTACCTACATCACATTTTTTTACAATGATCTAAGTACCTATAGGTTACTTTATCTATTTTTATAATACTTTATCTATTATCTAAGTAGGTACATAGCAGGTACGCAGAACTGACGGCCGATGGTTCTGAAGTGGAAGCCGCGTACCGGAAAACGCAGCGTAGGACGCCCACCCACCGGTGGTCGACATCATAAAGGTAGCAAGCAGGAAGGCGCTGGACGCAGGCCGCTTGGAACATGGAAAGCATGTGGGAGGCCTATGTTCAGCAGTGGACGTCATATGGCTGAGATGATGATGACGAAGTAGACTTCAAAACAGACCTTTTACTTACACAATCCCATTATAATTTCAACTTATCGTAAGTACGGCTTCGGGTAATATAGACATTAATTTGAACTCTCCGTAGGTAGATACTTAAGTACTGCTTCGGGCATCCAGACAAAATAGCCCGACTGGTTTTTAACGTGATGAAAATCGAACTTAGTTGATTGAACCATGACCTCTGGGGCTCCTTTCATTTTAACAGGATTCCTTTTTTTGAGACATCAAAGATTTCTTTCATCCTTTTATTACATATCAAAGCACTGTTTGTATGTTTTTAACAATCACATCAAAGGAATACAACTTATTGATTGTATTGTTACCTACGTACCTACACTTGGTAAAAAGAAGTGAAGTACCTAGGTAGGTATACATATTTTGACCTTATAAAAAGTAAGGAAGGATAAAGGTTCCATAATAATAACAATAAAGAGTAAAAGTAATGTGATATACATGTTACAGGAAATGTATGAATTCTAGGAATTGTATAACTACTATTCCTAGGAAATGTATACAATTCCGAAGCTATTTAGGAAATGTATAAAATATTGTTACAGAGATTTTTTAATACGCACATATTACGGAATTTTATAGAATTCCAACATTGTATTAGGAAATGTATAAAACTAAGCGGCACTAACGCGGTCGCGTGATCGGGTGCCCCTCGGTACGCCTAAAATTTCATTTAGCCAAACCACATTGGCCTATAGGTCCACTTTAAACTCACAATTATTATTGTTTAGCCTGACAGTTGTTTTCGCACTATTATACTTTGGCCGAAAAAAATATTTGCCTAAAATTTATTGGCATAGGGGCCGTCCATATATTACGTCATTCTAAATTAGGGGGGGGGGGGTTGGTCTGCGGATGACGGTAAATGATAGATAGGGGGGGGGGGGGGGGTCTAAAATCTGAAAAAATCGATGACGTAATTTATGGACGGCCCCATACCTACCTTCCTTTCGGCATCACGCATATTACGCTGAAGTATTGGAAATCCCTAATTTTAACATCTCTTTTTTTAAACTGTTTTTGGCATGAAGGTTTTAGTACTCCTGTAGCTGGATAACAAAGTCTCGGTTAGGTTAGGTTAGACTTACGACCTCCCCTCACACCGCATGTCCACGCATATTCATTGAAATCTTATAGGTTATTACATTTCCAATTTCTGTTTAGGAAATGTGTAAATTTCCTAGGAAATGTGTCGAATATAATTTACATCACACATTTCCGCGTGATTTTAGGCATTATACACAATTCCTAGGAATTGTATACAATGACGGATTTCATACATTTCCTGTAACATACATAATTTTACATGATAGTAAACCCGTGGGTATCTAGCTCCATAGTAATTTTATATTTCCATTTACAATTTATATAATCTTATTTACTTAGTTACTAGGTCGGAAAAAGAGTTTTACCCCTTTTTCCAATTTCACTGTAAAGGCAATCAATGCTCGGTCACTTCTGAGTAAAGGCCTTTATTTGTTAGCAAATTTAATTATGGCTGAATTTCCCTAAACTTGTCTCCGGGTGTTTTTCGGTTGCCATAAATTAATTCATTCGGTCACTGTCCGCGACGTGACCAGCGAGTGTTAAGTCACAACCCGCGTCCATTACGCTAACCGAAAATAACGCACCATTTGTGTTCAGCTTATCACTGTTTACGTGCGTGTAGGGTCGCCATGGATAATTATTAGGAAAGTCCCAAAAAGTTAAGACGTTTTAGAATTGGTCCAGATCCAGACAATGATACCTATCGAAGTCACGCAGGTTTTTAAATCTCAAAAGAGTTTTGTCCTACCGAGGCATAAAGTAAAACAGAGTACAGTGGGCCACAGCTCCAGCTACCCATTTCCGGTCATGAGAGTGAAAGAAGAAATGGGAATTGGTAACTAAAACTTTGGCTTTCTGTACATACAGCTTTTTATAAGTAGGAAAACGGGGAAAAAAGACTGCTGGAAGGCTTAAAGTCCGGATATTCTCGGAAAATTCGGAGGTATGGTAAACCTATGTGCGCGTGACCCACGTGTCGAACGACGGACCGTTAATACTCATTTACGGGGTTTTAAACTCTGGTTCTAGTAACTTTGATAGTAAAATGTTTACAGCTTCGGTTAAGTAAGTTAGGGCAAAGCTTCAGTCTTTGAAAATATACTTTAAGCAAAACATTAGGTCAAAGAATTGAAAGAAAGATATTTTTGCATTTAAATTTATTTACTACATTTGCGTATAAAATATCAATTTCTAGATCATTCTCAAAATAAAATGAATATCATTGCTAATACATTACAAGATAATCTTACATTTGTCATCATGTTAAAAAATGTTCACATTTTCAAAATAATACTTTCGTAAATACAATTCAACAAATAATAGAGCCAACTCTTTTTTGTTTATATATAACTTATAACAGTTTACGGAATATTTCAGGCATGTATAAAACTTTGCAGTAAAGAAATATTGTATAATAAGGCAGTGGCATTCCAAATAATTATTCTCTTAAGTAATCCTTATCTATTGTAAATGGACATTATCAACTTATGAATAGCTTACAATTACTACAAGCATTAGTATCTCATAATTAAGATTGTCTTAAATTACTTCAGGCACAGTTACTGTCAGGCAAATAATCATAGGAATGTCAAAATCTGAACTCGTTATCAATTAAAACTAATACTCTTGTATAAAACGTTGTTTAACAGTTAACAATGTCCTGTCTTTTTCTGTCAAATGTAGAATAACACAAGACAGAAAGAGAGAAAACCTTTATTTAGCTAATACTTGAACAACATTTATATAGGGTGTAAATTACGGAACCATAGATTCATGAGATTACATCATAAGAAATGCATAAAACCAACTTTGATTGTATAAAATATTGAATATAAATTAACCATTAGGCTTATACTTGAATAAACATCTTAAAGCTATGATAAAACATGTAAAAAATATGTATAAATAGGCTTTAAGCCCCCGGATTTTTATCCGCCAAGCAAATCAGTCATACGATCGGACATCTTTTTATGAAGTGACGGTCAGAATACAAGATTGAAGGTGGAGGTTAGCAAAAACTGAAACAGTGAACACAGTACAGTCTATGCTTTAGTTAGTCCCGAAGTAAATATCGTTACCCTCGTATTTCGGAATTCAAAGTATTTCGTTTCTTTTTAATTCACTTGTTTAACGCTCTATTGTAACTGCTTAGTAACACTATGATCTGTATGTGGTCGAAATAAATAAATTTATTATTATTATTATTATTATTATTATTATTATTATTAGTTTGTTAGCTTTAATGTATATAGCTAAAACAAAAATTTTCAAAGACTAGATTACGACATTCCACAGAAATGTTATTTGGAAAGTCATACATTTTCCGGGAAAAAATACTAAAAGCATCAGAACTCAATGTTGAAGTTTTCACCAACCTCTTCTTACACTCTGTATGTTACCAACCAAAATCAGTTTTTTGTATGACGGCTTGGTATATTTGACTAGCCGATGAGAAACCAGGAGCATCTTATAATTAAAGTTAATATAAAGCTAATAATTTTGTGCTAACATTAGAACGTTCGATATTTAACGGCATAATACTCAAAGTAAATACGTACTCTTTAATAACGTTAAGTAAATTCTGGCAAAGCGTCAATAAAGTTGAACCAATGAGTATTTCTTAATCACTAATTTCGCTAACATGTCTACTGTCTGTCGATAAATCTACGAAAATAATATCAGAACTTTGATGAAGATTCATAAAATTCGAAAGCCTTTAGACAATGTAATATTTCGCATAACATCGCTAACGAATCGAATTATCGCAAAGTCGAAACGTATTATACAGAATGTTATAATTAGGTACATTGTCTAAAGGCAAAACTTCTAAAGCATCCTGTTAAATAATTTCTTTATCAAAATCCATTTGCACCGCATTAAAATAAATATTTTGTTTGTAATATCAGTGCACTAAATTCATTGTATATTCGATTGTGATCTTCGTGTCTCATAATACATAAGAAATTAAATATAAACATGTGATGATGAACTACAAAAATATTAAAAAGCCATAATAACTATATTAAAGTTAGACGAATACAACATTGCCTTACACTAGCACTACACTAAGCAGACAACAGACATGTTATGAATAGTTTGAGTTAGTAAACTTAGCACTAAAGCCCGGTCTGTGAGCACCTAGAATTTTGTCCAATGACCCCAAGCTACCCATCCTTTTCGCTCGCGCGTAATTATGTTGCTGTTGCGCTCGCACACTCACTGCGGGCGCCCGTCGCACAGTCGCAACAGCAATATAATTACGCGCGAGCAATAAGGATGGGTAGCTTGGGGTCATTGGACAAAATTCTACGTGCTCACAGACCAGACTATAATAAAATATACGTTTTATAATACACTCAACATTATATTGTCAGCCATTATTCTCCTGCTGCATTTCACACGACCCTAAACATTTCCACGCGAGTATATAACATCAATTCATCAATGCAACATTACCTTCTCGTTTATAGAACAGAAATATAACTTTAACGTGATCGACACAGGAACGATTTTCAAATACCATTGCAGAATAAACTTCTGTGTATGTAAATAAATAATTGTACTTTATGAATACCACGATGGCAGATCTATAACATTGTCTTTTCCTTCAATTTTACTAATTCTTCATAACATTTAAGTCAGATACTAAATTCATCTCACAGCTCCCGTTAAGGCTAGTAATTGGCCAATAATTGAACACATCTCTTTAGAACATCTATAGCTCTTAACACACTGTATTAGTTTAACAATATTTAACAGTCACTTAAGCCCTTATTACGAAAACGACCCAAAACTCGATCCATGCTAAAAAAATTCTGCACTGTAAATTGGCCTTAACGTTGACGTTTAAACCCAATTTATGCTTTGGATTGAATCGAATTTTGGACTTCGTTTTGTAATACGGATCTTAGTGTTAAAGAGCTTAGACATCCACTGGCAATAATACATTGGATATTTCTAACATGTTATTAACATCTTATAATGTAACAGGCACAATCGGATTATGAAAGGGAGAAATGTCCACGAGTGTGCTTAGTCGCATGATACGAATTCAATCATAAGAGCGCTGCAAATATGGGTCTTATTTGCTTGTTCGTTATTGATTTATTGTATTCTGCGCATTATCTTAACTGTATTAAGGTTCAAATTGTAATTGTTTACGTAATACCATACAACTAAGCAGTTCGTGAACGGAAAGTAGGAAGGTGTTAAGAAATGTGCCACAAAATGGGAAAATTCAATATCCAAAAATTTTTATAGTAACACTTATGAAAGCCGTAGGGATAGTAAGACGAAGTGAGATTACGTCGTGAGGTTCTTACCCTAATAACAATAAGGTACAATATTAGACTTACAATTGAGAAGTACGCCTTACTTTTTAAGACCTACTTGTTTCTGTTTTACAATATTTAACACGTTACACATTTACAACAACAAGTTTTTTAAGGTCAGTAGCGCGTTTTCTTTAAATGTTAGTTGGAAAAACTTTGATATAATAAATACGTCATATTGTTACACACAAGTTATACAGATAATTCAAGTGATAAGAGATGCCTGCATCTTTCTTTATTCATTCAGTTTGTGGCTGAATTTAAGGAACTAAAATGTATTTTATGATTTTTTAAATGGTTACACTTCAGACTTAACTTGGAACATTAAAAAGTTTTTCTATTGTTTTAGTGACATCACATCACACCAAGTCTGCTTTTGTAAACCTCATTAGAACTGGTAAAAATATCTATTCAAACTTGTTTCAAAGTTCGAATTCAAACTGGCGTGTTATCAACATCACTGGAGGGACTGAGGTTTCTAAATTAAAATTCAAACTGGCATGTTACGAACATCTTTAGCAAGTCAAGAGAAAAAAAACATCAATATGAGGAACTAGGAAGGGTTCCAAATTCAAATTTAAACTGGCACATAAACATCATGAGACGGAACTGAAAAGGGTTCTAAATTCAAATTCAAACTGGCTGGCATTCAATCTTTAGGAAGCCAAGAGAAAAACAAACATCTTTAGGAGGAACTGAGAAGGGTTCTAAATTCAAATTCAAACTGGCTGGCATTCAATCTTTAGGAAGCCAAGAGAAAAAAAAGTGAAGTCAATATAAAGCTTGTAAAAACATCTTTGGGAGGAACTGAGAAGGGTTCTAAATTCAAATTCAAACTGGCATGTTGAACATCTTTAGGAAGCCAAGAGAAAAAAATCTTTGGGAGGAACTGAGAAGGGTTCTAAATTCAAATTCAAACTGTGTTACGTGCGCGCGTAGAGTTGTCCATAGGGGTCGCGCGTGCGGCGCGGGCGGCGTCACACGGCGGCAGGAGAGGCTGATTGTCAGTGCCACTTCGCTTTTTGCGCGAAGATGTCCGCGCGCAGGTTTTGCGCGAAGCATATTCCCAATATCTGAGTAGAATAAGAGCGTGTTAATGTATGTGCTAATATAATGAAAAAAAAAATGTTTTACATGCAAAAATTATGTTGTAAAGTCCGGTCGCCGAGCAGATAGAAATTCATACAATTATCCCAAACTACCCATCCTTATCGCACGAGCGTAGTTATATGTATAGCCGTCGCGCTCGCACACTCACTATGACCGCCAATCGCACATTTGCGTGAGATAGCAATATAATTACACGCGAGCGAGAAGGATGGGTAGCTTGCTTGGGGTCATTGGACGAAATTCTATCTGCTCGGCGACCGCTGCTGTGTGACAAAAATGTGCTTATGTACTGAGCCCAAAAACATTTAAACTTTGTTTTTTTTTTCCTTTAATATGTACAAAGCTACAAAACATTGAATGTTTTTGGTTTCAACTACACAAAAAGTGAATCAAAACTATGTGCAACTACACAACACAACTTACTTGTGCAAAAGCAGTACAAACAGCGGATGTGGCTACAATCAACAGGTTGTGGTCAAACCACTCCTCGGCGGCCTCTAAGCAGCCCTTGTCATATATTATCTTAGCTACGTCAAAGTTCTAAAACAAAAAGAAAATAAAACGTGACCAAAAAAAGTCTAGCTACAAAATGTGGACAAAGATATCAAGTGTGACGAACTAGCCTAGGATGCGCGCCACTATATTTTTAATCGAAACATTTTATCGATTAAGCGATAAGCCCATACATTTGTCGTCTAACATCGATAAAATTATATCGCGGCGCGCATAATAATCACGAAATGAGATTTCTACATCTAGTCTACGGTACTTTCTATCTAAGGTGAGTATACATTTAGGCCCATATTACGAAATGACAACCAAGTATGAATTTTATTGTCAAGAAAGAAAAAGGCTGTAATGGGCCAAACATTGCAATTTAATCAATCAGTCTTGAGTCTTTTCAGTTTGAATCGTGTTTTGAGCATCATTTCTTAACCCAAGCAGTCAAGGATAATGCAACTTTATTGTCTCGTGTTAAGGTCCAAAAAACGATGAACATTTTTACTTGCTTGCTTGGTAATAAGGGCCTTATAGTGCTAACAATAAGGTTGAATCTTCAACAAAGACTACACAGTATCACTTGTAAAACCTTCAAAGCCAGCGGGCCCAGAATGACCGCGGCTACAGGGACGAAATTCCTTTGGAGCCAATCTTCTCCCGCCGCTAGGCAGCCTCGTTCGTGAATCACGCGCTCGCTTACTTGCTAAATTATTATTTGTGACATTTAAAACTTTATGCTAGCTACTACACATCAGTTAAGAAAAGGAGGGAGAATAAACTGCCTCTCAGTAACCAATTTTTATTTAATTTCACTCGCAGTGAGTTCGTTCGTTCGTTTCAGCTAAATGATGTCCACTGTTGGACAAAAGCCAACCCTAAGGATTTCCCGCGAAGTATGTAAGGAAAGAAGTATGTCACAGTGAGTACAAGGTCTACATTAATCTTATATTAACTCAAAAGTAAAGACAATTCTCGTAATAACAGCATCTGACATGAAAGGTAATTCAGTGCATATTTTACATTTGCCTTCATCATTATCATATTTCAACACAAGACACTGGGAATCGAACCCAGGAACCTAATGCCCGTTTTCACCATCAATCCCTAATTTTTAATGGCTTAGTCTTCAAAATGACAACTTCTCAAAATGACAACCGGGACGCAAAATGTCCACAAATAATCGAAATATCCGAAATAGACAATATTATTATGAGAAGTAGTCTTTTAGCGAAGTTGACATTTTAAGAAGTTGTAATTTCGAGAAGTGGACATTTCGCATCCCGGTTGTCATTTTGAGAAGTTGTCATTTTGATGACTAAGCCTTTTGAAGTGACCCCTATGTCAACAAAATTCATGTTATGTGTTACCATAGGGGTTACTTAAACATTAGGGATTGATGGTGAAAACGGGCATAAGTCTCTCTAACTCTTTTTTATTAGACTAGACCACATAGACTCACATAGTCACGCAAAATGTATTGATTTGTCAGTTCTAATTAATTTAGTCTAAAAATAAAGATTTTAATACTCACATAAGTCCGCTTCCTAACGTCATACCCGCACTGCTTATTCCTAATGATGTCCTGCGGTTTGCTCCTACAACAGCTGAAGGGAACGCCGCAAGCCTCTCTCGAGCCGACGGCTCCGCTCGAACAGTTGAAGTAGGCGTTGCGGTCCCAGTCCGAAGGACCCTCTACGCCGCAGCATTGTAACTGTAATGTGCAATGAAGGTAAAGTAATTTGCACCCTAAGCCTGGACTAATTTGCACCCAAAGACTTAACTAGTTACCTAAAGACTAAACTAATTTGCACGCAGACTTAAATAATTTGAACTCCTATGAACCACTAAACAGGCAGTGGTTTTCCAAGATTTAAACATCGACTCAAGTTGCTACTTTGACGCTTATGGTTTTACGAAAAAAAAAAGCGAAATGGAAAGCAAAAATATAAATTTATTGCAGGTTTAGTCAGTAGTTGGGACTTAGGTAGTGCTTCCTAGAGTAGTCAATTCTAACCCATCAAAAACAATACTTGTCAAAAAACCAAATAATTTAATTTACACGTGTTTTCATGCGATGGCCAAGTCAATATATTTATGTAAAACGTTAAAGATTTCCTGGCCTGGACTTGGTATTACATGGATCTCACAACTTTTTACCGTAGAACAACTGAGTTGCGATTGCGAGACTTGGTTTTTTGACAAGTATTGTTTTTGATGGGATCTCATTTCTTTTTGTATTTTGTAGACAGCAGTTATGTATCTAGAAAACTGGACCGAAATTGAAAAATTTTACTCGACTTGGCGGTTGCACTACCGTGCCCCAAAATCTTTTAGTTTTTCCTTGATTCATACACCAAACACTACTTATATTCCAAATTTGAAGCTTCTAGGTCTGCTAGAAGTGCCTTAGAGTTTTGATGATCGGTGAGTCAGTCAGTGAGTCAGTGAGTCAGTGAGTCAGTCAGTGAGTGACAAAATTAAGTAACTTTGACCCGTTATAATTCTTAAACTACTGGTTCAAATTGAATGAAATTTTAAATATACCGTGTCTTTACAATGCCTGCATAGCTAATGAAAATTCAGCCTTCTAGTTTTATCCACAACGAAGTTACAGGCGGTCGAAAATGGCCTGAATTGCTTCGAGAAAAGGATGGTACGGCCGTGCCGCTTTTTTGCTCGACTTGGTGGGGGCACTGCCGTGCCCCCAGATTATGAAAGAATGTTTATGAATTTACCATAGTCCGGTCAAATTAGACATCAACCCTGCAATAATTCGCATACAGCTAAAAATTGGTCCTAAGTTTATTTGCTTGACCCTACTCACTGTACAACACCCTAACTCAATCTACTGTCATATTATTACAAAAGAGTTCCAGTAATAAACATACCCAATCTTCCTGAATCCAGTCAATCAGGTTCTGCTGATCGGGATCTTCTCTGTAGTGCGCGATAAACGTTTGGAAACCACTTGTAGCTTGTTGTTTGATCTGAAAACATGTTTACAATACACTTAAAACCTAAAATACAGCAAATTGAATAAATATACATATTAGATATACAAACACCCGTATTCAAACACGATGCTTGCTTAAGTGAAGCAGCAACGCTATGCAAAGTCGAACGCACAGCGTTAAATAGTGATTGGCTCGTGACTCTGTGATTGGTTCGTGTGTGTCACTCCGCCACTCAAGTATTGTCTATGAATAGGTTTTTGGGAGCCTGTGCGTCTTTTGGGTCCATGCGCACAGTGACATCTCATAGTAATGTTTGTGAATACGGGTGAAATAGGTACCTACCGGTCGAGTTAACTGCGTACCTGGCGGGCGTGACGTCACATCGACGCTCCGGTACGGAAGGGGCGGCGTCTTTCCGTTCTATACATAGCCAGAACGCAAGGGTGTGAAACTAATCGAGTATAGTTTGGATATGACTTTTTTTACTGAGCTCTTCCAAACTATACACGATCAGTACGCAAAATTCGTGTATAGTTTGGAGTCACAGATTTACAAACGGGCACTACAAAATATACACGAGCAGTTTCCTATGGGTGCGTTCTGGCCATGTATAGAACGGAAAGACGCGACGCACTGTGATTCGTGTAGAACAAGCTAGCTGGACAAAAGTCATTGTTGAATTTCTGATTATCGTTTATAAAAAAACGATAAACAACATCCCAGACATTAAGGATTCCACAATTTTTTACTTTGTTAATTACCTAGTCGTGAGTAATTAACATGGTAAGTGAGGATATGAGTATAGTGTAATTTTTAATTCCTAATTTTGCTCGACTTTCGACAACACCTGACATTATTTTTTACTATGGTGACCAAATATTTGTGTGATGGATTTTGAAGATAAGGGTAAGTACTTTTTATTTTCTGTACAATAAGGTGCATAATAATGCACATAGTTTTAAAAAGTATGGCGAAATGTTGACCTTTATATTTTTCTCAAAATTTTATGTTTGGAAGACTAGAAGTTGTATGCCCCCACTTGACCCCAGTCTGGAATTTATATATTATATTGTAGCTGTAACCCTCTAGTATTCAAATATACCAGTTTCAGTTTGCACACTTTTGCACAACAATTTTATTTTTTCAGATTGATAAAAAATCAAGTTTTTTGATTAATGATTAAAACATTGAAAAAGTGACCAGAATAGCATGATTTTTAATTTATATTCTCAAAATGTGATGTATTGGGATCACGAAAATTCGCTGAGAGAGTTGAAGAATAGCATCAGTCGCATTTCAATTTCATTTCAATGGACGAAATACGGCAAAACAGGGAACGCTTCATGAAAAACAAAACTGAGTGGATTCCCGGAGCCATAGTGTTACATGTTTCTGTTCATAAAGTTCAGTCTTCCACGTCGAAAGATTCTACACCTGGACGACCACTCAAGGAGTTCGACGAGTCCAGCAAAAAGACGAAAAGAAGAAGACTTTTAGACCTCATTTCCTCAAGAAGTACTTGAGAACTGATATTGGCTGCTGAAGCTGCAGCGCAAATGTCTGCTGGCCACAGCAACTTGGCAAGTCATTAATGTTGTCGCAGTCTACCCACTAAATTTAAAAAAACTGAGATTCTTTGTTCCATATAAATCGCAAAAATGTTTATATCGAAAAATTGATTTTCATTAAATTCTCCATAAAAAACGGGAATTTCATACTTTAACACCTAATACATCATAAGACCAATTATTATTATACTGTAAAGTTAGTTTCTTCTTTCCTTTTTAGTCTGTTTCTCTTGATTTTAGAAAATAAATATTTTATTACCAAAAAAAATTTTTTTTTCAAACCTACCTATAATAATTATAATAACAAGCCTAATTAATCTTAAATTGCACAAAAAAGTAAGTAATGCGTGTATTAAACACATTAAAGTAAAAAAATAATATTGTCCAGCTAGCTTGTTCTACTCGAATCACTGTGCGACGGGGCGAACGCGGGGAGGTGTGCGGCTAAGTGGAAGGGAGTCGCATTCCAGCGAGGTGCGCAGTTAGCTCGAGTTTGTATTTATACTAACTATAAGGAATTAATAACATTAAATAGTAATAATCTTTGGTCCACATACCCAATCTTTAAAAACAAAGAACAGTATTCCCGTTGTCATTTCCGCCAGCAGCAATAGAGCAAGGAATACTGCATACTGAAAGTAAAAAAAAACTGTTAAAGCAAACAATATTTACCTACTACAACTACTCTGTGAAACTATCAAAACAACATCTAATCTTTAAAGTCAATTGAAGAAGTACTAAGTGCTGAAATATTATAAACATCATTAATGTACTAGATCAGCGGTTCCCAAACTTATTTTGTTTACTGCCCACTTTGAGAATACATTTTTTTTAGCGCCCCCATTTGTAGTCGAGAGTCGAGTGCTCAGTCGGTGTCTAAGAGACCTCCTAGTAAATGACGCCTCCCAAGCCTCTACACAACGTCCCGATTTTTTTTTCTGGGTCTCTTACCTTTAAGCCTGCAGCGCCCACAAGGGGGCGTTATCGCCCACTTTGGGGCCGTCCATATATTACGTCATTCTAAATTAGGGGGGGGGGGTTGGTCTGCGGATGACGGTAAATGATAGATANGGGGGGTTTCGAAATTGACGTCATTCTTATTTATTTATTTATAGTTTATTGTTCACCTACAAAAAGATTATTTCTAGTGATGGGCCGACTATGGTCTTTGCCGACTAACCGACTAGCCGACTAATCGGTTTTCAAATTGCCGATTAGTCGGCCGACTAATCGGCAATGCCGATCATTCTAATAATAATTCAAAAGATAAGGAGACATGTAAAGTGCCCCATAAGGGCTACCTTTTTCTTTTTTTATTATTTTCTATTGACGTTCATAAGTGCCACTTGTGGTCTAAACTGAATAAATATTTTTGATTTTGATTTTGATTTTTTGAATACCTACTTGTCCGAAGTTTAAATTATCTAGATTTACTCAAAGAAATATGAATAATATCTAGATTTCTAAAGAGATAAATATAACTTTTTGAGAAATTAGATTTCTTTAATACGAGAAAGAATAAAATGTTGCTTTTTATTCTTTCTCGTATTAAAGAAATCACCTAACAGTACCTAAGGTAGCATATGTATCCTGCGGGGAAGTGGTAAATTATGTGGGGCTCCTCTCATCGGAAGGATGAGGAATACCCACATAAATAACCCCTGAGATCGCCTAAGTGTGAAGAACTATGGGAATCCCGACAAAGCCATCAACTATCATAGTCCGTCCCGGCAATTGCCCACCTGTATAATATGATCGCCCCCTGCTGGGCTAGGATGCGCGCTGTGATATTATTCTTATTTATCGACGTCAAAATGTATGAGCAAAATTGCGCTAATCGCGGCACGCATCCTAGGCCCACTGATTCCTCTCCACCCTCCACGCAGTCCACGCCTGCATAGCAGGGACTAGCACCACCGTCGGATAAGCAGAGACCGCCATACAGGTGGGCAATTGCCGGGACGGACTATGATAGTTGAAGGCTTTGTCCAGATTCCCATAGTTCTTCACACTAATGCAATCTCAGGGGTTATTTATGTGGGTATTCCTCATCCTTCCGATGAGAGGAGCCCCACATAATCTACCACTTCCCCGCAGGATAGGTATGCAATTCCATGCATTTTTTTCTCGAAAAAAAAAGTGTCATAATTTTGGACAAATTACATAGGTAAACTTTACACATTTTTGATGATTTCCTGGTAATTTTAACTAATGTTAACTTTGTATGAATTTAGACTGATTGCCAAAATTTTAAATCAGGTGAAACCTCTTTTTACGGATTTTTTGTAGTCAAAAGTGGTTTAGATAAACACCCTTGGTCTACCACATAATCATCTTGGTGATTATGAGTTTATTTCATTCACATATTTATTTTTGTAATGCGCCGATTATAATCGGCATATTTTGCCGAATAGTCGTCACTAGTCGGCCGACTACAAATGATGCCGAATAGTCGGCTTTCCCGACTAGTCGGCGACTAGTCGGCCCATCTCTAATTATTTCTAAAAAGAAATTTCTTCCAGCACACCTAGGTTGGCACCCGGGGCGATCACCCCCCCCCCCCCCTTCCGCCGCTACTGATTACATATAATACTAGCTGCCCGCCCCGGCTTCGCCCGTGGTACTTACGTGTATTATACATATAAACCTTCCTTAAGAATCACTCTATCTATTAAAAAAAATAAAAGGTGATTCTAGAAGTGTTTTAATTTTGTCAAACTGGTAATGACGTCAATTTTGGGAGAAGGGGGNTTGGGAGAAGGGGGGGGGGGGCTTTAAGAAATGACGCTAGGATGATTGTAGGGGGGGGGGGTCTAAAATCTGAAAAAATCGATGACGTAATTTATGGACGGCCCCTTTGGAAAAGACTGTACTAGATGCTTTAATAATTGCATCTGATTCCCAGAAGCAGTTAAGTCCATTGAATTGTATGGTATCTTTTAAATACTTACACAGGCCAGTAAGCATGTGTTCTCACGCAACGCGCCCACGCAACCAGTGAAGCCAATTATGAATGTTATCGTCCCTGAAATAAAACAAAGTTATCTGAGTTACTTATTATCAGCAGATATTAAACAAATGCACATCAAGCTTAACACTGAAGCATCTTAGGTAGATGTAATTTTAATAGTATTTTAAGTAAAACATGTAAGACTTGTGATGAAACTTTAGTCTTTTATTGTGCAATCAGGCCTCAATCCAAATTAAAATATGTTTAATTCTTTGCATCAATGTAATTCAACCTTGATTCTGGCTAAATAATGCAAATGTAATCAAAATTGAGCATACTGTGTTAATAACATACTAAACTCAACTACAAAATCAGTGCATTCGTGATTTGAAATATAAACAAAATTAGTTTAGAGCTTCTTCCTTATTAATTTTTATATAAAAAGATAATTGTTTGTTATCCAGCTAATTAACACTTTTAATTAGCTGGATAACAAACAAGTTTATAGATATCTAATATTAAATCTTCTATACTTATAATAAATCTGTAGAGAGGTCAATTCTGTACATGAAATATATTTTCAAAATAACTATCAGGGGGTGATTAGTGTTCGATACTGATGCCAAAAATGCAATCAGTAAAATTTTTGTCTGTCTGTCTGTCTGTATGTTCCTTATAAAAAACAAAAACTACCAGACGGATTTTAACGAAACTAGGTACAATTATTCTTCATACTCCTGGGCAGGTTATAGTAAACTTAGGAATTCCCACGGGAACGGGAATTAGCGGGAAAATCCTTTTGTATAAAAAATCTAAACCGCTTAAGTTAGACGCTTGAAATTTGGCATGCAGGCAAACCTTAGTAAACTTAAAGCTTAGTTACAACAGGATATTGCAAAATTCCCACGGGAACGGGAGAAAAAACATTTGTATGAAAAAATCTAAACTGCGTAAGATAGATGAAGGGGATAAAACCGGATCCACGCGTACGAAGTCGCGGGCGGCCGCTAGTAGTCAATAAATAAATAAATTGGTATAACTAATTGCTAATAAATCAACATTTAATAGGAACTCACCAACGCATATTAATATAAAAGCAGGATCGAGGGCTATATTAGTAAGACGGGAGAGATTGTTGAAGGTGTCCTTCTCAGTCCACGCCCACACTCCGACGGCCAGTACGATTAAACCAAGGAACTGGAAATACAATTGAGTGATTAACGTAAGAATCTTCATACCAGACATGGCCATTTTTAACAACTGAACATGTCTTCAGTACTTTGTATACTAACGTAAATTGATATTCTTTTCCCCTTTTATTGACATGTTATGAACAAAGTTTATTTATTTGGAACAGAAATACTTTGAATCCCAGATAATTGTTTATCGTATTCACAGAATGAGGACTATTGCACAGTGTTTATTGTGCATTTTATCAACAAAACAATTATTTATTTGGTATAATTATTCTCTTTGACCTCTGGATATTTGTTTATCATATTCACAGAAATTACTATGATAGGTTTCCCTGGGTTGTACATTTGGATTTTTTTTAAATGTTGCCCAGTTATTATTATGGGTATGTAAGAAGAAATACCTAATTACAGTATGATTCAAATTATAAAAATAAAAGCACTAAACAAATATTTAATTGACCTGACTCATGCTTTGGAAAGTACATAACCAATACCAGGTTTTTTTAGTTTTTTGCTGCCTCAAGGTTAATGCTAAGATAAGATCTGTTTGCTTATATCTTAGGCTTACTTAGTTTTAGTTTTCCAGAGGCATTAACTTCAATGTTTTTGGGCGATGAGTGTGTAAATAAGTGTTAGTGAATAGAGGTTCATAATCTTACACAGGAAAAAATAATCAAATAAGCAACCCTTGAAATTAGAGTTTACATTACAAAAATAGTTAGCGAATGATCTAATTCCTTTTTTTATGTGTTAAACATCAATCTTTTAAACTGCGATCTCCAACCCGCCTGCCAAGCGTGGAGATTATGGCAAAACCCTCCACTATAGTGGAGGAGGCTCATAGTCCAGCAGTGGACTGTAAAGGGCTGTTGATGATGATGATGATGTGTTAAAAAATAGTCAAAACAATGAAATTCAAAGGAAAATGTCGGCTACAGTACTGAGAAGTAGAGGTAATGTTACTCTCACTCATTGCAACCTTGACTCCTAGTTTCTCATCACAGGTTTGGCCACAATTGATGATTATATCAACACTTATTAAAATAACTAGGTATGTTATTAACGAATATCATACAAAAACTCACCCAGAACAATACATTTACACCAAATATAACATATTTCAAACAACAGCTGACTTCGCTGGTGTCCCTTCGATACTTTCTCATGCTAGGCATTTTGCAGTGTGATGTTTTGTTTTAATTAAAAATAAGTCTTGATAACGCACTACATCTGGTAGGGATTTAAATGGGTGTTAAACTAGGAACAATAAACAAGTAGGCCAAATTAAAACAAGTGAACGACCGATGAGAAGGCAAGGAAAGAAAACAGTACATATAATGCTACTAAATTGAAATGACTAAAATTGTAAACTGGTTACGCGGATAGTATGAAACAGATATATGCCATGTTACAACGAGTGAAAAAGAAAGAAGATATAATGACACTTCATAAAATTTGCTCTTGCAATTGGTCGTATTTTAAGCGTCAATTTGTTTACGTTCGGAAATCAAAAATCTATTTTTAGAGTCAAATTATTAAAAAAATTACGTAAATGGTCCCTGATCGTAGCTCGTTCCTGAAGGAATTAAATAAAAGTAATGTAGGACCTTAATCTCTTTAGACCTTATTATAAATACAAATTAACTATTTAAATAAAAAAAACGCTGCCCACAGTCCCACAGAGCATGATGACGCTGCTATTTATGAACGAAAAAAAATCGTTTTGGCGGGAAAGTTAAATGATATTCAGCATTCGGCAATTTTTATTTCTCATAAAAGAATTTGATTTGAGTTTAGTGGAATATTAACGCAACTTAATTTCAGGTAAGGTATATTTATCGTGGCATTCAGTAAATATGCAGCGTTCTGGCATTGTTTGATTTAAAAATAAACACGTAAAAATATGTAGCGTTAGAGCACAAAATATCTCAGTTTTATTATGATTATTTACTGTATTAATGTAATGTGATTTAACCTAGTCGTGTCCGCATTGAATAAAGTGTAAAAACCTAAGGTCTGTCACTGGGAGAGATGCAATATGCAAATAAAAATTTGTATGATCTCTCTAATCTCTGGGGCACAAAAAAGTCAGTCAAACTTTTACTTTTTATTTTATCGGGAGTCGAACCCTGCTGATAACGTATCTAGCCTTCTCCTATAAGCTTTAGTTAACTTTAACTATTTTAATTAACAACGCTTTTAAAACTTGAAAAAAATTATACTGCTTCGGGTAACTAGTATAGGTACCTATCCTACCTACTTAAGCCCACAGCCTTTCGATTGCCGTGACTGTTCTAACCAAACGGAGGCTGGGGTTTTCAAGTGTCTTTTACACTGTGAGCTAGGGTTGCCAACATTTCATCAGCGAAATATAGTATTTTCCAAAATAAGGTGTAAGAAAATATAGTACATTTAAAAAAAATATAGTATTTTATGGGAAAAACAAAAAAATTTACAAATACATATTTTCTAATTATTTATTTTTATAAAAACTATATTTTTTGCAGTTCTTGCGCTGTGTAACAGTTTTTTGTTTAAAATAAAGTCATATGCTTTGTCACATTCAATTTTTAAATAAATATAAATCAAAAGCTCTTCTATACACTACTTCTGTTTCTTTGTTCTCGCCACTTCGAATTCATAACCGAAAATATCCTTTCTGTAAATGCCGAAGTGGCGGGAATAGAGAGCAGGAATGAAATTACTTCAAATAAATTTGGTAAGTCATTTTCAGTATTTTTTAAAATATGCTGCCATTTTTGGCCTGTAGTTTTGTCAGTAAAGTCACTACAGTCAATATCGTTATTTCAGAGTATAGGTCGTCCATTTTGATACTCAATTTTTCTTGTAAATTTAGAATTTCTAACATTGTCTCACAGTCATTAAATGAAACCTCCTTTTTTAAATTTAATTTTTGGATTTTAAATAACCAATTGCTTTCACTGAAATCAAAACCATTTATTAAGATAGTCTAAACATTTATCAAAAAATAGCAAGAAAATCTTTTGAATTCCATAACTTTCTGTGGGGGGGATTTTGCTTCTATTTTTTGTTTTGTAACCAAAAAAAAAATCTTTTTTACGTTGTTCTAGCGCCGATTTTAAAATTGACATAATATGTTGTGATAAGGATAGAGACATACCTAATATGCAATTTTTAGTTTTACAAAAGTAATACGATAGAGAATAATACAAAGCAATAAAAACCACCTGTTATAGGGGCATTTTTTGGAGAAATTGATCAAATAACCAAAAAAACACGAAAATAAAAGCGGATTTTTTTTTCAAAAAGTATAATTTTTTATTATTTGTTGGCATTTTCTGGGTATTTTATGTATTTTATTAGTATTGCCTGTTATTTAGCATTATTATTGTATTTATTTTATCAGGATATACCTCTTAGTTTAAAAGTTATTACGTTTTCTTTACGAGAAGTAATTGGAAGAAAAAAAAATCTATAAAAAATAAAAAAATCTCAAAAAAAATTTGACCTCTTTTTTCTCGAAAAAAATTGGTCTAGTTTCACATATTTTCATATGTGCACTTTATCGTGACTCACATTGTATATTTTGGGGATCTTCAGTAATCCAGTCATACTCTCTGTCCCACTCCGGTTTATTTTATTTGAAGTCTTTTTAGTATTTTTCGTTTTTTAATCGGCGTTAGCGGCGCAATAGAATTTGACGCACTTTCGTTATCACTACCACTTTCCATACCTAATTTATATAAGATTTCAACTTTTCAAAAGAAATAACAACATCTAGTTGAAAACGATTCTGCCGATAAATAAAGCAGACCAAAATATCGTTTGACGACGTTAAAATTTACGTTGTCAATTTGACATTGACCAGTTCGTTACGTGCGATGGGGCGGAAAGGTTCTGGAATGGAGGCCGCGTACCGGAAAACGCAGCGTGGGACGTCCACCTACAAGGTGGACCGACGACATCGTAAAGGTAGCAGGGAAGCGCTGGACGCAGGCCGCTACCAATCGATCAACATGGAAATCATTGGGGGAGGCCTATGTTCAGCAGTGGACGTCCTATGGCTGAAATGATGAAGTTCGTTACGCAAGCGTTCGGATACTTTAAAGGCGCGTTCTTATTTTTTTTAAATGAAGGATTTGTTTGTTAGATTGTCGGTGTTGAAAATATAGTATTTTTGCGTACTATATATTTTTTCAACAGTATATAGTACGCGGACCCGAAATATAGTACAATACTATATATTATAGTACGGTTGGCAACCCTACTGTGAGCCCATAACATCCAAAGAATATAGATACCTATAGGTAAATAAGTAATACCTTCTTCTAACCTACTGTTGTTCACTGCACCCGGACGCTGTTTAAGGAACAAGATGCATTTAGCAATGGAACTGATTATAATGCATTATGGCAGCATAACATAAATCGCAGTTAAAAAATGAAGGTATTAGGTATACTGTAAGTACAATACTTATACATGCTGCAAATACAAATTGAAACGGAAACATAAAACACGCACGAGTGGCATTTCATATCAGTAAGAGGTTTTAATTAAAATTTTCGAATTTGTTCTTGAACTGATTGGCCAATAGAACATTTCAGCTATGCTGACGATGGTGGCGACTCTCTCAGCTTTCCTCATCCTATGTACGTCTATAAAATGAGACAGCTATGGGTCGCACTTTATCTTATAAGCTCAGCGGTAAGTGGAGCCTTAATTAAGCGATAGGTTGAAGAATACATGTAGGACTTAATTATCATTGTACTAATTTGATATCTACAGGTACATGGACAGAAAGTAAACAATTCGTGTGGTAAGTAATTTGCTGGATGTACTTAAGTAAGTGCCTACTTCTTCTTCTTCGTCGCTAAGTACATTCTTGCTAGAGTGGTAGTGGTCGTCACACCTGTAGGTAGGTACTTACTGTGCATCAGTAGTAATATGTTTTCCAAGCTGATAAACATTTCTTAGATCAACGTCGATTACTTGGTTAAGGCTAATGCTATTAAGATCATAGGTGCCTACTTAGATACCAATACTACCAATATATCTCTAGAAAGGTTTAGTAAAGGGCTACTTACTTATGTAGAAGAAAATGTAATTATTTTGCCAATGAGATTTTTTCTAGTTTCACTAACTTCGAAAGAGTTCGAAATGTTAACATGATCTATCTATATTTTGTGTAACTTTACTTTTGAGATGTAAGTTATCCATACAGAATCATTTTTCTATACAGAATGTGGTATAGCCGGCAAGAACCGGCGCATAGTTGGAGGCACCACAGTCCAGCCACACGAATACCCGTGGCTGGTGTCGCTGATGCTGGGGCCGAAGCTGCACTGCGGAGGGGCGATCATCACAGATATGCACATCCTCACCGCTGGACACTGCATCACTTTCGGGTTAGTATGTAGAATAGGACCACCCCAACCAGCTCATCCCTTGAATGCCCTAATGAGACGACTTCCAGAACCAATTTCCGAACATAAGGCTTCCATCTAGCCAACAAATGGAGTGTAGGCTAAAGGACGAAGCAAACTTATCAACCCGGAAACTGATCGTAACCGTATCAACTCGAGGCGAAACTCCGTACTGCAACGAACACTTATCCGCAACCGTAACGTAAACGCCTCGACGCGTCGCCTCGCAGTTGACAGCGCGCGAAAAGCGATACGGTGTTGATCCCTTTCCGGATTGTGATATGTGATGTATTACCTAAAATCCTCCATTTGCCTCCGATAAATATAGAGAGTCGTGCTCGCGTAGCAGAGACAAGTGATCTGATAGTAATGACCCATACGAATATTTCGTTAAATTGCCGTCTCTCCCTATGAGAAAATATACTTCAATGGTCTACCAGAACTCGAACCAAAATCGTTTACAGGGTACATTTCCGCGACTTAGCAGTCTATGTGGGAATGCATGACCGGCTTGACAACTCCTTCGTCACCCTCCGCGTGACCAACGGCGTAAAGCACCCTCAGTTCACGTCGAATGCTGTCCGGGACATCAACGACATAGCTGTGCTGACGCTCAACAAGAAACTCCGGTTCTCTGACAAGGTCCGGCCCATCTGCTTGCCGAGTGAAGGTGCGTTTACATCATAATTTCCCTACAAATGACACATCTCGTACTTTAACAAATCTATTCTGGGACATTGCTTGCTAAGGTAGCTTATAAAGTTAGCAGCACTAATTAAAATAAATGGTTGAAAGAAATGGATAAAGCAGAACATTAGGTACTTCAGAAGGAGACTTTGCGAAATATCAGCAAACCAAGAGGTTTTCTACGTAGGTATGGTAGGAAGTAAATAGGTTGGAAGTCTCTCCTGGTTGCCTCCGACAGGCCAAACTGGAACATTGGGGGAGACTTGTGTTTAGCGGTAGACGTCCTACGTATAGCTGAAGGAATGCCTGAAAGGTTATCTTGTGGCCTTGCTGTTAAGCTAACTACCTACCTAATCACGTCAGTATTAAGCATTCTCGATCTTTCTGTCAACTACTTCGTCACCCTCCCTCCACGTGTCAATCGATCCACATGGGTCAGGGATATTAAATCGCTATACAGTCGTGAAATGAATCTGTTAAACAGCAACATACTAATGGAAAAATGTTGTTTACCACAACCTAATTAGGTACATACCAACACTTGTTAATAATGTGTGAAGCATGTATAATGTGACTTTCACGACAATTAAGCTAATTGCCATAGCACCTTAGCGCAGTGACACCGTACGGATGTGAATACATATCCAGTACCCTACCTTATTCATCGAATGTAGTGCATTTTTTTGTTGAATGTTGACATGTTTTTGTTGATTGTGTAGGGCAAAACATTGGGTTGGCTTTACATAGATGATCCGTACCTATTCACCGCCCGGCCCTCTATCGGAAAAATGGTTGAAAAATGTTTCAAAGAAAATTAGTCGCAAAATATATTATTATTATGTATGCTCTTTGACTTTCTACTCGTAATAGGACTAATAAAATACATAGCTTCATGCTATTTACGATAGTGAATTGCTAAGGTATTATCGTATTTACCACAGATTACTCACCACATCATACTACAAGCAATTATCATGGCTTGGTTGCATGGTTAAATCGAGTTTATACATATAATAGTGTAAAATAGCTTTTATAATGGAAAACCTAATATTATTTTCTCGATCGCAATATTGCTAAAATGAAACTTATTAGATTTTCTCGTCATAATTACCTAGTACGCGTTATAGAGTCCATGTAGAGTGAAGTCAACATTAGATAAAGCTAATCCCTCGACTATAAAATTGTCACGTTAGCATAAAGCCAAAAACTTACCTATAATTATACTTCTTACAAACTGTGCTAGTTTAGAACTAAGTAGGTATTCATCGGTATTAATCCCACTATAACTTTTTTATGATGATTGACTTTTGTTATTCCAAGCTTTCATTTGTTTAATTAAATTTAAAACTATATTTAAAGGGACCGTGGTTACCTGCTGATTGTTTTCAACTTATCAAATCAATCAAAGTAGTATAAATGCCAAACTAATTCGATTTAATCCGTTTCCTTCTACCATTTGTTACATTTATTATTAACTATTTTGTTATGTTGGAGATTGCTTTTATTTTCTTACTAGCTTTCCGCCCGCGGCTTCGCCCGCGTGGAATTTTGTCTGTCACAGAAAAACTTTATCGCGCGCGTCCCTATTCCAAAAACCGGGATAAAAACTATCCTATGTCCTTTCCCGGGACTCAAACTATCTTTATACTATCAAAATCGGTTCAGTGGTTTAGGCGTGAAAGCAAGACAGACAGACAGAGTTGCTTTTGCATTTATAATACATATTAGTAAAGATGTGTATGCTAATTTAATTTTTCTAATAGTCTCTATTTCTGAAGTCATAAGTCAAAAAATATCAATGCAAAGTACGATTTTCGCATTTGTACCTAAAGGAGTATCACGAAATGCCTTTTTTTCGCTGAGTAAATGCTTTGCGCATTATTTCTGCAGTGTAGGGATCAGTCCCATACTCCAAGTTTATCCATTAAAACCTCCGCATGTTCAGGTAATCATGTCGTTATATCTCGCTAAGTATCGGCGGGAAGATGGAGAATCGCTATTCGCATAAACTCCACTAGCCTACGCCTAGCTAGGTGTCTCATAACTACGCCTAGCTAAATAGCATAAAAATTGCTAATCTACCTTCTCCATGTTTTTCTTCACAGACATGGACTTCCATAATCTGCCACTAACAGTCGCTGGCTGGGGCAAGACCCGTCAAGGAGCGTTGACATCCTCAAGGTACCTTCTGGAGACAAAAGTGCAGATCGTTGACACTGAGAGGTGTCGGAAGTCATCGATATACAGGGACAACCTCGTCCCAGACACTATGATGTGTGCTTACAGCCTTGGAAAGGATGCTTGCCAGGTAGCCTCATTTTTTAGTTCTATTCTCACCCAGATGATCAAAGTGGACTCCAAGCGTCAATTTGGTGTCCTTTGATCACCCATGGATAAAATGACCTGGGTGATCAAATCAATTTGGTGTCTTTTGATCACCCATGGATAAAATGACCAGGGAGATCAAAGTGAACTCCAGTTTAATTAATATTTTAGTTTCCTTTGACCTGTAAATAAACATCACTGAATAGTCACATACATGTCCAATTTGTTTGTTGCGGTTTTTTAGAAAATATCAAAAATGTTACAAAACAAAATGATATGGAGTAGACCATTTATTATGCATTACCAGTCAAGTTTACTTCTTCTATCGGTACATGAAAAAGAACTGCCTACATATTAATGGATCTTTCTCGCTGGATAAGACCTAATGTAGGCGTCTGGGTCAATCGGACCCACACGTCTTACTGTGCCCTCTGAAGAGTGGTATCTTTATATCAGGTCGATCCAAGCAACGTCGTATTAACTAAGCGGAGAACAAAAAATATTTACGACTAAAGTATGAATTCATGTTTTTAAAACCTTATTGCTATATTCTTTGATCTATTACAGGGTGACAGCGGAGGACCACTTTTCTCAACGAATCGGAAAACTCACAATAAAAAATGGTATCAAGTTGGTAAGATTTTTCGTTCATTTTACGAATTCTTAGTGGGATTATTCTATACCTATCATGGATGTAGTACATACATAATTACTTATACACAATGCAAGATATAATATGAAAATAAAACTAAATCAAATCTGAAGTGAAAACTGCCTTCAAATGAATCATGAAGAAATTTTCCATGAAAATTGTAGAGCCGGAATTTTCGTTGTTTTACGCAGGTATCGTCTCATGGGGAATCGATTGCGCAATGCCAGACTACCCGGGTAAGTAAAGGGCTTTTCCTTGACACTATACCTACCTATAAATTATAACATCACCTGTCTCTTGACGCGTTTAATTCAGTAAATTTTATAATTTCCTTATTAATGGATTCCGTTATATTTGTATCGATAAGGTGTCGAAGTCGATAAAGACTATCTTCCCTAAAATCTGAGAATTTAATTTAAAACATAACCCTCCTTCAGGCGCAGTCAGGTATAAACAAATTTATTAATTTTATGTTATTTTTTCAACAGGCGTATACACTATTGTAGCAAAATACATTACCTGGTTAAAACAGCAGACTCAAGATGGGACGTATTGTGTGTAAAACAAACTTTTTAGAGCTTAAACTAGTTAATAAAAAATAGTTCATAGAGTTAAGATACATCCATTTATTACAAAAGATATTATAAAGTAATGTTTTTCATTAAGCCCAATAACTATTTAAACTTTCAGGACTGTCTTGTTTTCAGGAACAAAAATGCAATGGGATTTGAAATTTATTCGATACCTCTATGTCCAAATCTCAAGATGATGGTTTAAAAATAAGTAATAGGTACTTACAATTTCTCGTGTGCAAATTTTATGTGCATGTGACCGCTTACTAAATCGCTATTTTATTACATCTGATAAGGAAACAACAAACAATATAATATGACGATTGATTTCTATACATTCCTATGTATGTTGACATTTAATATTTTTGCAAAATTATTGTGATTACTGTGTATTTATTATTACACTAAGTAGTATACTTGGTTACATATTGTGTGTTAATAAGAACGATTTGTAATACAAATTGATTCAACTTAGCGGTGCATCAAACTTCATTTTGAAAAGCAGTTCAAATTTGCGAGATGAAATTTATAACGTCCAGCGTGAGAAATTTACAAGGACATTATCGCGTGTATAATTTCTGCGTTTCTATACGGTAGTGAGTGAGTGTACTTCGATGGGTCGGCGCGTGGTGTGTAGCAGAATGCTGAGTCTTGTGATCATCCTTGCAGTCGTGACGCAGGTTTGTAGCCTTGGGCTTAAGTAAGACCTCATGCAAAACACCTGTATGGATTGTAATGTTCTTTTAGGTGCCGTCAACTCGCGGACACGAGTGTGGTGAGTGCAACATTTGTTATTGTTTTAATGTTAGTTTCACTCCTCTCAACTTATTTTTGCGCGTTAACTCTATATTACTCAGTTTAAGCTTTCTTTCCAACGTAAAAGTAGAGACCATTTGTGTTTTCATAGAGCTACTATTCATACAGGCTATCCTTAAAAGTTAAACGGTAACTTTACAGAGTTATTTTCATTTCCCTGTTTAAGCTACAATGAACTAATGAAAAATTATCAAAATCTTCGGTACCACATTATTATTTCTTCATGAAACTGATTTGCTTACATGTTTGTCAATTATGAGCTAATTAAAATACTTTAATAAATTATTTAAATAAAATACATGTTTGACAATGGACCACCCAATTTGCATGTTCTGACTCTACATCTCTGCAAATTTTTGACAAATCTCCGCCTATTAAATAAAGCATTTATGAATAATTACTATCATGTCATTCAGTTTTGCGCTAGTAAGCTGAAAAAATTTTGCCTCCATCGACAGAATGTGGAAAGCCTTCAGACACAGTGGTATCCATGCGGATCGTGGGCGGTCGCCGAGCGGCACCCCACTCCCACCCGTGGACGGTGGCCATCTTGAAGAATAATCGGATGCACTGCGGCGGCGCCATCATCACTAACAAGCACGTGCTTAGCGCAGGACATTGCTTCAAATGGTGAGTCTGAAGGCATGTGCTGTAGAGATTCTTGTTTACGGTATAGAAATGCTGCATCTTAATATGGAAAGCCATAGGACATACTGGTGTCCATGCGGATCGTGGGCGGACGCCGAACGGCGCCGTACTCCCCACCCGTGGGCGATAGTCGTATTCAAGTCGTATGCCTTCTCTTCACTGAAGTGCCATAACTTAAAGCCTTGTTCCTGCATTTGGTTAGCGCAGAAACGGTTGTCTAGTAAAGTAGGCCTTTTTCCAGCTGTAGACATCATTCAGTTGAAATTAAAGTGATTTTAGTAAGGTAAAAAAAAAAGTAAAAGTACTTAAAGTAAAAAGTATTTTATTTGCCAACAAAAGAATTACAGTTTGTTTATCTAGCGGCTGCTGCACTAAGCTGTGCTTGTGTCGCGGCAGCCTAAAGGTAAAGAAGAATCACCTTTTCAGGGACAACTTCAAAACCATGCAAGTCCTGATCGGGCTGGACAACCTTGACAATCTCAACAACGTGGCGCACCGCAACATATCTGACGTGGTCATCCACGAAGGGTTCACGTCAACCGCGGTGCGCGACGAGAACGACATCGCAGTAGCCACCCTGAACGAACCGGTGGAGTTCGGACAGACTATTGTGCCGATTTGCCTGCCAACACCAGGTTTGTTACGTATTTTATAGCTATTCTTAAAAAGGTTTCTTTGTCAATAATTAGCAAAACAGCAGCAAAAAGTATTAAGGCTTTAGAAAATGGCAATTTGTAAATTAATTTTAGTAATTTAGATTTCATTAATCCGTCAATGAAAGCAGTCCAACCACCGAACATAATTCTCACACATGACTGTGTATTCGAGCCAAAGCAATTATTTTTTTTAATTTCACCATTTATGGGAATGCATGCCGTATTCCTGAATGCCTGTACAATAGACTCTCGTCTACACTAATGTTATAAAGAAGAAGACAATTCATTGTTTGCATTGGATAGGCTCCGAAACTACTGCAGTTTAGAAAAATATTCACCTTTAGAATCCCACATATTTCTGATGAACATAGGCGGTACGAAGTTCGCCGGGTAAACTAGTCTATTAGGAACATTTAACTCAAAATTCCTTTTTTAACCCTAGGTCAAGAATTTGCATCAAGAGTCGGTACAATCGTAGGCTGGGGAAGAATGGGAGTAGAGAAATCTTCCTCAAAGTTTCTTCTCAAAGCACTCCTCCGTATACTCTCAGACCAAGAGTGTATGGAGTCGCAACTCAAACAGCATCTTAAGCCCACAATGATGTGCGCTTTCTCCAAAGGAAAAGACGGCTGCCAGGTAAATAACACTCGTTCAGAATTTACAAATGACTGCTGGGTTAGAGTTGTGCAAAGGAAGGAGCGATATGATTCACTACTGATATAGCGTAACATTGAAACATACCTACTCGTAGCATGCCCGCTTAAAAATCTTTAATTAGTAGTTAGTTGGTAATCATGCGAAAACAGTATAGATACTGAGGGATGTTTGAAGTTCTGCATATCCTATAAAAAATAACACTATTACTAGCTTGATGTTTGTGGAATATTTCTATAGAGGTGGCTTCAGTAAAAAAATAATTACAACACAAATAAAAAGTGAATAGAGTAAATAAATAAAAAGTTAAAAGCGCAAAGTGCTAATATTACAACGATGAAATCTACGATTTTTCCAGACGATATTAGAATCGATATCACAACACTAATGTTGTAAAAGGTCTCTTTGATATGTAAGACCACGTTGCTATTTGGTTTTTAATGGCCTAGACTCTAGTCTAGGCTCTAGATGCTTAATCCACACTTCTAATTTAACTCTTAAGTACACGTAATTAAATGACTAACGCATTTGCCTGAATAATCGCTATTCTAAATATCTCTCTCTACATACAATGCGAAGGAAGTATCGGATTTAATTTATCATTTTCAGGGAGATAGTGGAGGCCCACTTCTGGTCTTCGAAAATAGTGGTCGTTATGTACAGGCAGGTAAGAAAGTGATGATGCACAATATATCTTTTCTGAGGCCAGTAAAACAAAAATGGTCAGGATAAATCTGAGATAACATTAGGGACTTTATCAGTATTTAGGTGGTGATATAGACTCATATCGCCTTATTACAAAAATTTAGCCTATAATTAAACTCTAATTTATATTTCCATTTTGGGGAAATGTTATTTTAAACCAGTGTTCATCTCGGGTTCACCATTTTTGTAATAAGGCCCTTAGTAAATAAGCTCTACTAAATCCGTACCTACCTCAATTTTCTCAGGCGTTGTGTCTTGGGGTATTGGCTGTGCTGATCCTAGGTACCCTGGTAAGTTACTATTTCGCATTAAACTTCATGAGCAATAACTTCAATATTATGATAATAAAATATTTTATTACCCTTTTAGGAGTTTACACAAAAGTCAGCAATTACATTGATTGGATACGGCAGCAATCAAAAGACGCGATTACTTGCGACTAGTTAATATTATTGTAATAGATATATTAAATTACTAAAAATATTTATAATTTGTATTGATGTTTTATTTTTTTAACAATCAAGGTGACATGTTGAACATGGCGTAGCACGTTCGTAAAAATACACAAAAAGCACCATGTTGTTTCATGAAGTGCTCTATAGTGACTTTCCCATCACCAACCCGTCCCTATCACGAACCGTTCTACCACAAAAAATAAAGAAAAACGTGTTATTCTTCAAAACTTGCAATTTGAAAAGGAAGGTTAGCCTAATATTAATTAAGTTAATTTGGTCAAACAATCAAATCGCATTTAAATTATAATTAACACTACAAATTACAAGAGCGTATTCATTGTCATTTGCATCAAGAGTCACAGGTTCAAGTATCACCGGTTGCCTAACCACTTCTTTGATTGTCTACTATCAAACAATGCTCTGAATTCTTTTATAAACTGAATTATTTTTGGACTCTCAGTACAGTCCTCAACAGGTCTTGTGATAATAAACATGGCAGCTTCTGACATCCACACAGAGAGCCCTTGTGTGGCAAATGGAAAATCTGGTAAGGCAAATGGAAAACCGTGTCAGTCAAATGGAAAATCAGTCTCTGAACTCACCGTTCAGTATATTGGAACGGATTTTAAATATAAGCACGAGATAGTTTGGAAGAATGCCATCGGTTTCTTGGTATTACATTTGCTAGCTCTTTGGGGACTGTTCATCGTGTTTACTGGTGGAGTACAGTTCAGGACTTTATTATGGAGTAAGTACCAATTTCATCGACCGTATCTTTTTAATTTTGTCTTTTAAACCATGTTTGTGTCTATTATGGTATTCACTTAATTCTTGTAATGTATCTGAAACTGGTGATGTTAGTATTATTATAATTAATTATTTGTAAAGATTAACGGTTTCAATTAATGTAACAATTTTTTCAGCATTCTTCATCGCGAATTTTTCCAGTGAAGGTGTGACCATTGGAGCCCACCGGTTGTACACACACAGATCCTTCAAAGCCTCCCCACCGCTTAGAGCTATGCTGCTCATCATGCAAACTATGGCTGGCCAGGTAAAGTTTGGGACTTTTGGGACTTTTTTACTTAGACTTTTCATGGATTTTGTATGGCAACACAAGGAAGTGAAGTCACTATTTTGTCAACTCAATTAAAATACTTTTTCCAATTGCAATGCAACTAAAAATTTTAATTTACAGGTAATTTAAAATTAATTAAGTCTTTAGACTACTGAAGACGTGTCTTTTTTTAAAAAAAGATGTGATTTCGAATTATTGGGGAAAGTTGTCAAATAGTCTAATCAAGGCGAAAAGTATTCCACAAATACATTCACCCGCATCCCTGGGTTGTCGAGTAACTTAAAAATACTTATGTACTTTGTAGAAGAAGTTAGGCTCATTCATTACCATGAAAAATGTCTGAAAAGACAAATGACTCAATCAGACGCGTAGCTAATTATTTGTACATTGTTCATACATAATTAATGCAAAATCATTCGACTACACTTGGCCTACATTGCATTGGCTACTGATACATTGTCACTAATCGGTCATACTAAGGCTGTTTCTTTCTCATTTAGTTGATTCAATTTGCTAGTGTTTTAAAATAAAATTGACACAGGCTTGGTCTTTTATAATTATCTAATATCAACTAATTCAGGATTATTATGTGCCTCTCCATTCCGTCTGGACATTATGGGCGTGCAGTGTGCTTACCATGAGTTTACGTTACGTGTGCTCACTAGCGACTGCGTAAAAAAATGACATTAATTGTATGACATATTGTGCAGCGCCCCTAGCGGCTACTTTCAAGAAACAAAATCTCCATAGAGATTTTTGACGTTTTCGCTAGCGAGCACACCTAACGTAAACTCATGGTAGGTACACAGGCCAAATCCTCCATTTGCCTCTCGTAAATTGCGAAACTATTGACCTGATGATGAGGAAGGGAATGCATTGTAGGGAATTCGAACCTTAACTTCAAACTCCGATGTTCTTCTGATTAATTTATTTATTTTAATTACACAGGTTTATACCTTATTACGTAATTAAATAGTTAGGTAACAACAAACACAATAACAATACCTTAAAGATTAAAGAGAACACTGCTCACAAAAGGATTGGCAAGTAGACAATATTTTATGCCAAGGGTCCGCAAATACTTATGTCACGATGAGGGTAGTCATCCAGGAGTGCATTAATATCGTTGCGGATCGAATGACAGTTTAACTTTCCCCCGGGACAAGCTTGACTTTTACTGGTTGGGTTTTTTTGGCGGTCAAGCTGTAGATCCTGGCTACACAGGAGTTGCAGCGGTGGGAACGAGAGGTGGAAATAGAATATTATGGTGATGAATTATGTAATCTCGTCTTAACAGAATTCCATGTTCATCTGGTGCCGCGACCACCGCCTCCACCACCGCTACTCAGACACGGACGCCGACCCTCACAACGCGAAGCGAGGCTTCTTCTTTAGCCACATCGGATGGCTGATGACCAAGAAGCATCCGTACGTCATCGAGCTCGGCAAGAGGATTGACTTGAGCGACCTGCAAGCTGACTGGATGGTCATGTTCCAGAAAAAGTAATTTCCTTTTTACTAAAACTAGAATACACTTAGCACTGGAGGGAAGTCGAACTCCTCCTATGTTCTTCTGATTAATTTCGTTGCGCGTCCAATGACAGTTTAACTTTTTCCCGGGACAAACTTGACCTTCACTGGTTGGATTTTTATTGGCGGTCAAGCTGTAGACCCTGGCTACGTAGGAGTTACAGCGGTGGGAACGAGAGGTGGAATAGTCCCGTAACACTACAATATTTAATGCTGAACCTTGATTAATGATGGCTTTCAGATGCGAAACCCGCATTCTGAGAACTATGTTGAAACTTCAAAAAAAATCAATTTCTGTAATTGGTGACATCAGTAAGTAGGTTATACGAGTATGTATTATTATCCCAAATGGATTCAACACAAACGCCTACTACTAAAGTCACTTGCCTCTTTGTAAACTCTTTCGATCAAACTCATATTTTTTCCATGTCCTACAGATACTACTACCCCTTGTACATATTATTCGCTATATACATACCCGTGGCGATTCCCGTGTACTACTTCAACGAGCCATGGCTGGAGTCATTTCTGGTGTGTTACTTCATGAGGTACATCCTCCAACTGAATGGGACTTGGTTGGTCAACAGCGCCGCTCATCTATATGGCACCAGGCCGTATGACAAGTAAGTACTTACAAAATACATGCCAATGTATACCAATGTTCTTCGAGTAGATAAATCTAAAATAATCCTTTAGATTCAGTCAACCTAATTAGTACCTACATACGCAATATAATAGCAATTATCTTAGACAATAATAGAGACAATAATTTGAGATGTGTTTATAAGACACGGTTAGAGCACAAAATAGAAATTGCACAGACTTCGAAATAAAATTAGTAAGAAACTTAGGTCAGTGTTCCTTCGGTTTATGCATGCATAGTCTCATTTTTAGATAAGTACTTGTTTATATTTATATTGATCTTTCTCACCAAATATTTATGTTAATTTAATTAAATAGTCGAAATGATAATAATTGACTTTTTTAGGAATCTCCAGCCTGTAGAGTCTTGGTTTGTCTCATTCATCTCCCAAGGTGAAGGGTGGCACAACTACCACCATGCGTTCCCATGGGACTACAAAGCGGCGGAACTGTCAACGCTTTTCAACTGGTCTGCCAGGTACATCGAGTTCTTCGAGATGGTTGGGCTTGCTTCTGACTTGAAGAAAGCGTCTCCAGAAATGGTAAGTTCGAAAAATAGTAGTTTGAAATCTTAACGACATTTGATGTCATTTATGTAAAAAAAAATCAGCAAGATGGCACAAATCATTAAGGCAGTCTTATCGTGATATAGCGTTTACCTAGCCATGTCCAGACGAGTGTAACGCGTAATGGAAATGTACCGTGTAATGTTATACGAATTCTACGGACGGCACTACGAGCATTACATGTAAAATGCTGCCCCATAATATGTATTTCCATTACATTACATGATACATTCCATTACGCGTTACACCCGTCTGGACCCGACTTTAGACAAGAAATCGTTGATGTGTCTCCATCAAAGAACCAAAAGAATTTCTTCTTTTTTGCAGATCAAAAACAGAATCAACCGGGCTGGTGACGGAACCCACTTCGAACTCGGTAGTGAAGAGGCAAAATGTTCAGTCAAGGCGCTAGGTCTGTTGCACCCATTGAACCCTAGTTTCACGACTACCTTCCCAGATCCCGAAGCCACTTTGAGGCTTGAAGGCCTTCCACTTTACCACGAAAAAGATATTTTAGACTGTAGTAATGTCACAGTAAGAAGATATATTGGATCTGCCAAGTAAAGTAGATTGCAAAGCCTGAATGTTATTATAGATATAGAAATTAAGAATTAAAATTATCTTAGCACCGTTTGTTTTATCTCATTAAGTGATTATTTTGTTTTGTTCTGCATAATAAGAATGATTTCAGGGGTTGTAGTGATGATAATTTAAGGACTCGTACTCAAGTAGGTATAGTACTGAAATATTATAGATTTTAATGTAGTAATTAAATACTGATAAATAGATACAAGATTTAATAATCTGTGATGAAAAACCTAATAATCAGTAATTTTTATAAATATATTTAGTTCAAAACAATAAATAATAAAAAAGTTATATCCTTTTTTACTAACGGAAAATCGTCTGTCATTGTGCCTTTTAATATCATGATAGAAACAAATAAATTATATTTGAATGAAAAACTATTTAGTACAACAATCAGATGCTCCGTTTTTGACTTTTAATTTTCAAAATAATTTTCAAAATTAGAAACACTGGCAATCCGAACGAATCTGCTGGCGGATCCAGGCGGCATGGGAACTTATGCTGGTATACAGAGGAGTGGTCTCCTGCTCACAGGACGCAGAAGATATGATCCCAACCAGACGAAATGCTCCATTCTTCAGCAATTGCGTCATCACTGGAGCGCCGACGTCATCCTGTTTGAAATAGATTAGTTTTGCAGGGAAATTGAATACGGCACTTATGCCCGTTTTCACTATCAATCCCTAATTTATAAGTGACCCTATGGTAACACATAACAGGATTTTTTTTTTCATAGGGGTCACTTAAAAATTAGGGATCGATGGTGAAAACGGGCATTAGCCTCTTTATTTTGCCATTGTGCGAGATTTGTGGTTTGAAATAGACAAAAAAATATATTTGAAGAGCACATAGCTACAAAGAAACTTAACATCGCCTTTAGGTATTCAATGAATAATTTAATTCCAGTAGAAAACCAATTAAGTATCTTAATGTTCCACACTTAAATATAATCACTTGGAGCAAGTTGAAGAAGTGTTAGAACTTGACAATTTTTTTAACAACGAAACTTGTTTAATCAACAACAACAACAACAAGTTCAATTTATAGATAGGATTTTTTTACCAATAGCACAAAACTTTTATCATGGATAACATTGTTTTAAAAATCGATTGAAATCAAAAAATAATTTAAACTTAATCAACAAAATGTGAATCTTCTTGAATCTTAAGTAAATAGACTGAGAAATATTGAAATTAATGAAAATGTAATAACGTGCACTTACGCTGCATATAACACTTGTAGTGCCAGCGGGTCCCAAACAGCCTTTGTCTGACGTCACCATGGAGACATTGATGGAGCTGGTGAGGCAGGTATCTGACGACAATAACGGCAAAGACGCCACCTTCGGCAAGCAGCTGGAGCCACTCGAATAGTTGCCCCATGAGGCAACTGAAGCCACTTTTCCTGATCTGTCTGATCCTATAAAAATATTTAAATGGTTAACTACTTGTCAGTTAAATGATTAACTACTTACTTAACTACAAACTTATTGTGACCGTGACTTTGTGCAAATCATTGTGATAATGATAATGAAGCGACTACGATTGAATAAAGCACACGTTGTATTGGCCATCAAGTCTGAACCCTATTTCTCTTTCTCTCAGAGAAAAAAGGGACAGGTTTTAAAAGGTTTTAAAAGTCTAGTCTAGAAGTCAGCGCTGTGGCTAGTTGTGTCGTAATAAAATGTCACTTATCAATATAATAGGCAAGCAAACATTTCCTGTTTGCTCTCGGTCCGATGCATCTCTCGATGAGGTTAGTGTAGGAGACCGAGTTCCTCAGCTTGATCAGCGCTATGTCATTGTCGCTGGTGGTAGGTGAGTAGCTAGGGTGGATGAGGATTGAGTCGGCGCCGTAGCTAGTACTAGTAGTATTGTAGTATAATGTCACTTACCAATAATAGGCAAACAAACAGGAGAGATGAGGTTAGTGAAGGAGACCTTGTTCCTCAGCTTGATCAGCGCTATGTCGTTGTCGCTGGTGGTCGTTGAGTAGCTGGGGTGGATGAGGATTGAGTCGGCACCGTGGCTGCTGGTGTCATCGCCGTAGCCACAGCGATCGCGACTGCCGAGAGTCACGGTCACCTCACTGCTTGATACTCTGAAAGCAAAGTATTATTAATAAAATAAATAGAGTTATTTAATTTTACATTACATAACTGTATTGTTGACGATACAATTTCAAATATGATGATGGATGATAATCTTTAAAGTTAAAACAATACTTGTTATGCAAAGAAAAGTAATGGACTGGTAAAAATATTAAAAGCATTATCATCAAATCATCGGCTAAGTGGCAAACCACACTGAGTTTTCCTCACAAAGATATCTTTTAAGAAAAGACCATTTTATTAAAGGGTACAATAAATAAATAGAAAAGGTTAGATATTTACCCATACAAAGGAGACGCAGCGGTCACGATATGTGAGTCAGACAATAAGACCCCGCTAATGTATCTTGAGCCAACCTCCACCGCCGCTAACCAAGGGTACTGGTTCGGAGACACCGAGTCGCGACTCAGCCAGCTCTGAGTAACTGGTCTTTGTATGCCACAGCCTGAAAGAATTAAGTAATTATCCTTATTTTGAAAGAAAGAAAGAAACATTACGAAACAGCGAACAAAGACAAAGTGGAAAAAATATTGAATTTCATTAAATTAAATGTAAACTAAAGCAGATAGAAGAGGTGAAGGTCGCGGGAGGTGCCTGGATGCGAGTGGCGCAGGACCTGTCTTTGTGGAAATCGTTGGAGGCCTTTGTCCAGCAGTGGACGTCTTTCGGCTGAAACGAACGAAGATCAGAAGCTGAACTTACGACAGACGCAGATTTTCTGTCTTCCCAAGAGAAAATCAAATAATGCAGTGGCATTCTGAAAACCAACAAAAGAAATGTCACAAACACTGACACTGGTGTCAGATTTAAAGAACCACCAACCGCCTTAAGCATTTGTTAAAACACTAACGACGTCATCAAAGCTTTGAATTACAAAATTTATTACTTAATTAGTTACTTCACAATCAGATGAAATAAAATGATTACCTGCACTTGTAAGAAAGCAAAACACAACAGTGGTAGGAAAAGCATCTTTTCGCTGTGACTTCCAAAATGTAACTGATTTCCCTTTTATTTAACACCCAAAACATTGACGTAAGATTTTCTTAATTATGCGGGCTAATTACCAAACTTCGATAAAATGGTGATTCACATTCTATGCAGGACAAATAAATTCATTCACTTATCTATTCGCAATTTAATTTCTAGAGTTAAAGGTACAGAATATACTAAAGTAGGTAATTAATTACTGAAATAAATTAGAAAAAAGAAATACAGTTAAATGTATGCGATGGCAAGTAGGGCCACATTTGCGATTAAGGTATCTTTCCATTATAATAATGATTACAATAGAATTGAGTTTGCAATGGCAAATTAAATAGTAGTCGGTATGGTGCTTAGTCTGAACAGTAGCAGCCTTGGCGGGCGTTTTCTCGGATCCAATCCAAATATTTGTTGACCCTAGTATACACCCCGGGGTACCCTGGACGTCCGCAGCCCACTCCCCAGGAGACCACACCTGGAAAATATACACCCACCTTAACACTTTCCCGGACAGTAACCCAGACACAATAGAAGTTTAACGCTGAGTTGCACCAGCTCACTTTAACCGTAACTTTAACAATAACCGGTGTTTTAGTATGGAGTTTGACAGATTTTTGACGTCTGTCAAGTTAAAGTAAGATAGTGCAACTCAGCCGCTATAGCAGTTCACTGTCCAGAAAAGTGTTATTAAGATAATATTAAGATAGACAGTTCAGTAAGAGGCATTCACTTCGCTTTAGCTTTCAAAAGGAAAAACATTATGGCATGAAACATAGGAGACAATAGCCCAATGTTTGATGAATGAGGCATCGACCTGTACAAGCTTATTAGCATAGTTATCTGTAGGAAGTAACGGGAATTATACCACAAGTACAAAAAATATAAGTTTAGATTAGTCAAAAAATACGATTCGATTGCCAAATACTAAATATTATCTATTACATACCTAAAAGTTCGTATTTGTTATCTTTTCTTTCAGCACAAAGAGGCCCACCGCTATCACCCTGTAAAAAGAGGGAGAGTGGGGTAAGACGGGGTGGGGGGCAAGACGGGGCGACCGATCCTGAGTGCGAACGAATTAGCCAATCAAGATCGTTTTAGCACCTGACGCCGCACCGCCATTACGGCAATCAGTTATCGAAGTGAGCGGACAACGACACCACGCATTTGATTTGTTTTCTGGAAAAAACTGTTTTTTGCTAAATAGCTAGTGATTTTTCTATATTATATTGGGCGTGTATTTTCCGTAAATAATAACACCTCGCAATTGATTTAAATGTTATCAAATGTGAAAATAACAACACTAACAGGTAAGAACTTGTTTTCCTCATTGCTGCGTACTGGTTTTATTCAGTTATTTTTTAAATTTTATTTGGCATACGGGGGCATTATGGGGTAGGTGTTAAGGGGCAAGATGGGGTAAGAAGGCAAGCGACATAGAAATGTCTAATTTTACTATTTATTTTATTCTAGAATGGTGAGAAATTATAAAAAAAAAGATTAAGAAAAAGAAAGAAGCGGAAGAGGATAAACAGCAAAAAAAAGAGTTGAGGGAACTTAAAAAATGTCAAAAAAAACCTGCAACTAAAGAGAAAAGAGTAACAAAGAAGAAAATAATAATGATCTATTCTTAGGGGCTAAGAATAGATCATTACACGAGACTAGTGACAGCAATACTGAAAATACACCTTGTTTGTATTGTAAAGGCCTATATTTGGACTCAAATGAAGGCTGGGTTGCTTGTTCAGCATGCGGCAAATGGGCTTACTGCAGCTGTGCAGGTTTAGATGACGAAGATGCAGATACCACTTGTTAACATTGTTAACAGTAAATAGTCGTTTGCTGCCATACCCCATCTTGCTCTCTTATTGGTACCCCATCTTACCCACGGGGGTACCCCATCTTACCCTAGGGGTGGGGCATGATGGGGATAAGGGTGTATTTCTACTTTTTGTTTTTTAAATTTTATTATGTTGATTAGACTGCCAAATTACACATTAACAATGAAGACTGATTATCGAAGAAGATTATAAGAATAAAACAAATTAATAAAACTCTTTACGGTCAATTTTATTTACCATCAAACGTTAAGGACCCCGTCTTACCCCACTCTCCCCTACCTAAGTATAAGTGCGTATACGGGCAAACCATAAATTTTCAATCGTTAGATATCTTACCCACTGAACCGTTAAGTTTTCTCAAATATTAATAATATTTACTATGACTATTCACTTACTTTTTTACTAATTATCAAGACAAATTACCTCCAAATCCTCCAATTATGCCGACGACCTCATTAAGGTCCGCTACCAACTGGTCGTTATGTAAATCATTGGGGAAGGCCCATGTTCCGCAGTGGACGTCCTATGGCTAAAATGCTGATGATGATGATGATAATGATGATGATGATGCCACTCTCACGTCCTCTATTTTACAAAGTCCCTAACTTCTCGAAACAAAGAGAAAACCAAAATAAAATAAACTCTACCTGACAAGTATCTTTCCCGCCCTCCTTAAGGTAGCCAGCGCAAAGCATGGTGTCAGCAATCATGTTAGGCATGTACTTGACCTTCTTGCATTCGTCATTGCTTAGCACTGGGACCTCCACTTCCATCAGCTTGCAGGAATGATTCTTCTCCTCTGTTAAGGAACCCCAGCCTGTTGCAATTGCCTTTACACCTGCGTACGTTTGTCCTGAAAGAAAAATGTGGAAAATGTTCGGAAATTCTAATTGTTATAGACAAATTCGGTATCATTTTTATTTTACGTCCACTGCTTAACATAGGCCTCCCCCAATAAGTTAGTTGCAACTAGCACCTTCCTGCTACCTTTATATTTATGATAATCATAGTTAATCTATGGAATATTGAAAAGTTATACTCCTTACCATCATCTTTAGGCAAGCAAATCGGCTTGACAGTATCAGTGACGTTGACTGGTTCGTTCAACTTCAGCAGAGCTATGTCATCCTTAAAATTGGAGTAGGTGAAGTTGTGGACAACCATTTCCACGACAAACCTGGTGACAGGTCGCCGGGTGGCGTTGCACCGGTCGTGCTCGCCTAGAGTCACTTTGATCATGAACCAGTTGAAACTGAAAAAGAATACAGTATTTTATGACAAAAAGCATTATGTATGTAAGCCCACATGGATATCGATCTGATTCAATAATAGCCAGATAAACACGTGTTTGTGACTTGTAAATAAAATAAAAGATGGGTTACTACCACATCAATTTTTTGTTGATAGAGAAACGGTTACCAACAGAAAGTATCTCACCTCTTAACACAGTGTGCCGCGGTAAGCACATAGCGGTCGTTGATGAGCATGCCCCCACAGTAGAACTTCTTGAAGTAGGACAACCTCACGGCCCAGGGGAACTCGTTGACCGCGGTCTCTACACCGCCCACTATCCGGGACGCTTCGTTCCTTTCGCCACATCCTGGACAGCACATTAATAATGGTGTTATTATTTTCATTATTATAATGTGTTATTTAGCAGTCTTTATCTACTTAATCTTTTTTTTGTTATCTTTCAACTTTAAAGTTCAGTAAGGCTGAGTTGCACCACCTAACTTTGACCGTCACTTTAACAATAACCGGTGGTTTTTGTATGGAGTTTGGCAGATATTTGACGTTTGTTAAAGTCAAAGTATGATTGTGCAACCCAGCCTAAGTCTTTCCAGAAGCTTTTGAAACAAACCTTTAAGTCTCACAAATGTGATTGGATATCACAAACTTGTAACATACCTTGTATACCTTCGTATTGTATTATGTGTTTTGGATACCAGCTTACAAGGCAAATGTGCTCATAAATATGGGGACCCAGGGGAATGTAATTCAAATACTTACGCAAAAAAGATTCACTAAAGGTTATTCCCCAGTAAAAGTTGTTTATGTTGATGATATCATTGGTTTAAATGATGCACACTTTAAAATCAACATCCTGAATGAATAATCAGCAGGTAGGTAATATAAATAATTCAAGAAATAGACAATTTAAAATCGGTACTTACGGCAATTACACGTCCGCTTTTCCTCAATTTTTACATCATTATCAATGTTTGTCGTCACATTCTCAGCTCTCACCTAAACAATAAAACCGGTGGATACAAAACTCTACCTACATTTGGTTAAAGTATGGACACACTTCACTTTGAAATTGGTACTTACGAAGAAGCTAAAACATATCAACACCACTATAATCGCCTTCCACATCTTCGAAGCACTTTCTTCATATGTTTCCACAATATATCAGAAATCTCAAGATGAGACTCACACAGGGAAGAAAGAAATTAAATTCGTTGTAGGAACTATGAAATCTGTGCAGACTCTAAATGCACTAGTGCATCTGAGATCCGAAGTAAAGTGCAACGGGAGCGAGATGGGAGCATTGCACTCGACCGCGGGTAGGCTATAGCATGCAGGCTCTATTTATTTGCATTGCTATAAACCTAGGCCTTCTTTGTAAGCGCTAAGATCATTGCTAACATTTTTACTCTGATGATGTTAACATACGTAACGGCTATTTAGGTTATCACCATCAATCCCTAATTTTTAAGTGACCCCTATGGTAACACATAACAATTTTGATTTCATAGGGATCACTTAAAAATTAGGGATTGATGGTGAAAACGGGCATTACAGTAATACTCGTTCACTTCGCTATTTCGCGACAAATCAGCGTATAGGTAACAGACTCTACCATAGTTCAAATTATACCTATTTTATTTTTCTTTATTCAGAAACACAGCCCTTTTAATATTATTACAAACAGGTATTGGTAACGTTTATGGATATCGAATGGATTAGAATTACCATGTAATAAGGCATATTATAAAAGAGGCATGTAATAAAAGGTAAGGGAAATAATAAACTTATTGCCTTACATTATATTTAATATGGCATTATAAATTGATTTTAGCGAGGTTACAGTAAGCACCTAAGCTCTTAAACTAATATTCAATATTTGCAGTAGCACGCATCCTGCGTGTTGTCCCGGATCCAGTCCAGGTATTTCGTCACTCTGGTATACACGCCAGGGTAGCCCTTCCTTGCACATCCGTATCCCCATGACACTACCCCTATAATATGAAGAAATATTATAATGAGCAATATGAAATGATCACACAGTTTAAATCACTTCTGTGGAAGAGATGGTTCTTACAAAAAAAACTTTAAATTGTTTCAATGAAATTCTTCAGTTGAGTGTTTTGTTATTAAAATTTTAGTTGACCCTGAGGCTGGGTTGCACTATCTTACTTTAACTTTAACAAACGTCAAAAGTCTGTCAATCTCAATACAAAAAACACCGGTTATCGCCAAAGCTAAGTCATGGTTAAAACAAGGTAGTGCAACTCAGTCTTAGTTTAATGAAATTACATAATATTTTTGTCAGTTAGCAAAAGTTATTCTTTATTTAATGTACCACTTAAATATAAGGTAATTCAAGCAAATGTATTTACCTATCAACTCGTATGCGTGGTCCTCGTTTTCTGTTATCAATGGCCCTCCACTGTCACCCTGCAGAAACAAGAATGAAACTAATTTATCTTAAATTTTTCATTGAATTCGTTTTTTTACAAAGACCTATGAATAATACGGGCTTATTTACATTGTCCGATATATGGATTACTTATCTACATGTTTTTGTGCTTTTGATGTTCTCAATAACGACTTTGCTGAAGAATTTTGCAATAAGATTTTTTTATGCCGAACTAGGCAAGTATTTCGTTTTAAACTTATTATTATTTCTGACGTTATTGCTAACATGTACCTACCTTAATTTTGAGTTTCCGATCTGATGGTAGCAATCCCATCAGTAATAATAATTAGGCATGTATTTGACCGCAATCTCACCTGATGTTAAGTGAGATGCATTATTTAGATGTTAAGTGAGAGTGTAGGATGTATGAATGTAGGATTAGCAATAAAATTTATAATATTGTATAGCATATCTCACAGTGCACGCGTCCTTATGCGCAGTAGCAGGGTAACCCGCGCACATCATAGCGTCCTTGATCTTGGAGGCGTTGTAGCTGGTCGCCTGGCAGTCCTGGTTGCTCAGCACAGGCAGGTCGGCTTGGAGTAAGGAACACGACCAGTTCTTGCTCTCCCCTGTGGCACCCCACCCGGCTACAATGGCTGTAGCGCCTACATATGTTTTTGCTAGAAAAAAAAATTAAGGCTCGTAAAAAACGACATCATGGTAGGTAAACACATGAAAATGCCTTGAAATTTTATTATATGAATGGTATTTGAAACAAAGAATTTGTTTTGAAGAGTATCCTACTAATATTATAAATGCGAAAGTTTGGATGTCTGGATGTTTGTTACTCTTTCACGCAAAAACTACTAAACGGATTTTGATGAAACTTTACTTTTGGTGAAGCCGCGGGCAAAAGCTAGTCATTTATAAAGGATCAATATAAATAAAGTAAATTCAATTCAAATGTAACTTCAAATTCTAATTTATAAGCGTAATTAAAGTGGTGTTTAATCGTACCTATTGGTGTTAAATAGTTACTTACTAAACAATTTGGCATCTACACTACAAAATCTTTGGAAAAGTACAAAGATAGTTATAGTCATTCATTACGTACAAAAGCATTAGCAAATCGTGGATGTTTCAACACTTGTTTTTTGTCTTAAGCCTACTGTGTTATAATTCTTTTTGTGTCAATAAAATTATTTCTGTTCCATTCTTGCATGTAGTTTTCAGTGAACACTTAGATAAGTGGAGCCTACATAAACTAACCTTCATTAATCGGCAGGCACACCGGCCTGACCGCGTGCGAGTACGTCACGGGTTGATTCAGCTTCAGCAAAGCCACGTCATTCTGGAGGTCCGTCAGCGAGAAGTTGTGGGCGTACATCTTCACCACGTACCGCGTTTCAGGCCGCACGCTCGTGTCGCAGCGGTCGTGCTCCCCGAAAGTCACTCGGAACATGAACCACATGAATCTGAGGGTATATTGAAAATACTTAATCAGGCGGCTTAAGCCCAGTACAGACGGTGAAACGCAATTGCAACGAAACTGCAACTGCTAGTTACTTTTGAGTTGCATTTAAGTTTCTGCTATAGCGTCCGTTGTTTGAAACTTTCAGTTTCAGTTTCATTCATAAGAATCATCAGAAAGTTGCAGTTTCTTTGCAGTTGCGTTTCACCGTCTGTTCTGGGCCTTAGTGCGACTTTACATCAAACGTATTCGATAACGACTGAGTAAAAAAATGACATTAAATGTATGACGGATTGTACAGCGCCCATAGCGGATACTGTCAAGAACTAAAATTTTCATAGATTCTTAACGCACTCGATATCTAATTGAAAAAAAGTTTGATGTAAACTCACACAACGCCCCAGGACTTATTTCTATAAGATTGAAGATATAAGACAAAACTCAATCTGTCCTGTAAATTGGTCTAAATAATCAAAACAACTAATAAAAACCTCCACTCCTGAAAATTGCATCGAGTATTAGGCTGAGTTGCACCATCTAACTTTAACCGTAACAATAACGATAACCGGTGCTTTTTATATGGAGTTTGACAGATTTTGACGTTTGTTAAAGTCAAAGTAAGATGGTGCAACCCAGCCTTTACCTGTTTCTGTAATACCTACATACGAACACCTACAATTAAGCTCATCAGTTCACATTACTTTTCTCCTATCAAAATTACAACATATAATGTAAGGATTCCAAAATTACGATTCTAAGAACATTTTTATTCTATATGCTACAAGATACCGTAAGCTCATTATGATATCGACTGCAGTACCAGTTTGAAAACGAATCCTGTATCCATACGATAGACTACGAACGTGTTACGTAAATATGTACGGCTGCCAAAAGATATCCATGCATGATAAACTTTCCAAGACTTTCCTTCTAAGGATGCGGTCCAAAGGTTGACGCGACGTACGCGCAACGCAATACTTATTTGATCTATGAACTATACTAAGTTACTTACTTTTTTGCGAAATAAAAATAAAATCAGGTGCAAGGCCTGGAATTATTCTAGACACAAATTCTTTAAAGAATCTACCCCTGAAATCAGGTAGTTTTCAATTGGCTGTAAAATTAAAATTTTAGTTCTTTGGAATCATTAAAGTGTCAGTCGATTAAGTTCCCAAAATAATGATTAAATTAATAGTCCTTTGCCATAGAAAACCTTTGGTAGAGTCGCGTTTTAAAGAGCTCATAAGTAGTCAATTGTCCACTATGTAAAGTAACTTATTGTTTTCATGCAGGTGAATGTGCTAAAAACTTAAAGCAATGTTATTTATTAATGTACAGTTAGGCTGAGTTGCACCACCTAACTTTGACCGTAACTTTGACTGTTGTTTTTTGTATGAAACTTGACAGATTGTTGACGTTTGTTAAGGTTTAAGTAAGAAGCTTTATGTACTTACCCTTTAATGCAATGTGCAGCCGAGATGACATACTTGTCATTGATGAGAGACGCGCCGCAGCCGAAGGACTTGTGGTAGATAAGCCTGGCCAGCCAGGGGAACGCGTTCACACTGGACCCCAGACCTCCGACTACCCTCGGTTCTTCGTTGCGTTCGCCACAACCTATTAAAATATCAGTAAAGGGCTACAGTGTTTTGTATTAGCACAATTCATGTCAATACTATCTTAACTCATTAAAAGATTACCAGACTCTAGAAAAGCTCGTGATCCGTGATGTATGCAGTCGCCGATAAAAAACTACTTTTATGCATAAGTAAGCAAATATTACGTAAATAACAATTCCACGAAGATTATTTTCCTTGTAACTGTAGGAGAGAGGTAGAATACAAAAAAGGATGAATCACTTACTGCAATCTCGGCAAAGGGGCAAACTCCTCTGAACTGGGACTGACGAAGGCAATGTGTATGAGTCTTCAGTAAATTGTAACCCATCCTAATTGACAGAAATCAGAACTTAACTGTGATTTTTATTTATTTTTTATTGCACCCAAACTGCAAGAACAATGTTTGTGTATTTGTTCTAATACTCGTATATTTTATGGTAAATCTAGATAGTAATGTAAACTTAACAGGTTTATAGTTTATTGATATCTAATCTTAGTTATAAAGTTGTTATGTCAGGTTAGCTGTTCTACCACGACTCTACTACGTATTTCATTAATCTAGAGATCGACATTAATCAACCAATTAATATTTACCAATAACATATTTTGTACCAAATAATAAGTACCTAGGTGTAATTATTCCAAACACAGTAGGTATATAATAAATGTCGTCGCTGATATTTAAAATATAGACTGAGAATGTTTGCTTTATTAAAATGTTGCATAGCTGATAAAGAAGTTACATTAACATTTAACTAATAATCTAAAAAACAATAAAGCTTACCTTGTTTATATTTAATCCTGTCGTGAAACACATAAACAAACACAAGAAAATCCACCACATGTTTGTCGTTTGAGACACTTCACTGTTATGAGCCTACAAAGAAAGTTCATGTATTTGGGGTTCAATGTTTTCAATACACTAACTCATTTTTTGTTTCCCGACGTACTTTATGGTTATAGGGCGCATAAAATGCTGCTCGAAGATCACGTAATAAAATAACATAAAATTAAATAAGCTATTGAAAATTAATCAATTAAAAACTTAAAAACCTCAGACACAAGCATGTATGACTGGACCCCGAATACAACTGTACGTTGAACATTTCGAATAATAAATTCCATGCAGCCACGATACAGTTATGATGACTTATTGTCAAATATATTTGGACAATATTGTCCAAATGCAAAAAAAACATGATTGTTACATTGAAAAGATTCTTTTAAATTTTTATCCAAACTTACTGGACTGGACATTGCTCAAGCAAGTAACATCAATGGTGTCCTATCCCACACAATAGTATTGTACGAAATTAAGTCATAACACCTTAAATTTATTCATAGATAGAATTAAAGGCAAATAATTTAAATGATAATTTTAACACTTCCAAAAATATAAGTAATAAGTAGTAACTAATTTGTTGATATTATAACAACTTTATTATACTCTTATTGAAATGCGAACACATAAAGCTCAATTTAATTTAATTGAAAATCGTGAACGGTATTCCGTGATTCAGATTAAATTGGGCAAATATTTAAATGGGTGGCGTCATCTTAGTGGCTGCGGAGGCTGTACGAACGACCGCGTATATTTGGCAATGACCTCGCGGTTCAATGAACTCTCTTACTTGTCTCCAATCGTCATTACAATTTAAACTTTAATACTCAATACATACATACGATATTGGTAAAAATTCGCGAATGCATCTTGGCCAATGATATTATGGCTAATAAATTTTGGATGCAGTGCCTTCGGACCACCTATAGAAGTTTTATATTACGAGTGTAATTCGGCAGATTGCTTTTGAAAATGAACACCGTTGATTTTATGTGAAATGTCGATGAAAACTGGTGCTTCTAACCAAACAATTACTTGACATAAAATTCTGTAAGCTTATATTGTTTTTTTTTTCATTATTCTAAAGATGTTACTGCTACTTCTCAAACATATGAACAGGTCCAAGTACCGCTATAGGATGGTATTACATAAAAGCAATTACGTAAATTTTATATGCCTATTTTAAATCTATACTCCTGGAGCAACTTTAGTACTTGTAAATTTGAAAAAAAAAAAACTTTCTTTTGAACATAACTACTAAAGCGCAATGTAAGAGAAACGAAGTTATCATTATCTGATTTTCCTTATCAAAAAATCAAAAATCAAAATCAAAATCAAAAATATTTATTCAGTTTAGACCACATGTGGCACTTATGAACGTCAATAGAAAATAATAAAAAAAGAAAAGGTAGCCCTTATGGGGCACTTTACATGTCTCCTTATCTTTTGGGCCCTACCAGCGCTTCGAGACAAACATTTATGGCAAGTGCTGAGAAGAAACGCCGGAACAAAAACATTGTCAACATTGTCTATTTGTTAACTCATATCAAGCGTGAGGTCGTACCTATTTTCCATTTCTTTATTATGTTTTCTTGGATGTAGAGTCAATACCCGATGTAATAGTTAATGAATTAATGTCAGTCTTTAGTCTTTAGTGACAAATTATATGAATTTAAGGGACTGATAATAAAAAACAAAAATGAATGAGGTACTTTATTGGTATACTGATCATAATTTAATTTTAAATAAAATCGTACAAAAATCCTTACATCTAACTTATCAAACTAAAATGACGACTTATTCATATGGCATGGCTTTCTCATTACAACTAGATTATTTTATAAAAAGTTACTAAAACATCTTCATTTAGGTACAATAATCCTTATTGAAAAAATAAAATGCCAAATTTTTGGTACTAAATACGTATTTTTAAATTAATTTAATACATAATTATTTGAATCTCGTAACGTATTTATGTAGGTTTAGGGAAATTAGTGGTTTTATAAAAGTTATATATAGATATACATATTTTATAGTAGGTAATATAGGAAATACAAAGAGGTATATTACTTCATTCAACAATATGCTAAAATTTTAAAAAACTTGACGCATATCTATTGATTATCGGTAGGTACAACGTTATTAGATATTTAAACCAAAACTTTCGGAATTCTGTAGTGATTAAAACTAAATGATAGATCATCTTAACTTATGTCATGAAATTGTACAATGTTAAAAACACTGTTAGTAAGAAACAAGATAATAAATTGTAATTTTTTCAAGACATATTAAAATCCTTGAAATTTTACATTAATTTGTTTTGTGTCCTTACTAAATCTGCAGCTGACTTAACTACATATTTGCATTGTTTTTTTTTTCAGTTTGTACCAGTTTCAATAATATCCACAGATCACATAGGACCTAGGTACACTTTTTTAAGACTTCATAATACAAAACAATATCTGTGGATGCCTAAGAATTTTTATTGAACAGCAGTCAACTCATTTAGGCAGGTAGTGGCGGTATAAGAAACTAGGTAACAAAACCACTTTACAGCTTAATACCTACCACCATTTTCAACTCTTTTAGATATAATCAATATCATACTACACCGTGTTGACCAAGAATTTGACGTATTCGGGCATAGTACGTTTGATTACCGTGAAATCGTATTGTACTGTAGAGACGTAGCTACTGTATTTGCGCTCACTAGTTGGCGCCACTAGTAAGGGGTATCCTTCCGTTTGGCCAAATTACTTTTCGCCAAATTTCACTTCGCAAACAACTTATCGCCAAAGTTTCATTTCCCAAATAAACTTTTAGCAACTGTACTTTTCACAACTAATTCATTTGGTCAAATTAACATTTGGCCAAATTTTACTTGGCAAATGTTTATGTAGCAAATGTTTTATTTTGCCAAATATTATATCCCAAATAATTTGCTTGGTCAAATTGACACTTCACATACTTACGAGTACCCACCGTTACCCACAAATCAAAGCATAAGGCACATGGTCATGGTTTTCACAATAATTTTATGTAAAACAGAGAGATTGCAGAAAATAGTATGGTTGCAAAAAGTAGGTATTGTAGAAAATAGTAGGTTAGGTTAGGTTAGAACAGTGACCCTTAATGCGCGAAGGCGAGCGAAGCGTGCCGCGGCAGCGGCCGCCGAGCGCTAGAATCATCTCTATTGTTAATGAATCATTTGGAAATTTCGATAAAAAGAATGAAATATGAAAATTTATTTAGAAAGTTTTTATATTAACTACCCACTAAACAAAATAATAACCACAAGCTAATTTGTATTCCATTCTATGCACCAATCAAATTGTTTTGTAAATAGTTTATCGTGAAATATTTTTGCCAAATGAAACATTTGGCAAAACATACTTTGCCAAACAATAATTTGCTAAACAATAATATGCCAAAAACGACATTTGCGAATTAAAAGTTTGCAATAAGTTGTTTTTCCAAATGAGAATTTGCCAAATGAAAATTTGCGAAACGTTGTTTGCGATGTGATAATTTGGGAAACGTTTTTTGGCCAAACATTAGTAATCCCTAGTAAGGCTTTGTCTCTCGCTAGTGGTTAAGACAGTGGTGAGCGCTGAACCGGTTGGAGGACTATCTTATTTGCACTCACAATGGTGGCGCCACTGTAGAGTCATTCGCAAGTGGTGCCAACTGGTGTTCACAAATGGTAGCCCTCATCGAACGTGCCTAGTCGGTGCAGTAGCAAGCATCCCGCGTGTTGTCCCGGATCCAGTCGAGGTAGTGCGTGACGCGCGTGTAGACGCCCGGGTATCCTGGCCGAGCGCAGCCGTTGCCCCATGACACCACACCTGAGTCAAAGCAGAGACATATTAGAAGTAGTTACATAAATACTAGGCGAAGACTTTTTATTATAATTTATTTCTTTAGTGTCGACACCGCCTTCCCCTTCATATTTGTTTCAAGTAACTGTCCTCACCATAGGTTGTCTGGAAGAGATCGCTTCATAGCGATAAGACCGCCTAATTGTACCTTGTGTGTTCCTTTTCTTCTGTTATGTTATTTGTTTGGTGTGCAATAAAGTGTATTTATTATTATTATTAAGACTATCATAAGTCATAAGAATCTTGATTTTATTTATATAACTAACTAATCTTCCATTTAGAAAAAAGATACATGACATGCTCTTGGTAGGAAACCAAATACTGACAGGCAGTTATTACAGGTACGCGGATGAAGGCGTAGGCAGAAGCTAATGACTAAAATAATTAAACTATCGTGCTGGTCTTAATTCATATCTGATACATATTGCATTTCAAATATAAACGCCTCCGTGGGTTCAGAAGTTCTGATTTTAACAAGTTGGCACGAATGCTGTAAAATCGCTTTTTGTGCCGTGTGAATCGCTTACGCCAGCAAGCGTTTCACTTTCGTTCGCTTCGCAAGGATTAAAGAGGCATTGTACAATTTGTATCTTCGTGTGGCATCAATATTCATTACCCACCTATTAGTTCGTAGCGCTTGTCGGACTTTCTCTCCGTTATGAGCGGGCCGCCGCTGTCTCCCTGAAAAATGGTAGAAAGTGATCTCTTATAGCTTATTCCGACTTACTTATGGATGGATAGAGCAATTAACACACCGGATTTCAATTTGTAATCAATTTAAATCTGTGCAGCTGGTGTACCGTGTAGGCAACTAAGCAGTGCCAACCTCATGAAAATACTTGAGTTGAGAGTAGTACTTATGCAGAGTCTTTTGAGTAACAAATTTAGAGCTAATAATTTTACAAATAAGTATTATTTATTCATTTATCACTCTTGTGACAGGCCAGTCAGATTTCCAGGGATTATGGCGATTGTGATAAATGACACTATTAAATTATTTAAACTTTTCGTAACTCAAATCACCCGACAAAACTCCTTAAGGCCAATATTAAAAACCCATAAAGGGTACAGCACTCCTGGATGCTGACCACTTCGTCATGATCTTGCACAATAGTGGACTGGTACTACTATAACGAACCTGGCAAGAATCCTTTAGCCCGGTTCCCGGATACCCAGCGCACATCATGTGGTCGGTGATCATGGAAGCCGTGTACTTGGTGCTGCGGCACTCCTGGTTGCTGATGACCGGCACCTCGACCTCCTGGAGTGTGCACGACACCTTGCCCTCCTCAGTGAGAGTGCCCCAGCCAGATGCGATCGCCTTTACTCCGACGTACAGGCTGCCTGTTGAGAGGTTAAGGGTTAGGGTCAGTTTCTAAGCCTCAGGCGTATTATAACGTGGGTGCGGTCATGGTGCGAGTGGCGGAAATGAGATGAAATCGCCAGTTGATTCGATGAAATAGCACTTTCAGGTTTGCTTGCAATATATGAAACGCATTACAACAAAGATTGAAGTAAAAAGAATATCTTAAAGGGCGTATTTCCTCTTACGACGGTGAAACCCAATACCCAAGAATGCTATTGCTGTTATCATGCTATAAGTAAGGAATATTTTCTTTTCCTGTGATATTAAATACCCTAAAAAACTACCCATTTCCACCAAATTCTCTTATACTGAGACACTTAAGAGCCATTTCACAAAAATATTCCGCGCGAATTTAGGTAAAAGCTGTCAACGCAACGTCAAAAGAGTAAAAAGAACGCTTAAATGGACAAAAAAATCTTGAGCCTTGACCGTATTAAGACTTGATTTAAGTTATTAATTTTAAGGTAGAATGAGGTATTCAAACTTAGTGAAAAAAAAATCTGCCCCTTTACAGCTCCATCATCGGGCCCTGGATACGAAATATTCGTCAAGGCGAATCACACAAGCCCAAACTCCATAGTTTTGTTACGGAGGTGGCCATTGCATCTCCTCCAGATCTATTATCAGACAGAGCTAAGAAATAAATAAATAAATATTATTATAAGTAAACAAATAACTAAAATAATTCATCTTACTATCTTACTTCTTACTAGTCTTACTAATATTATAAATACGAAAGTTTGTGTGGATGTCTGGATGTTTGTTACACTTTCACGCAAAAACTACTGAACAGATTTTGATGAAACTTTACAGTACAGTACAGCAGTACTAGGCAGTCTGTGTTCAACTATCACTCGGGTTGCCTTGACGGGCGCTCGCGCCATACTAATCGATGTCGGCTTGCGTATTGTAATTTATACTGATATTCACATCAATATTTTGACAAAGTGGTTACTAATATTTAAACAATAACTGTAGAAATCAATTCTACAATGAATATTCTTTATTTTGGGATACTTTTATTGCAGTTATTGCTGTGTTTTTAAACCAAAAACCACGATCAAAATGTGACGTTAATCTTCAAATTTGCCAAATTATTTTTAGATTTTACTCAATAATGGTAATGAAATTCAAGAATCTATTTCATTAATGGACTACAAGAATATATGTCCGATGATTACTATATATTTTTAAGCTTATTATATGAGCATAAATAATAGATACAGGACTTTGAAAATGAGTCTGCGGCAATTTTTCCGTAAAATGGTTGTGGGAGATGGGGCACTGTGAATTAAGCAAAAGAATTTTAGTAAATCCGTTTCATTAATGGTCAACAACAAGGATTGACCTATCTTTCGCAGTTATTAAATAATCTCTGGGTGTTGCTTAAGATAGTAATTCATGCTTCCAAAATCTTAGAATTTCGCACGAAAATGTAAAATGGCTCTTAAGTTCCGTATAAAAATAACTCTTAGTTGTGATATTTATCACTTCACTTCACAATCTTAAGCTGCACTATTTAGGTAAATAGCTAAAAATAGCAGGTTGATAAATTAGTGTTTAGTCAAGTCGTGCAAAAACTAAAGACGGATTTTAATGGAACTTTCTCGTGAGCCTCCGTTGACCGCGCAAACTTAGTGCTAAACGAATCTTAATGGGCCTTTCACTAACATGAGCCTAGTGTGAAGAGATCATTAGAGCTTCAGTTAGCGGAGATAAGACAATATAGTTGTTAAGTATTACGAGAACTGGCCAATAACTCTTCGAGCGTTTGAAATCTACACTGGCGGACAAATAAACCGTGCCTGTAGTATTATTAAAATTTGCCCATCTATGTATCATAAAAAACTCAATTTTCCTTGATTACATTTAATTAGTTATTAGTTTCTTAATGTTCATTTAGAACGATGAAAATGATTTCATGAAGTCATTATAGGTAATGTTCTTCAATTTCCGCGTAGTAGGCTTTTGAAAACGTTTTTCGTTTTCGTTCCAGTGTTTCAAAACTTAATAGGATTTTCTTAATTTTCGTCGATAAAATTTACGTGGAAGACAACAGTCTATCGTTTTACTTGGAATAGCGCTTGCATAACTCTTGCCAGCTGCTGACAGTGACTCAGCAGCTTGACTATAGTCATAACATTATGCTAAGTAATCTTATCATAGCTCCATAACTTACGATCGTTACTCGGCAGGCAGATCGGCTTGATAGCACCAGACATCTGGACCTTCTCGTTGAGCCTCAGCAGCGCAATGTCATTGTCAAAGTTTGACAAACTGAACTTGTTGGAGATGGCCCGAAGCACGAAGCGAGTCTCGGGCCGGGTGGTCGAGTTGCAGCGGTCGTGCTCGCCGAATGTCACCTTTATCATGAACCACATAAAGCTGGAAATAAAGAGCAAAATGTTAGTTGGAATTAGAGGTGGGNTTAAGCCCACAAGATGTAAAACATATCGCCCTCCAAAAGATACTGCAATTCCTAATGGATGCAGGACTCGGAGACGAACTGTAAGGAAAATAGCGGCGATCACAATAGATCGGTACCTACCAGTCGCAGTGATACTAGGACTTTATTGAACTAGAATAGCCGCTCAACTCAATAAAAAAATAGTTCTTCTGCGTTTGAAACACAAATTAGTACAGGATAGGAGAGGAATAAATTGCAAATAGTCGGTACGGTATCAGAATCGGCGCGCCGACAGCTGGTCGTCGGCGGCGGCGGCGTGGAAAAATTCGCGGCGGCGGCGGCGCGCCGGCGTGGCGCCCACCTCTAGTTGGAATACGCTAATAATAAAGGATCGTAAGTAGCCTACTTCTCAACAAAATCCAGACGAGTATCCTGATAATCGTCCGGATTTTGTTTATAAATTCTTACTAACATGTTTCTTAGAATAAATGAATTCTGTATTCTTTATAGTAGTACAGTAGAGCCTCTGTATTTGAGGATTCCGGGTGAAGCTCGCTTCCACTTGCAGCCTCATCATCACTTCCTTTTCCATTCAATTTCCATTTTCGTTTGTGACTTTAAAAATCGAAGTAGGATTAAGTAGGTACACTGTACAGTTTAGTGTTTCCTATCCTACGGTTTCTAAACCTGTCTCTGATTAATTTAATCTGAATTAAGTAGTGAGTCGGTGCATTTGGCAGATCTTTAAAGCGTTGCTTTTAGTAAGAGCAGCTTTAAACTTTTTATTTTTATAATTTCCATTTTCACTACTCGATGTCAATACGTAACCTATTCAATTATGCAATTGTAGGCATTTGTATTGGGCGAAAGTGACTCAATGTCTCGGTGACGCCCGTGAATAATATTGATGGCTAATTTACACTTTCACCTGAATTCCTAATATTACCTATTTAGATTTATTACCCCATCAAAAATGGTAGACTATTGAAACCATCACCTACCCATGGTAAAAGCTGTTATATCAGACATTAGATCCTTTATTTGTTGCAGCTGCTGAAACGGAGATGTATGTCGCCTGCAAACTAAAAAGAAGACTATGCATGGTCACCCACAAATAGATGTCGCTTCGAATGAAGTAGGAAGATGCGACGTGATGATTAAAATACCGCCCAACCAAGAAAGCCAACTTTAGACCCTCAATGAAAAACAAAATGAGACCTTTGATGGGGTAAGTAAAGCAAAATAAGTTCAAAAGTTACAATTTTATAGAGTTTGTAAGCCAGATTATAACGATCGAAGTACCTATAGCTATAGCATGTGCGAGATCAATGCATGTTGGACTGGCTCGGTCTGACTTGATTTAATTTTCGCTCCGCTCCAAAAGATCTGCGGATTGTGCGTCAAAGTGCTACGCATTTTCCCTAAACCTGACCTAAACAAAATCGGACTCAAAATGCCCAAAATGGATATCTGCGAGGATAATGAACTTAGCCCGACCCGCGCAGGCCGGTTCCAAGGTGAACGTACCTGCGGATACTGATCGGAATTCACCAAATTTATTTTCAACTTGTTTGCTAATTCACAATCCACAATTCCACGGGTTATCGGACCCGTTCTCGGTGATTTACGATCTCATCTGCAGTCTTAGCTTATCTGCATCTACGTTTCGATGGAAATTAGTCATTAACACAATAAAATAACAATTTATTGCTTGTAATATCGTTATAAGACTCATTCAATTCAAAACGAATTGGGGTGACGCTGGTAAATTTTAAAATCGTTCAAAGAAAATAATCACATTTTTGTTCTCCGTCGTTATTTTGTCATTAACCTGGATTAGTCAAGAGCATTTATGTACTTAATTATATGCCTACAGATCGCGTGTGTATTTAGCTCAGTCATTTGTTAGCTAATTATTAACTTCAATACGTTGGACTTTCAGTTAAATTGTATCTCTGGACAAACTAACTGAAAAAGAGACACCGATCCAGATGAATATTAAAACTATCCCTCATAATATTATTTTACAAATTCTATGACCAGTATAAGAATCTTCCCACATAAGTGATAGTTTGCGCAGCTGTCAATCCATCACTGAAGTGCTGGTCAAACATCGGACGTGCCGCCCACACCATTTTGACCGATACTACGCAAAACAAACAACTTTTTCCAAATCATACAGTTTCTAGATATGCCCGAGGCAATTTGGCTTCTACTGAGAAAAAAATACTGGAAAAATAATTCTAACCGTAGTTTCGTGTTTCGTGCTCCCACGATATTTATTCTTAAAAAATGTCTAGTACCTAGATATTACTTACTCTTCGAGTCTGCTTTATCTACCTATTACAAAATGAAGCGAAAGCTAAAAGCTCCAAATGAAAGGATGATTTTTCCATCAGATGTTAATTTACAAACATCAGGAGCTAGTTAATTAATTCTAAACGCTAGTTTCCTGAAAAAAGTCTTAGTCTGTCAATTATAATCACATAATAATGGACACGTAGGTTTATTTTTATTTGTCAATTAAAAAGTAATTACGAAGTTCGGGTGCGTTGAAGTTCCGCGTGACGTCACAAAGTGCTACACTTTTAAACACTCTTTGACGTCCCGGGCCTCTTCTTTAGAACACAAAAGTAAAAAGTACGTGTCGAGTATTTTTGAATAAGTTAACTGACTGACTAATTCAAACTCTTACTTTTTTACCCAGGAAACATCCCTATTGGTACAATAACTTGTAACCTACTCAAATGCAACAGACAGTATTAGTACCTACTAATTTCCATTGTGCAATTAAGATCACACCTGGCCCAATTACACAAAGCAGATATTACTAAGAACATTATCTCACATGACTCAACCAGGTTAATAACATGAAATTTAAAATCAATTACTTATCTTATTGTTATTGTATTTATTCCGCATTCACATGACTCAATTTATAATACTCGTGCAACCTTAACCGACATCAGTCCAAAGATTTCCACAGTAGGCATTTTCCAGACCACACTCCCAATCCTAAGGCTGGGTTGCACCATCTTACTTTAACTTTGACAAACGTCAAAAATCTGTCAAACTCCATACAAAAACCACCGGTTATCCGTTATAGTTACGGTCAAAGTCAGGTGCTGCAACTCAGCCAACTCATGCGTACTTAATTGATTTAACTATTGTTCTTTACCACACTATATCATGCATATTGCACATTTTAATTTAACATTCTGATAAACTATGATTTATACTTTTCCTATATTGTGTAATTTCCAATCTTAGATTTAGTTTTACTAGGTAGCTTTGATTACTTAGCGACTTTTATAGCGTAGGTATAATAAAGATGAAGTTAACGTCAAGTGTGAAGAACAGTAGCGTAGCGTTTAAACGTAACATCTTTGTTTTGTGCTCTATATTTACCCTCTCTGAAACCAGATGAAATCTACTTCTTCTAGATAGAGTTCAGACACTAGCTAGCACCTAACCTAAGCACTTCGTGTTGTTTATGCTCATTTTATTATCGGCCTAATACAAAACAATAAGTAGTTGCCGCCATTGAATCTACATTTATTTAGAGCATAGATTATGCCATTATGTAAGGCACCCCACATTTAATCACCCGGGGCACCGGGAAACAAAAGTGAACCATCAAACTCCTAGCTGACAGGATATACCGAGCGGGTGTCCCTTTTTGGCTTTTTTAACCATAACGCGGTAGTTTTTGGCTTGCAGTGATGAATAGGCCAAGGAAGAAGAGCTTCATCCGAATTCTTCAAGCACAGAGGAATTGAGTGACCTCAACGATGGCTATCGTTTTTATACTTAACAGTTGGCACCCCTGGCGATTGACAGGACCTTACTCTACAGTGGCGCCATCTTGATGAGTGCAAATGCGATAGTCCCCCTACCACTTTAGCGCTCACCAGTTGGTGCCACTGTCTTCGCTACTAGCAAGTGACAGGACCTTACTCTACAGTGGCGCTAACTGGTGAGCACTAAAACGATAGCCCTCACTGGCGACACAACAACGCTGTTATCATTGTTGTTATGGTGACAGACTTAGGTAATATGATAGTAGCTAGCTAACCATGCGGACTTAGACCAATCCCTACCACAACCAACTGAAAACTGTGTATGACTTTTTTTCTTTCTTTCTCACCACGTACATCTAGCTACAACCTGAACCCGATTGAGTTAACTGCGCTCAGAGTCGCATACCAGTAGGGTGTGCAAATAAATCGATCGCATTGTAAGTTATACGCACCCTTTAACACAATGTGCGGCAGTGAGTACGTATCTGTCATTGATGAGCATGCCTCCACAGTAGAATCGCTTGAAGTAGGTGAGGCGAGCCATCCAAGGGAACTCGTGAGGGCCCGCGTCTTGTCCTCCCACGATGCGGGGCGCGTCGTTTCTCTCACCGCATTCTGGAAATGTTAGAAGGATATTATTTTACGTACGTATTCAATAGAGGATAAGCATAATAATAAGTACCATCCATCTTTTAGACCAGGGGCATTCTGGCCCAGGAGAGGGGCAAATACATTTTTTTGAAGTTGGGTACCTCCTGCTATTAGACACTTCAGAACGTAGGTAAGGTAGGTACGGACTTATTCATAGGTCTGGATCTACATGCATGCTTTGTTGTGTACCTAACTACATGTAATTTTTCTATTGATTTATGAACCGCCATGGATATCTCACACAGACCATGTTTATTGTAGTGTAAGAAAAGATAATATTGAAAAATAAAGTAAGTTTAAGCGCGGCAACTTGGTCTACTTATTACTTGAACTTATACTTGTCCCTTGTGCCGTCAAATTTGCCGCGCATTTTCCGTATTTTTTTTTATTTTAAGGACAACACTCCTCTTTTTGTTATTTGATACAAAATAAGCTTTTTATGTTTGGCCTTAAACTGGTTTTTCCCGCCAAAACTTGTGGTCATAAAAATTGAGACGGAGATTTGCGTTATAGCATCCCGTTACAAATACCTTGATTCTGTAGTTTGTTTGTTTATCAAGAACGATTTACTAAATATTCAATGAAAAAATTAATACTAACTGCATGTGCACGTGGTCTTGGCTAGATTAGCTTCCATCAACGGGGGCCGGTTGCCCCATACTCCGCCGAAGATGTTTTTCGTGAAAACCCCACGGGTGTCCCGAACTATATCACCCTGTATAAAAAAAATTATAAGTAAAAAATATCTTACTTTTGTATACAGTGTGAGTCACGTTAAAGTGTACATATGAAAATAGATGAAACTAGACCTATTTTTATCGACAAAAAAGAGGTCAAAAAATTTTTGAGATTTTTTTTTAATTTTTTATAGAATTTTTTTTCTTCAAATTACTTATTGTAAAGAAAACGTAATAACTTTTAAACTAAGCGGTATATCCTGATAAAATAAAAACAGTAATAATGCTAAATAACAGGCGATACTAAAAAAATACATAAAATACAAAAAAAATGCCAATAAATAATAAAAAATGATACTTTTTGAAAAAAATCTGCTTTAAAATTCGTGTTTTTTTGGTTATTTTATAAATTTCTCCAAAAAATGCCCCTATAACCGGTGGTTTTTATTACTTTGTATTATTTTCTATCGTATTATCTTTGTAAAACCAAAAATCGCATGTCTCTATCCCTATCACAACATTTGCAATGATCGTTTGAACTAAGCCTCTCCGGGCGCGCCATTCAACGCTTCGTTAACAACAAAACTGAAAATGGCTCTAGATTTGTAATTTTGATAAAGACAAGTTAGATTTCAAATAAAAACAAAAGATTTCGAAGTAAAATAAGCATTTTAGTTAAAATTAAAATTGTCTCTACCTGTAGCGGAGAATAATGTTGTGGCAGGCCTTTGTTCAAACGATCATAGCAAATGTTGTGATAGGGATAGAGACATGCGATTTTTTGTTTTAAAAAGATAATACGATAGAAAATAATACAAAGTAATAAAAACCACCGGTTATAGGGGCATTTTTTGGAGAAATTTATAAAATAACCAAAAAAACACGAATTTTAAAGCAGATTTTTTTCAAAAAGTATCATTTTTTATTATTTATTGGCATTTTTTTTGTATTTTATGTATTTTTTTAGTATCGCCTGTTATTTAGCATTATTACTGTTTTTATTTTATCAGGATATACCGCTTAGTTTAAAAGTTATTACGTTTTCTTTACAATAAGTAATTTGAAGAAAAAAAAATGTATAAAAAATAAAAAAAAAATCTCAAAAAATTTTTGACCTCTTTTTTGTCGATAAAAATAGGTCTAGTTTCATCTATTTTCATATGTACACTTTAACGTGACTCACACTGTATTATAAAATTTGTAATAAATATGATTCAATAAATGTTTTTTTAGTTTTAATTGTAGAATAGTAAACAAATCAACGGAATTAGTTAACTGTTCGATTCACGCTAGTAATTTAGTTTTATTACATAAAAAAGAAACAAAAGAAACAAGTCAATTGTATCAACTATAGTTAGTGTCAATTTGGCAAATATTGTAAAAATTGTGACCAAACTAACAAACATGTCACGTAAAAATAACGAAAGTACACAAACCTCTGAGTACGTGAAAGTTGTAACGGCCAGCACTAATACAATGCACTTCCACATTTTGTCTATGTTTATGAATAAAATGGAGATGAAAATTCGAAATTCAAAAATTTGAATTTAGACCTGCGCGGACTGCTGGCGCATCGCGGTCTTGAACTTTCGCGCGCCCGGACGGTCACACACTGAGATGCGCCGATCGACAGCATTGGTCACACGCCGTGATTTGGACACGACGTCACTGTAACCCCACTAGCCTTAAGCGCCGCCGCACACTTGGCTACAAGAGGTAGCTTGTGATCATGGCCACTTAGGGATTAAGCAATCTACCACTTACCCCTCTATATTTCACACCAGCTAGTGGCCTGACGAGTCTACTAGTGGAGAAAACTCATCTTTTGGAGTAAATGGTGGATTAGATAACTTTAAAGCACAATTGTTACCGCTCTTTTCCATAAAAAGCGTTTATAAAGCTTTTGTTATCGTCCCAGTATAATTTCAGCCCTACCACTTACCTAAAGTGTCTATAATTAGTTTTTGAAACTTTGTAATGTATTTTCCCACCTACCTAATTATTCCACCGAATCATAGTAGGTTTATTAACTTATAATTACACAAAACACGTAAAACTCCCTAGAAACTTCAACCTTTACAAGTGAGCTGGTAGAGAAAAAATTGTGAAAAAGTTTAGACATGGATTGTAGTGGCCATACTATCCAGTTTGTCTTATTGGTGGCCAAGTGTGCGGCCCTGTCGTCTCATTTATCTGTGGACAGCGATAACAGCTTTTAGGTTACCGTCGGCGCCTTTAATAGCGTCTTAATAGCACCTACATTAAGTTATTTTGACATATCTACCAGCCTATTTAGTATAACTTATAATCTTTTAAAATAATAAGTACCTAATTTCAATATTCAAAGAAATACTATTTGCCATTTTACCTTTGTGTTTAAGTAACTCTCTATTAATCATTAAGCTTTCAGTTTCAGCTTCGAGCTTTTTATTAATTGATCGTAGAGTTTCATTCTCATTGAAAACTACCCTTTATGGTTCAGTTACATAAAGTAATTGAAACTTAATAAGCCTATAACAGAAAGTCTCTAGATTTTTCTTTTCTTCTTCTCTTGAAACTTATTTCAAGTCTTATTTCAATTATGTCTCTTAAGACATAATTTTTAGCTGAAGGAGCCTGCCAAAATTAATTTATATCGATGTTTTTATATCGATGAAAAAAGTTTACATCTCTCTTGTGAATAAATCTCGTAATTTTCATATTTGTCAACTTTTCAATATTACGAAACATCTATACTTATAATAAATCTGTAGAGAGGTCAATTCTGTACATGAAATATATTTTCAAAATAACTATCAGGGGGTGATTAGTGATTGATACTGATGCCAAAAATGCAATCAGTAAAATTTTTGTCTGTCTGTCTTTCTGTCCTGTCTGTCTGTCTGTCTGTCTGTCTGTATGTTCCTTATAGAAACAAAAACTGCTCGACGGATTTTAACGAAACTTGGTACAATTATTCTTCATACTCATGGGCAGGTTATAGGATACTTAGGAATTCCCACGGGAACGGGAATTAGCGGGAAAATCCTTTTGTATGAAAAATCTAAACCGCTTAAGTTAGACGCTTGAAATTTGGCATGCAGGTACCTTAGTAAACTTAAAGCTTAGTTACAACAGGATATTCCAAAATTCCCACGGGAACGAGAGTTAGCGGGAAAAAACATTTGTATGAAAAATCTAAACCGCTTAAGTTAGACGCTTGAAATTTGGCATGCAGGTACCTTAGTAAACTTAAAGCTTAGTTACAACAGGATATTGCAAAATTCCCACGGGAACGGGAGTTAGCGGGAAAAAACATTTGTATGAAAAAATCTAAACCGCGTAAGATAGATGAAGGGGGTAAAACGGGATCCACGCGTACGAAGTCGCGGGCGGCCGCTAGTAATAAAATAAAACAGTCTATTTATTGTCTTACAAAATAAAACCAGTTGTCAGCGAACAAGAAGGCATTATACACGGTGTCTGTATAGCAAGGAGCAGGTGGCCAACAATGACGTCCTGGCGAAAGCGCCACTTTCGTTTCGTCAACAGCACATCAGATTATACATTTTTGCTCCAAAATAGCATCTATTACAATGACGTAAGATACCAGCATGTCAAACTTGATGTGCTGTACATACATTCACTGACAATACCGCGTTTTAGTGCACCTGTGTGGACTGTGGACAATCGCTTGCTTCTTCACTGCGCTCTTAGTCGATGAAAATTGTCGTTCGATTGCACAAATCGCTACATTTTCTGAATGTTCCAAATTACGGTTATTAGGAAATGCATTATCCCTCGTCTGTAAAAGAGAGACAGCAGTGTACCCTGACAGTAACCTACCCTGAAATCTAAAAGGGACTGACTGGTTGACGAGTTTTAATTTACGGAAAATTTTCAGAGGTTGACCCTTGATTAATCACATTGTAGACTAAAGCTAATGAATCAAGAATTTTTGATATCATCTTCTTAAGCTGAATCTGCAGAAAAATAATTCCAAAATGTTAAGTTAATTTTATTGTTACGTAAGTAGAGTCTATCTCGATATAAAAAGTAATGCACTACGCATTACTTTATTTGGCAATACACTCGAATTCCAAACTTTTCCTTGTCAATGATTATGCCAAGTGAAATTTACATTACACACAAAAAGTAAAAGTACCTGCTGGTAATTTATAAGATCCGGGTTAAAATGTGATATCACAAAATTAAATGATCGTGAAAGGAGATAAGTAGGTAGGTATTATTTTCATCACAAAATTTGATCGAAAAGTCTTTCAGAAAGTAATATCAGCCTTCAATTTTTCAATACACTTATGAAACCAAATTTTAATAAGAGACCAAAATCCTACACTTAATAAAAAACAAATCGAAACAATAAGTTTATGATTTAAACACGAGCGTAAAATTTATCAAAACTTTATTTTATTTTTTAAACTTTGATGAAATAATGAGCACCAACAACACTATTCGTAAAATAAGTAAAAAAAACATTACTTAAATTAAAATTTACAAACAATCCAATAATCATATCAAATTAAAAACAACATTAAATCACTGTCGAACTCTAGCTATCTAACAAATTGAGATATAACAGATAAAAAACTAACAGTTATGTTAAATTAACATTTAAAATTAAAGATCAAACCATTATGTTAACATTTATTAACGAGAACAATTTTCAGCGATCACAGGTGTAGCCTAAAGAGCGTTTCTTTTTCTTATTTTAAACAATAATTAATTTCCACACTTTATCCTAAGTCAACCTGCATACAGGTTTATAACTACGTAGGTACTCGCTGACTCTTTTCATTTTTAACTAGATCTACCCCCCACAAAGCAATTTTTCAATTAAAGATGTACCGTTCCCGGTAATTCCTCGATGGTATTCTCAGAATATTAGTGCTTTAATTAAATGGAAACATTCCTAATCTTCAAAGATGCCGGGAATCTTACTTGGGAAAAGACATCTCCAGTTTGAAATAAAAGTAACTTACTTATCAGTGATTTAGACATAGTGCCAAACATTTTTGGAAACGTCTTAGTCAACAAGTACACAGATATTCTAAAGATAAAGAAATAAATTAACAAGTATAAATAGTAAAATTTAAATACGCCTAACACTAGTATGTACAAAACAACATTGAACACTTAGGCAGTTGTAAAACACTTAAATATCTAATGGTAATCTGCACCACCGGCCTGTCCGAAGTATAATAAATTAATCTAGGTAATAATGAATTAATACGTGCATAATGAATGTTAGTTAATTAATTTAATAGCTAATGAACTGTATGAATGAAAGAAGATGAAGTAATTACTCGCTACGTGTCGATTGAGATGGCTACACGACACACGTAATGATTATTAGCTAAAGCGAGCAAAATTGATACTTAACTAAAGCCCAAATTACAGAGTGATGTTGATGATTAATGAGTGAATGAAATGATCACTTATTACTACAAATCAAATTATTCTATTAATATTTTTAGTTTCCCATTGTAACAGTCGAAAACTAGAAAAGGATAGCACAAATCTCGATATTATACTTAGTTAGTTTTACTTATTAATAGTTGGGCAGTGGTGTAGTATTATATTAATTGAACCCTGCGATAATAAAACCAGAAAATACTTTGAACATCTGAAATAATTTCTCACTAGAATCTGAAGTGAAATAATTGTATTATTTTCCTAAAAAATAATGCTATTATTTCGTGTTAGCGTTATAATAATACATTTTTAATTATTTTTTTATTATTATTTTTGTATTCTTTGGTATTCCGATACGTAGATTTACGTAGGATGTTTTAAAAATTTAATTGTTGTTGGTATAAAGTATCACGATGCAACATTCTCATAACAACAAAATCCTGATCAAAATTTGTTATAATTTTACGTTATACAAAGTTTGACCATGTGGCTGAACAAATTTTATTCACTTTTGAAAAAGAAGTGTCTCTTTTACGGATCACATCGTGTTTTGTATTTTCTGATATTATTTATTAATTGTAGGTACCAAGTGAAAAACAACGTAATACTTTTTTATGTGGTATGACACATTGGGAATTGGCACGTTAACGTTTTAGTTTATTTTGGCGCCCAACAAAACAATAAACAATTGAAATTAACTATTTAAACATTTAAAACATTAACTACGATTATTAAACAGTAATAACTAAAACTTACATTGGATAAGTTTTGTTTGTCCTTACAATAGATGGAGTATCAATAAATATTTCCTTCATTAATCTTAAATCTAGCCCAGCCATATCATCTTATTTTATACACTGATTTATTAGTAGATAGCTCAAAGTTCCAGCATAATTTTAAACTTCTTCTTTTTGTATCTGTATCTTTTTTAACTACATATTTTTTTACATTTTGTTACCATATTTTACGTGCGTGATTTATTATCTTATGTTCCCAATAACTTTATGCATATTATAGCTGGCGACTTACGACGACGACGACGTATTTGAATGTAATGTATTTATTTACAATCGAAGCATCGCTTATTTAAGTACAGCGGATTGCTTCGTCTAACTCTCAGTTTCATAGAAACCTATGAGCGAACGCAGCTGGAGACTGATTGTACGTTACTGCTTGTGTTGTTGCTTGTTACAATCACCTTACTGCTTACGTTACAATAACGTTACTGCTCGTTACATTACAATCACGTTACTGCTCGTTACGTTACAATATCTTTACTGCTCATTACGTTGCAATAACATTACTGCCATTACATACATACAATAACGTTTAAACCGTCAGCTCTGTATTTCGTTTCGGCACAGGGTCAGGTTTCGATCGTCAGTTGGCACAAAGACATGAGTCGCGCAGGTTTGCGCGCAGCCAGGGTAAGTAGCGGGTGATTCGTGTGTAGACCCCGGGGTAGCCTGGCCGACCGCAGCCGACCCCCCACGATACTATGCCTGGAAGAAACATCCATCGATAAACATACTTCGAAAATGCAATAGCAATGCTGAGACACGAGACTGGCGTCTAGGATCTAATAGCACAATGTTCACTGTCGTTTCCTCCACTAGGACTTCTGTGTGTTTTTTTATGTGACAGGAGGCAAAGGAGCAGACCATCATCATTACCATCAATGATCCGCATTGATGGTAAGTGATTACCGCCGCCCATAGACACCCGCAGTCCCAGGGGCGTTACAGCAGGTGCGTTACCGGCCTTTAAGGTGAAGATACGCTCTCTTCTTGAAAGCTTGCAGGTCGTATCCGTCCGGAAACACCGCAGAAGACAATCCATTGCACAGTAATTAGAATGTTATGCTGACTACCAATAAAACTCAGACCATTGAAGGTCCTAAAGGTAGTTTTAGTTATCTATGGATCCGCAACCAGAAGAAATAGACGTTCAAGGTTTAGGCGCGATTGTTTTCTAGTGTCGTACACATAATATTAATGGGACCAGTCATGAATTCAATTTTAGCCAGAGGACACTTAGTAAAATTGTCTGTGATGACAGGTCAATCCGACATCAGGGTTATGAAGGTGGAGGTAATGAAAGTAGATTCCGAATTTCCGAACTACCCTCAACAAGGCCCTTGAAAGTGTTATAAAAATCATCACACGCATAGTTACTCACCAACAATTTGGAATTTGTCACCAGTTTGTATGAGCAGTGGGCCACCGCTGTCGCCTTGGCATGAATCCGTCGAGGCGCGACCCGCACATAGCTGAAATATTCAAAACAGATGCGTGGTTAATTCCATTCAGCGAGCCAAAAATTACGAAACTGAATTCTTAGATGTATTTTGATAGGGGTAGGCACGCAAAAGAATGAGCTAAAAAGGAGGCTAGAGATAACAGATTCCATTCCAGCATTTGAAACATACAATGACTTCCATTTTACATACAAAAATCTGTACAGTAATTTGCATTGCTTTCAGCTTATTTTCCGTCGACCTGATATGGCTAATGCAGAAACCAACATATTTAAATGCGTAGGTACTGATGACTACAGCAAATTCTTGCCTAAATTCGGTGCTTACCATGTTGTTAGTGATCCTTGAAGCCCGATACTTCATGGCGCGGCACTGGGTGAGCGAGAGGATAGGCACCTTCACCTCCTGCACGATGGCCGGCAGCTGGCCGCCCTCAGACGTCCGACCCCACCCGACCACTATGCCCTCCTTACCAGACGGTTCCACATCTGAAATAAATGCAATCATTGATTAGGTAGGAGTATTTAGGTTGCTAAATCCAAAATCTAAAATGAACGGATTATCTAATTGTTCAGAACTAAAACAGAGACTGAACCGTATAAGCGATAGGTATATCATCATTTGCCATCAGTGTAGGTATGGTTATTACTTTTCGGTCAAAGAAAGCCTGGTCTTTCTTCTGGCACGCACTTTGGATCCTTGTTGTTGGATGTTGATCCTTGTTTCGAACTTCTTTTTTCTTGTGATTATTTTTTCTTGTCCAATGACAGTTTTACTTTTCCCTAGAGTAAGTAAACTCGCTGGTTATATACCGCCAAGCTGTAGATCTAGTCTTCACTGTAGGCGCGCGCGAACGCCTGCTAGCAGAGAGGTTAATATGATCTGCTACCAATAATATAACCGGCGCTATAATAGGTACTTACTAGCAGGCGGCAAGCAGACAGGCTTGATGATCTTTGAGAAGTTGACGGGCTTGCGCAGCTTGAGCAGCGCTATATCGTTGTTGTACGAGTCCGCGTCGAAGCTGCGGTGGCGGACGATGGCGGTGACGGCACGCATGATGGCCGCGCTCTCCGTGGTGATGGTCTGGTCGTGGTCGCCGAGGATCACGCGGATCTTAGAGCGTTTCAGCCTGGAATATGCAATGACAGCTTCTTAGGCGTAGTCTTATATGGAAGATGTAGGTAGATGCATAATAATATTATTATTCAATTTACTCTAGTTGAGTTTTATTGGAAGTCAAATTATAGATCTTGGCGATAATATAGGAGTCTGTTGCAGTGGTAGAAATGAAAGGTAGGAATAGCCCGGAAAACATACAGGTCTATGTCACTAACATCTATACACGCGTTCAGCCTTCTTCGCTATGTTGGAAAATTGTAAGATAAAATGATTCAGTAGAAAATCATTGGATACGGAGAAGTTACACAACTGTAGTCCGATTCAAAAGACAGGCAATATTTAAAATATAGTGTGATGAAAATTGATACAAACTTTCTCAGCCTATAGTGTGAGAGACTCAGTCTACAATTCTTAATTGTACAAAGAAACGTTTACTCAAATTACATACATAGACGATAACATGTTATGAATGTAAGTACGGAAGATTCATTCCACAGCTAATAAACTTGTTTGCAAATAGCTTCAATGCAACATTGCGTGTCATAAAACGCAATGCGTTTGTGTTGAACTATAAAACACGCTCCATTAAAGTTTCTTCCTCGGAGCAGCAGTGTTACAATGTAACCGGGACACGATTACAATGGGTATAAGTAGTTTGTTGTAATAGTTCAGTAAATAAAACAGTATCTAAGCCCTATTCTAGGTTCTTTTCCTTATCTTACTGACACAAAACTGACAGTGAAGGTCACACTGGTTGAGTTTTTATTGGCGATCAAGCTGTAGATCCTGGCTACAAATGAGTTGCAGCAGTGGTAACGAGAGGAGGGAGAAGTCCATTACAGACATCCAACCAAAGTCTTTGAAAGCGGTTCTTTCCATCATCAAGCAAGAAGATCTAGGTACATCAAAGTTGGACATACTTCCTGACACAATGAGCTGCCGTGAGCACGTACTCCTTGGTGAGCAGCGACGCGCCGCAGTGGAACTGGCCGTCATACACGATCCTCGCCATCCACGGGTACCGGTTGGCGCCCGCTGGCATGCCGCCCACGATCCGATTCTCCTGGTTCGACCCGCCACACTCTGTCACAAAACACAAAGGTACAGCACTACCGCTAACTACAGTACAGAACTATATGACGCCGACTGTACCTAGATTTGCTTCTCCTTATTATCCAGACATCAATTTATTACAAAACAAAGCTTTAAACTAAATTAAATTTCTAGCAGATTGATCAAATATTTAGAGACTAATCACAGGACAAAATCTGTTACTGTGATTAAAACCTAGTTATGAGCGCTTGTTCCCAACGAGTCATACTGGCACTGATCACAAACATTAAATACCTTTTAATATCAAGATAAAAGAGCTTTCATTTATAATCTTTCAATATATTTCATTATAGTCGGCCGTTTGGTGTAGTGGTTCGAAACGGACTACTAATCCGGAGGTTGCGGGTTCGATTCCCGCACAGTACAAACATTTGTGTGCATGAACATATTTGTTTGTATTGGACTGGGTGTTTCCTATGTATAATATGTATTTATTTACAAAAAAAAAAGTATTTAAGTATGTTTATATCCGTTGTCTAGTACCCATAGTACAAGCTTTGCTTAGTTTGGGACTAGAAGCGCAGTGTAAAATGTTCAAGGATATTTATTATTTTATTATTTATAATGAAAGCTTATAATCATTTATAAGAAACTATGTACAAAATACATTAAAAATCAAAATAATGAAGCAATCTAAAGCTTACAGTAAGAAAACACAGTTTAACCGAGTAGGGGTGTGTGTGAGTGACTGGATGGGATTTTTTTTCCCAACGAGTAACTGGGTTACTCGTTTTGGTGTGACTCGTTGAGAACAAGCAGTTTGGAGTTTTGAGCATTGTTTTATTATACGGACATTAATCATGCAACAGTCACTAATCTCACGATAGCGGAAATACATAATTATAGGCAAAAAATACGTAAGTAGGTATTTTACGTACAAGTAACTATTACGAGAGAAATAATGGCTATTCGATACCTTGCTATATAATGTAATTTAGCTTGCAAACACGCAATTGTAAATAACATGATCATTAAGGGGAGGTTTGAAGTCTACTGAACTAACTTATTGCGTGGTAGAATAGGAACAAACTTAAGCATCAATGTGTTGAAATCTGAATTGATTAATGGGTTTTTCTTTTAACTCGTCTGGTTCTTCGACCTCAGATTGTCTTAGACAAGTCTTATATCTGGAGCGGGCTTGCTGTACCTCCATCAACTAGGAATTTGCGGTGAGAAAGTAAACCTCAACGTCAGTCCGTTGAACCAAGGAAGTTAAACCTGTACCTGTTGGTTCCGAGCGGATGTTTTCGTTTTCTAAATCGTTGTCAAGACCAATCAACAGTAATTTGATATCGGTTCCAAGGAAACTTTTATAAATGCTTATTGCATCCGTTTTTCAAGATACTGGACTGTTTGAAATTATTGCAGCATTACGTTTTGCATACATTCGTGCTTATATCACTACAAGGAAGTTATGTCTCTTAATTTACTAGAAGTTAGCTAGCACATTTCAGATTTCAGAAAGATTTTGTACCTAGTCATTTTTGTTTAAACAAAGACATTACATCCATTGTACACCTCCAAACCTCTCATATTTAAAAGATAACTAAGTATTATGAAAATAAACAAACAAACGCAAACTTGGCGGCGCACTGTAGCAGAAGAGGCGAAGAAAATCGGCAAGACCTGGAGCGAGATCAAACGCAAAGCTCAAGACCGAACGCGATGGAGGACTGTTGTAGACGCCATCTGCCCCATCTAGGGGACATAGGACCTTAAGTCAAGTATTATTGAAAGAGGAGATAAAACTTATTTGTACAGTAGTTACTATCGCCTCTAAACCAAAGTTGTTAATGAACTGGTGGACCAGAGCAGTTCTAGGTTAGTAAAGTCCATTTCGATGCAGGCTGCTACCAATCGATCAACGTGGAAAGCATTAGGGGAGGCCTATGTTCAACAGTGGACGTCCTATGGCTGACATGATGATGATGATGATGATGAAAGTCCATTTACGTCAGCGTATAAATTTAATCTCTCTGTAAGATCAGATTAATAGTTCTATACTAGTATTAACTATATTAATTTACAACCTGCCTTAGGTCTCGGTATACATAATGTAATTTATATCATTACACTTTCTCTATCACTTCCACCTTTATAGTTTTAGATTTACCTACAGTATAGGTTTATAAATATCTTTAGAAGACATTAAAGTGTGCTAATTACTTCATTATGTTTAGTTTCATAAAACACCTGTATCCATCTTTTTCATCTTAATTAGGGAAGGACAAAGCAACTTAAATGTGTTCCTATAATTAGGTTCGATATTATCAAATGCTCATACGAACATGTCCCACAAAACAATTATAAGGCTTACATGATTATCTATGTGTGATATAATAATACTTCTCAAACTCGGTATATTTTAGCAATCTCTCTGTAAAGAATCTCTTTACTTATGAGGTAAGGGATAAGAATTAATCCTGTACTGGTTTAAGATAGATCTACAAACCGCCATAGGTCGGCATACACTTTCACTATCACTTCCACAGTTCAATGCACAATTTCTTCTGCAGTCGACGATCGCACGCTGCTTTTTGCCCATCCAAAGCAGTCATATTTTGTTTGGTTCGTGGAACAAGTGAGACAAATCGAAAATGATTCTTAAAAACTATAACAAAAGGAAATGGCGAGTCATAAAATTACAACTAGCTACCTTAAATAAATGAAATTAACTACGTAAATCAAAACAGGCTGTGGCTAAGGGAATCTAGTGTCTACTATTTTCTAGGGTTCTATTGGGAGTTCTATCGCCAAAAACTACGGGTAACTATGTTGTTCAATAATGGATGAGAAGCTACAATACGATGTTTTTAATTAGTTTGGGATGGTTAGTAACTCTGGTGATAGGTAATGTTGTTGTTAGTGGAAATAGCACAACTGTGCCTTGGAATGCCAGCTGGAGTGACCATGTGTGAATATAGATGAGTTAAATTCAGCCCAGTTTTTAATTTCAGTCAAAAACCGAACTTAAAAATAAGGTAATCACAAAGTTACCTAAGGGATAATTCTGGTTTACAGGACACAATTAAAAACTGAACTGTTCAGGTCGTATCAACTTAGGGGAATAGATCAGGGATGAACTAGGTAGGTACTTAGATAATAGTGCACATTGCTCTACTGTATCTACCAATAACCACAAACACTAAACCTCAGTAGTTAACAGTTATTTTACATGGAACATTCAAGGGAACTTCATCACCAAGGGATCTACAAGTGCTGTACACACTTAACTTACCCATCTTCCTAGGCAGTGGATTTGCTCTGCCGCACTCTAAAACGTGAATGTGAAATAATTATTGGTTGGAAATGTATCTAAACCATTACTAATGTGCATTAAAGATTGAATAATTTTACAGTGTAAAGAAATAATATTCACCGCTGAAGTGCACGATAAAACCATTCTTACCTAGTGCTACTTTTGCTACTAATAAATAAAACCCAAAATTGATTTGATGCATGAATTTCTAACATGCTCAGCTATAATACATAAATTATCCCAGTGATACTAAAACTTGACTCCCTGCATGATGTTTGAAAATATCGTGATTATGTTTGTTTAAAGGGCAGGGCAGTCTAAACAATCTAGTTTAGATGCAGGTCACCAGGTCTAAAGGTATGTATTGAAATTACGACGTAAGAATATTGTGAACTTTATTAGCGGCCGCCCGCGACTTCGTTCGCGTGGATCCCGTTTTACCCTCTTAGGGGTGAAGTTTCGTAAAATCCGTTCTTAGTGAGCTACGTTCTAAAAGGAACCCCCATGCAAAATTTGAGACTACTAGCACATGTAGTTTCTGAGATTTCGTGATGAGTGAGCCAGTCAATCAGTGACCTTTCGCTTTTAAATATTACTAGCTGACCCGGCGAACTTTGTTCCGCCTTAATAGCAATAAATAACGGGATAAAAAGTATCCTATGTCCTTCTCCTGGCTCTAAACTACCTCCCTGACAATTTTCAGCTAAATCAGTTCAGCCGTTCTTGAGTTATAAGTGGAGTAACTAACACGACTTTCTTTTATATAATAGATAAAGATTATAAGATTTGTGAGTAACATCTCCATACCACAAGAGCATTTCTGAACTTGAGGGTCATCGTCGTCGTCTTCTATGCTCTGCTCCTCTAGGATGGGCACCTCCAAGCCGAAGATTGCGTCGAATAGGAACCGCTGTGATCTGTTGCCCGATGACACCTGGAAAAACAAAGATACTATGTTATAAAATTCAAACTCCAATGACATACTCGTACCTACTATGTAAAAGCCAAGGCTACTCAGTGTTCTATAAATACTATTAGTAATGCAGGCAACTTTGACATACTTATTTCTAAGAGTAGGCGCACACCGTTGATTTTTAGTTGGCCGATAGTTGTGCCCGATTTTAAATTGTATGAAGAATCGGCCAAATCGAATCGGCGTAGTGTGCGCACTCCCATACATGCCCATACTGATCAACTGCCCGACTAAACTATCGGCCGACGAAAAATCAACGGTGTGCGCCTACTCTAAAACGCCGGCATAATGTTCTGAGCTCATTGATTTTGAGCAAAAGATAAAAATAGAAGAAGAAAAAGTGAAGGACCGATAACGCAATGGATGATAGTTTAAACCCCACATACAGTGGTATAATGATGACATAACAATTTTGTGACAGCAATTTTAGCTACGCTCGTCATAAGACAGTAAGATAGACGTATAGGTCAAGCTGTCGTGCAAATACGCTCATCTTCGGCATAAAGTATGACTAAATTAGTGAAGGTCATAAAGATATTGATGTGGAAATAGAACATTTCATTATTCCATGTTGTGGTAAGTTCCTTCACTAACTAGTATCATTTTTATACTGCGTACTTTGGTAGCAAATACTTAAGTAATCGAATACTGCGCACAACAAATTTTACATAAAAATGCACACGATTTTAAATAGTTAATGCTGTTAGATAATCGCAATTCATTTTGTTATTCGTATTTATTAAGTGCATAACAACTGACACGCGATCTTCCGGCTGCGCACAACCGGAAGCTTGCGTGCGCCAGTTACATCCTACGGTGTACCGAAGTGGGTCAGTTGAGCTTCTTCATAAGCTATGAGATAATTTTCGATCGCTCTATTATTACGTCAGGCTTACAAAACAAGTATTTTATGTGTCCCGTCGGAAGCATTTACGTAAGATTTGTTTACCATTTATAGCAGTTCGCGCAACACTTTCGCGTTGTCAGCGCACGCGCTGTTGCGCAATGGGGCCCAAGTTAATTGGCCAGTAATGTCAATGTTACTTTCACAATTTTAACAAGCGTGCCCCAGTCTGCTATTATTTTGTTCTTTTTTGATTCTCAAACACTTACACTTTCACGTTGCAACAAAGTCTTTCTGTTACATAACGGAAGAATGCGTCTATCAGTGAATCGAGACAGATTTTGTGTTAATCTGTTTTATTCTTTAGAGACAGAGGGTCGTAAACATCGATGAAAATAAAAAAAATCCAGCTGCTCAAATCACTTTTTTGTTAGCAAGAATTCGCAACGCATCACCGCATGGCACATTGATTGACAAACGATGACACTTTTCTCAGGAAAATAATAAGGAAAACAGTCATTTATAACACCTACATGCATGAAGCACGATTTATAATTACATCCTAGTTAATATGTTGTTAGATTATTAGTACTTGGTAGGTACCTAACTACACGATAGTTAGGTTACTAACGGAGTACTACGGGTGTAGCCTACATAACGGTTCTAAAAGCTTTCATTGGTAGGTACCTACCTAGTAAAGTTTTTAGGTTTTTCGACAGCTGGTTCACTTATTTCGGTTCATAACACAGTAAAATGTGATTGTGTAGTCACGAAAAAACCCAAGACCTTTAGTTGACATTTCAAATTTACATATTTGGACAGCACCATTCCAGCTCTTGCATTGTTCAAAAAATTAATTAATTTTTCATTGACCCTTGTTCCCAAGTTGTAGGGTCTATATTTTAATATCCACATGTTGACAATCATCAATATTCATACGCTTTCCCTGATGTGACCGAGTGGCATAACTGGCGATGACGAAACTGATACTGACTGTTTGTTAGATAATATTATGACACGTAATGAGGCTAAGGTTGTGGTAGCATGCTGACTCTAAATTCAACACGTTTGTTAAAGTAGGCAATGACGCTACTAACTGTATCCATTTATATTTGGGTGAATTTCAACAAGTGCATATTTTTGCCTAATTTTGGTGGAAATTGTTATTTGTGTATTTTTATTCTTTAATTATAGATCAAATTTATTGGAAACTTATACTGTTTCTAAAATGATTAAGACATTAAATTTTGTCCAGTAGCTTTTTAGATTTTCCTTACACCAAAATTAAGAGAACACCAAAATTTATATTAAAGCACCAAAATTAGAAAATATGCTGTCAGTCGGTCATATCTTAGTGCCAAGCTCAAGAAATGGTTTTAAATTTACCAGCACCGACTCCAAAAATATTAATCATGGTATATTGTCCTAATAAATAAATAACGACGTACTTATTTTCTACTTTTAAGTGATTGTTGGCGTCGGTTTTAATTTTTTTTTTTGTATGTGCACAAATAAAACTAAATAAATATTTGGATAAATTTTAAGTTATTTTGATAACTATTTACGTAACCTTTTGACGTTACGTAATTAGTGAATTGTTAGTTTCAGACTCAAGGTAAGCATCCTAATTGCAAGCATAATAACTAATATTAATAAATATATTTTTTTATAAAAACAATAAATTTATTTCATTCCCGAAATATTTAATAAAATATAGGTAGAACCAAGAGGAAGTTACTAGTCAAGAACCAAAAATAAACCAAAACGGACAATGGTAACTATTTTACCACCAACATTTAATAATTTGTAGTCATGAATGGATAATGGTAAATTATTTACCACCCAAAAAACTACCCCTTCCCCTATTTTTTTATAAATTTTGATCAAAAATATGAAATAAGTGACCCACAATTACCCAAAATCCACTTCAACTTTGTAAAAAAAATGCACACCAGCTCGCGTTTGAATAAGGGTTAAGCAATAAGCTGACTCCAAAGGTCGTAGAACTGACAGTCAGAGTCAAAGTAGAATATTGCAACATCTGGATTAAATTTTGAAAATATCCTAAAATCTAAACTCGATACAACTTTATTGACCTCTAGTCCGCCAAGCCTAATTTGGTTTTCTAAACAAGGTTGCAAGAACGTCACGTTTGCTATTCTAGCTGAAACTGAAAACTCCGTGACCCTATTAGTGAAAGATTTCGCAACGACCCTGACAGCGATCCACTTTACTGAAGTTCAATGCTGTTCTCTGATAAAATAAACCAGTTAATTTAAACTGTTTGATAATACCGCACTGAAACTAGACAAATAAATTACGTAGCTGACAGCATAATGATACTTAACCATTAAAATTTAAGAGTTGCAACTCGGTCTTGCGATATCTGCTTGAAGAATGATGATAATGGATAATGGCTAAGCATTTAGGCTACCTATTTTGTTTACTAGGCAATAAAATTTGTAATAATTACCTATAAGAAATTAACATACTTAGGTAACACCTCGTCTGCCACCTATTACAAAAAACCTACTAATAACAATTAAAGCTCGAACTGCTGGGTGTAGGTCAACACCCACATCCTGATTAATAATACCTACCTACGTTTATATAGGTACCTACTTAAATTATGGAAATTCATTTAGGTTCGGTCTTATGATTTTCCAGAGGCACTAGTAAAGTATTTTTGTGATAAATATCCTAACTTGTTGTCAATCTCTCGCAAATTCATAAGGTCAGTTGTAGCTTTCCAAGAAGGATCGAGGCGCCTTTCACGCCGTAATTGTTGTTCTGCTCTCGTTTTTGTTATCCAAAGTCGTTTATCAAAATGCAAGAAAGTATCGCAGGAAACTTGGCGCCAGTCGCAAAGCTGTAGCCACACTACTAATGCCATCATGCAACACAGTAAGTAGTCGTATAGAAAAATATTTGATAAGTTATAATTTATTTTTAACAGATTGTGTAAAGTGCATGTCTTATCTTAAATACTTAACTGTGGAAAAAGTTCTTAGAAAATGGCAATTTCTCTTCGTATTGAAAACTAGCTGTGCTCGCTTCGTAACGCAGGAAAATAGTTTGAATAACATTTCCCGTTTTTGCAACATTCTTTACTTGCTGCCCCTATTGGCTGTAGGGTGATGTTATACCTATAGCCGAAAGCCTTCCTCGATACATGGGCTACCCAACACAAAAATAACTTTTCAAATCGGACTACTAAGTTCCTAAGATTAGCGCGTTCAAGCAAACAAACTCTTCAGCTTTATAATATTAAAATAAAGTATAGAATAGATAGATAAAGGCTCTAAATTGGTGTGTGATCTATGATTAACTTCCGGTATATCTAAGTACTCCAGTAACACGCTTATACGACTGCCTTATAGTGGTCCAATAGATATCCAATCTTTGTTTATGACTTTTCCTGCAGTACAACCATGTAGCAGCAAGTAGCATACCTATTAGACTAAGAGCTAGTGAACGCCAGACCTACGTCATTTTATAAAAGCTGAAAGTTTGTTAGCGTATGCTCCCAATATAGGATAGAATGTTGGTAAATCATGAAGTTTAGTTTGGGTCATCGTGGTTTTGGCAGCTATCCTAAAAAAACTGTCTGGCAAGGAGTTTGAACTGTCAAAACTGTCTGGCTGATGAGGAAACTACTTCCAATTATTGCTCTAATATATTATTTAATCTGCTTTAGTTGTATAGTGGATGTAGGTCTGGTGTTCACCAGCTCTTAGTCTATACACTTTAGAGTTTAACCACAATCAATAACTTCAGGCTGAAGGACTGTTAGTAGTGTGGGGAACACCTAAGAACATAGCACCATTACATTTAGCCATTCCTTGTTTATGGCGATGACTGGATTTATCCGCGATTGCGGTCGACAAAGATTGTTTATTATGCCATTGAAACAATGCTGACCTATTTAAGTTGATATCTGAAGCATTTGTCACATAAATAATTGGCTGAAAAGGCTGAAATCTTAAAGTTGTGTAGTGTCGAAAAGCTACAATTATCATAAGCATTGACATAGTTGCAAGCAAAACAACCTACCTAAGTAAACTTATCAGTTTTTGAGATCATCGCAAACAGACAGAAGAGAAAAGAATGTCACCTTTTATGGCAATAAAAACCACTGTGCTATGCAAATTTAACAGTCAAAGGAAAAACAATGCAAGATTAAAATGTAGGAACGTCTTACATAAGTGACAGACGTAACCGCGAAAGTAGTGCACATCCGTTTCATCTGCAATTATTTATATTATCGGCCATCATTAAGTTAGATTAACTATGTTTAAGCACGAACTAATTCCGCTCATGTGGAATTATATAACGTTACAAAATCGTGTTACTTAAGGTGAATGGAAATACCTAGTAAAAGAAGACGCACTAACCGGCACCCTTTTGTTTTAACATTCGGGTTAGGGCAGAAGTAGTAGCCAATTTAATTTACCCACACAAGGGCAAGGGAACCTGATGAACACAAGTAGGAGGTATTTGTGCCTACCTCTTCGGAATGATATAACTTACATGTCCCTACTGGTAAGGTACGGCTGATACGGTAGCTTAGAAGTCAAAAGATGTAGTATAACGTGTAATCCTTCCGTTAGAAGGGGTGTGTGCAATTTAAGTACTCGTATAAGTATACGTACATACTAAGGTACACTTACCTAGGTGCTCCAAGTTTTGTAGTGCTAGAAGTTAGGGTCAGTCTTTATGTGAAGCTCTAAGATATTTTGGTTCTACCCTACAATGATTAGTAAATGTTGTGAGGGGTGTAATAATAACCATGAGGTCCAACTCTACTTTTAATCTAGGTCTCTACATATCGAAACTTAGACTTGATGCTAACTACTACCAGCCACATAACGTGATGACAGCTAGTATGTAAGTTAGGTAGTAGGATAAAATTTATTAAATTATTCGTAATAAATATCATCGTTTGTTTACTTAGACATCGTTAGCTGTTATTATTGAATTAATTGTCCCTATTATGTAAAATTGTTAGTAAAGTTATTACAATCATGTTCAATTAAGATTTATGATCTTAGTTACATCAAAGTGTTTTATTTACTGACGGAAAATGAAAACGTTATTTATTTGTGACGATAATATTAAATTAATGACTCCAATTATATTATTAAGTTGTTTATTAAATGTTAAAGTAAATACGAACATCAATATTATGAACATACTTATGTATTTAATTAGCTACCTGGTTCTCTTCACATTTATTTAATAATGACAATGGCTTTCACAACCACCGCTAGTACCAAGCAGTTACTAACTTCGCAGCTACTACACTGATGTAATGTATACTTCCGGAAAAGTTACGAGCACGAGGAAATTGAGAAACAGCAAACGAGTGTGCGTACATTATAATGAAATTCAAATGCCTCAGATTTCCTAGTTGGAATCGTATTTCAGACTTGTCACTCTGTTATTAAACAGCTGCAAGAAGCGAATGTGTTTGACAGAAAGTAAAAGTGCAGTCGAGTCAATGCACCGGGCCGCGGCCGCGACCGATACCGCATTCTGATAATGTCATCGTGAACAGAATACTCACATGGTTATCGAGGGTAGCGCCGTCCGGTGAGCTTATTTCCCTGGTGTCAGCCGAATTGAAAAGGACCACGGTGATTATAGGCACTATCCATAGGCACATTGTGGGGCTCCTGGTTCGGGCGCGATGCTGTGGGTACTGCAGCACTGTTTACTTGCGCGGCATCTCCGCGCTCGCCGCGTTCACTGGCTATTTCGGCGACGGGTAGACAGTGGCATTATTTCGCAAACGAGTCGCCCGCAGGCAGGCGGTCGTGTGTCGGCCGCGGCCGCGCGGTCTCCGAGTGCGGGGTCTTCGTACCACCAGCCATACTTTCTCCTCGCAAGACCTGAGCCACCCCACCGCTGCACCACCGATGTTGGTGCAGCCCGTAATCGTTACGTCATTATCTAATCAACGCTGGAGCTGAATAGACAGAAGTGCCGAAACTATACTGCCATTATTTCAATATGATGAATCATGTTTCAAGTTTTCAAGATACTTGAGTTAGGTATTACCTAATTACATAAAATTTTGCAAAATCATAACTAGAGGAAGGTCGGACTATGTTAAAATAAGCTAGTTCAATGCAAGACAAACTTATGTAGCACTTGAATGACTGAAAAAGACTTTTTCTTAGGCTGGGTTGCACCATCTTACTTTAACTCTGACAAACGTCAAAAATCTATCAAAATCCATGCAAAAACACCGGTTATCGTCAAAGTTACGGTCAAAGTTGGGTGGTGCAACCCAGCCTTAGTGGTTTCGACTTTTTTAAGCAGTTTTACAAAACCTATAATGAAAAAATGATGCCTCAGATAAATGAATCTGCCAAAACCTTGCCAGAAGAAAAATTAGGTATTTTATTATAGCAAACTTACTGAGATTTTAAATTTGACATTACCTATATGACCACATAAATATGAGTAATATGAGTATAGGTATTCTCGTAAACTCGTAACATTAAGCTCTTTCCTTGATAGATTCATGTGAAACGATTCTCTTCATACACATAGTAGCAACATAACTACTTATTAATATAATAGCTACATCGTGCGGATGTCGGATTTTCCACGTGGATAAAATGAAAGTGAAATCAGAGGCAAGTTCGTTTCCGCGGAGCGGAGCCGTGTGGCTGCACTCTCCGTGCTCCGTGTATTCCCGAATCGGGAAATAATTATTCGACATGAAATAGGCATCGATCCTAAATCATAATCCAAAGAGAGGTATTCACAAAGAACTAGACGAGTATCTCCATGTATCACAATTTATTGCAAGAAAAACTTGGTCCGCAGGAATCGAACCCGGGACACTCCGTTCAAGGCGTTTACTTAAGCTATGCAGCTGTTTATTAGTAATGTTTCGTTCTTTCTTTTTGAAGTGTTGCGTAAAATGTATACTGCTCGATTAAAGATAAAATTATTTAATTACTTCGTTGCTTGAATAATAACTTGGTAGGCTTACCTTTAATTAATGAATCCGTATTGAACGACCCTCTCTTATGCGTCGATAGAAGCCAGCCTATTGTGATAAATTAACAATCTTCAAGTTTAGCTTTGCCACGAAATCTATTTGTGTAATTTTACTTGCGTGTAAGAGGATAAACGGTCGCGCTGGAAGCACAGGTCAAATCAATAATGCAAATAAACTAATTTTACCTACATTTAATTAGTAATATGCAAACTGTTAGACAAGTTTTAAAATGAGAAGCTTACTAGCGATCCCTTGCTTTTTGCTAATCACAAATCGAAAACCTATGTTTCTAAATCCTAACATTCCAAAACCTATTATCGGTAAACCTAACTAATCGAGGCCCTATTTTAAGCAACCTAGCTTTCAGAAAACCGAAATACTTACTCTAAAATCCTAAATTCGCGAAAACCTAATATCCGAAAACCTTCTTACCGGATTTTCCGAAACCCCAACTATTATCCGAAAACCTAATCTCCGAAACCTAACTTACCAAAATCCAAACTAGTGTAAAATCGTAACCTAATAAGCTGTCTAAACATCTGATTTCCGAATCAAAATATTCCGAAAAACTAACTGGTATACAAAAACCTATTTTTCAAAAACCTAATTTTCCAAAAACCTAATTGTTATCAGAAAATGTAACCTAACTGAAACCTAACTTTTCGAAAACCTAACAGTATGCGAAAACCTATCTAGTACGTCAAAACCTAACTTTCCGAAAACCTAGTTTATCCAACATCCAAAATTCCGAAAATCGAACTGGTGCCCGAAAACCTATTTTCCGAATCCTTCCGAAAACTTTTTTTCCAAGAACTTAACCAGTATCCGAAAACCCAATGTTCAAAATTTCTCTGAAACCTATCTTTTCGAAACCTAACTGATACAGAAAAACCTAATTTTCAAAAAAACTTAATTTTTAGAACATCCAAAATCCCGAAAACCAAACTGATCTCTTAAAACCTTTTGTCCAAATCCTAACTTTGAGAAAGACTAACCGGTATCTGAAAATCCAATTGTCGGAATCCTAACTTTAAACCTAATTCGCAAAAACCTAACTGACCCCAAAACCTAACTATGTAAAAATCTATTTTATTCAAAATCCATCATTCCCGAAACCAAACTGTTATCGAAAAACCCATTTTCCGAATTCAAACTTTCCGAAAACTTTTTTCCAAGAACTTAACTGGTATCCGAAAACCCACTGCCTGAAACTTCTCTGAAACCTAACTTTTCGAAAACCTAACTGGTATTGCAAAACCTAACTTTCAGAAAGATTATTTATCCAACATCCAAAATTCCGAAAACCAAACTGGTGTCCCGAAACCTATTTTCCGAATCCTAACTTTCCGAAAACTTCTTTTCTATAAACTTAACTGGTATCCGAAAACTCACTGTCCGAAACTTCTCTGAAACCTAACTTTTCGAAAACCTAACTGGTATGGCAAAACCTAACTTTCAGAAAAACTAATTTCCCCCAACATCAAAAATTCCGAAAACCAAACTGGTGTTCGAAAACATTTTGAGCGAATCCTAACTTTGAGAAAACCTAACCGGTATCCGAAAATCCAATTGTCCGAAATCGAACTTTAAACCTAACCTAACCTAATAACTGAAACCTATCCGAAAACCTAACAAGTATGCATAAACCTAACTAGTACGGCAAAACCTAACTTTCGGAATACCTAGTTTTCCAACAACCCGAATTCCGAAAATTGAACTAGTGTCCGAAAACCTATTTTCTGAATCCTTACTTTGAGAAAACCTAACCGGTATCCGAAAATCCAATTGTCCGCAACCTAACTTTAAACCTACTTCGCAAAAATCTAACTGATACGCCAAAATCTAACTTTCTAAGAATCTATTTTATTCAAAAACCTAACATTTCGAAAACCTAACGGGTATAGCAAAACCTAACTTTCAGAAAAACTAATTTATTATTCATTCAAAAATTTTGAAAATCAAACTGGTGTCCGAAAACCTATTTTCCGAATCCTAACTTTCCGAAAACTATTTTTCCAAGAACTTAACTGGTATCCAAAAACCCACTGCTCAAAACTTCTCTGCAACCTAAGTTTTCGAAAAAGTAACTGGTATGGCAAAACCTTACCTTCAGAAAAACTAATTTATCCAACATCCGAAATTCCGAAAACCAAATTGGTGTCCGAAAACCTATTTTCCGAATCCTAACTTGCCGAAAACTTTTTTCCAAGAACTTGTATCCGAAAACCCACTTTCCGAAACTTCTCTGAAACCTAACTTTTCGAAAAAGTAACTGGTATGGCAAAACCTAACCTTCACAAAAACTAATTTATCCAACATCCAAAATTCCGAAAACCAATCTAATGTCCGCCAAAAACCTATTTTGTAAATCCTAACTTTGAGTAAACCTAACCGATATCCGAAAATCTAATTGTCCGAAACCGAACTTTAAACCTAACCTATCAACTTAAACCTATCCGAAAACCTAACTAGTATGCATAAACCTAACTATACTGGTCATCAAAAAATCGGCCCACCTACGTTTTACAGGAAAACTCGTTTCTACTGACACAATTATGGTGCCCCAACAATATTGGTGTTATTTAAAAGCCCAATAAATATCCATAAAGAAAAACACATTTAATTTCTTAATAAACGATTAACATATTATACAATAAATGTGACTTGAAAAAAGACCTCACTTTGGGCTCACCTCTGGGATCAATTAGACCAATTTTTATGGTTATAAAACCAAATAATGATCTCACGTGTCCTCTTTAACAGATGGATAGTGATTAAACCCAACTTAACAGTTTTATAGCCATAAAAGTTGGCTCAAGCGTAACTACCTATTTTTTGAAGAAGTGACTCTGGATTCTTCTACAGACATATTTTTAGGGTGAAAACCTTTCCTTTAATGAAATGAAGTTTAGAACAAGGCTTTTAAATGGTGCCAATATTGGTGTGAAGTGGGGATGTATACGTTTGAAAGTGCTTGTCGCGGGAGGGTCGATTTTTGTGATGACCAGTGTAGTTCGGCAAAACCTAATTTTCCAACATACAAAATTCCGAAAATCAAACTGGTGTCCAAAAACCTTATTTTCCGAATCGTAATTTTGATAAAACCTAACCGGTATCCGAAAATCCAACTGTCCGAAAACTAACTTTAAACTTACTTCGCAAAAACCTAACTGATACGCCAAAACCTAACTTTAAAAAATAATTTTATTCAAAAACCGAACTTTTTGAAAACCTAACTGATACGCCAAAACCTATCTAAAAATCTATTTTATTCAAAAACCTAACTTTTCTAAAACCTAACTGGTATGGCAAAACCTAACTTTCAGAAAAATTAATTTCCCCCAACATCAAAAATTCCGAAAACCAAACTGGTGTTCGAAAACATTTTGAGCGAATCCTAACTTTGAGAAAACCTAACCGGTATCCGAAAATTCAATTGTCCGAAATCGAACTTTAAACCTAACCTAACCTAACAACTGAAACCTATGCGAAAACCTAACTAGTATGCATAAACCTAACTAGTATGCATAAACCTAACTTTCGGAATACCTGGTTTTCCAACATCCCGAATTCCGAAAATTGAACTGGTGTCCGAAAACCTATTTTCTGAATCCTAACTTTGAGAAAACCTAACCGGTATCCGAAAATCCAATTGTCCGCAACCTAACTTTAAACCTACTTCGCAAAAATCTAACTGATACGCCAAAACCTAACTTTGTAAAAATAATTGTATTCAAAAACCGAACTTTTTGAAAACCTAACTGATATGGCAAAACCTAACTTTCAGAAAAACTTATTTATCCAACACCAAAAATTCCGAAAACCAGTGTCCGAAAACCTATTTTCCGAATCCCAACTTTCCGAAAACTATTTTTTCAAGAACTTAACTGGTATCTGAAAACCAAATGGTATGGCAAAACCTAACCTTCTGATAAACTAATTTATCCAACATCCGTAATTCCGAAAACCAAACTGGTGTCCGAAAACCCACTTTCCGAAACTTTTCTGAAACCTAACTTTTCGAAAAAGTTACTGGTATGGCAAAACCTAACCTTCAAAAAAACTAATTTATCCAACATCCAAAATTCCGAAAACCAATATAATGTCCGCCGAAAACCTATTTCCTAAATCCCAACTTTGAGAAAACCTAACCAATATCCAAAAATCTAATTGTCCGAAACCGAACTTTAAACCTAACCTTTCCGAAAACCTAACTAGCATGCATAAACCTAACTAGTTCGGCAAAAACTAGTTTTCCAACACATAAAATTCCGAAAATCAAACTGGTGTCCGAAAATCTTATTTTCCGAATCTTAACTTTGAGAAAACCTAACCGGTATCCGAAAATCCCACTGTCCGAAAACTAACTTAAACCTAACCTAACCTAACTGAAACCTGCAGGCCTAAGATGCGCGCCGTGATAACTTTTATCGACGTCAAAATGTATGGCCAAACGTGATAACCGCTTATCGAGGCACGCATCTTAGGCCAACTAACATCGAAACCTATCTAGTATGCGAAAACCTACCTAGTTCGGCGAAACCTAACTTTTCGAAAACCTAACTGGTATGGCAAAACCTAACCTTCTGAAAAACAAATTTATCAACATCCAAAATTCCGAAAATTAAACTTGTGTCCGAAAACCTGTTTTCCGAACCGTAACTTTGAGAAAACCTAACCTGTATCCGAAAATTCCATTGTCCGAAACCTAACTTAAAATCTACTTTGCAAAAACCAAAACCTACTTTATTCAACATTCGACATTCCGAAAACTAAACTGGAATCGAAAAACCTATTTTCCAATGCGTAAACCCACTGTCCAAAACCTAACTTCTTGAGAATCTAATCGGTATGCCAAAACCTAACTGGCACGCCAAAATATAACTCTCCGAAAACTAACTGGTAATGGCAAAACCTAACTTTCAGAAAGACATTTTCCAAGAACTTAACTGGTATCCGAAAACCCACTGTCCGAAACACCTCTAAAATACGGCAAAATTACATCTTTTCAAAAATCTATTCTTCTTAACATTCCGAAAACCAAACTGGTGTCGAAAAGCCTAATTTTCCAAAAACCCACCGGGTCCGAAACCTAACACCTAGGCACCTTTTAGCCTTAAGATTCCGAAAAATGTAATAAATTTTCTTCTCATCCCAACTAATATTATAAATGCGAAAGTAACTCTGTCTGTCTGTCTGTTACGCTTTCCCGCTTAAACCTCGCAACCGATTTTGATGAAATTTGGCATAAAGATAGTTTGAGTCCCGGGAAAGAACATAGGATAGTTTTTATCCCGGTTTTTGAAACAGGAACGCGCGCGATATAGTTTTTCTGTGACAGACAAAATTCCACGCGGGCGAAGCCGCGGGCGGAAAGCTAGTTATTTATATTTGTTCCGATGTAAGTAATCGATCCAGTCGGTTAGGTTGTCTCAGTAGCCCCTTCTGGCTTCGCATATCCCAGTAGCCCCCTGAGCGCAACTGGGATTTTTTGCGAGTGTAAAACTGAAATTTATAAATCCGAGACTCAGAATAGGCGAGGCAAGACCTACTAAAAGGGTAATAGCAAAAGACTTACATGGTGTAATATTGCCTTTTATGTTTATGAAGGCACATTGGTTCATAAAGTTTGCTATTTGCTCGTTGGGAATAAACGGATGATCCTCATGATAGTTTATGGTGCGGTTTATTTTTTATCAGTGAAGGATCTCCAAAGCCATTGTTTCAGCAGAGACGTAAGAGTGGGTTATGCTGTAATAGGAAAATAGCTGTGTGCATACTCCAGTAAATCTTATGGCCATTTTCATTGCCTACGCTTGTATTTTTATTTTTTTGCTTTGACTTTTTATTATCCACTGAATTCCATTTTGGTTTTCATGACCATTTTGGATTTTTAAAAACAAAAGGACAACGGTTCAGGTTTTACGTTTTGGTAGTTTATTAGTAAAGACCGATGATCCATAATAATATCCTCGCAATCATCAAACTTCTTTTCAATTAGTGTTGTACACCACCTTTCTGGATGGCAATAAATTCACCTGATAATCAGATTAAATCCAAAAAAAGTTTAAAGCTCTGGATTTTTGATTCCATACTATCTACGAAGAGTCAAATGTCCGCGTAAACATTACCAAAAATAAAATTTAAAATAAAAATCAAGTCTTAGAATTCACTTTATTTATTAAAATAAAATATACATACATAATAATAATGTAGTACTTACGTTAAATTAAATATTTTATTATAAACACAAACTTACCTCATCTGAAAGGAACCTTGGTAGATCGAAAGGACCCCGAACATCCCCGACGTTCACCATGTAAATAAAATTCATGGATTAGAAATAAAAAAAATTAAGGGAAAATAATATATGATGTGACTGGGTGTGTGTAATGTATGATGTACTTTTTACATTTAACGAGTGGACTTTTTTTCTAAGTTAAAGACGAGTGAAATTTTTCATCCTACATCAAGTCTAGAGTAGGTACTCCCTTCGGCTAGTGGAGCAGTGTCAGTAAGGTTGCAATGAGACATTTATTGATTTCGGACAGCGGAGCTACTTGTGTTGTAAAAGATTAACTCTTGTCTTAAATTCGAGACTAAAGTCATTTTGCATGACTCGAGACTACTTTCATTCCTTCGATTTCTTCCTGACCTTTAGTGTCTTCATAAATAAATAGGAGGGAATGAATCTATAAAATGCTTAAGTATTGCTCCAAAATATTATGATGTTGATATGCATGCCGTACTTTGTTTTCCAGTGAAAGTCCGAATACGCAGCATTAACTTTTTTGATTAGATTTCAGCTAAGAACTCTGAGGACTCGTTCCCACAGAGACTCAGTCACGGGTTCTCGTAGTCATGATTCGAATCTTTTTTCAGACTTGTGCTGGATTCGGACTCGAGTAAAAAAGAACTCAAGTCCCATAATTATAAAGATTTCAGGACTTAATCTCTTACAACACTAAAGCTACCCCATCATGTCGCCATTAATTTAGGGTGTATCATGGACGATAGAAATAGATCTACCGCTATAACTACGTTAGGGACCACGACCAAAGTACAATGCGCTCTAAGGTAAATACTATCCTGCATTGGGACAAAATAATGGCGAGTAGCTGCTTATGTTATGAAATGTTATATTGATGAACTAAAAAAATATAAAAACAGGAGAAACTCAGTAAAGGGAGTAAGGTAACGCGATCCTAACATGATTTTAGTCTCCACGATAATTATTATCTTCCTGTGACATCCGTGTTTGTGTAGATTTAAATTGCAGCAGGCTACCTACCGAATGTGCATCTACACCGAGTGTTCTTTTTTTTCAACTTTTAGTAAAAGAACAACGGAAAGCGCAAGTGCGATAATAATACGAAGGTCACTTTCCTAGAATATCGACTCCCGATATTCTTCTATTTTTTTATTTTTAGTTATGCAAGTGAATTGCCAAACACAGACTAGCATACACTCTGAAGACCTGATAAAATGCAAAACAATCGACAAATGCCTGACCCTATGTCGATGCAAGATCGGCATGTTCTGTTTATTATACCTACGTATCGTCTCACCTTTGAAAACCCTGAAGAAACCTTATATCGATGCACGTGTCCTGTGTATCTCGTACCTACGTATCTCGTCCCGATGAAATTGCATATATTTTTTTACGCTCTTCCGGATTTAATGCTCGTCCTGTTGCCATTTACTATGGTGTCCTATACAATAATAATAAAAAGAAGTGCCAAAATCCATTGGCTACACTGGAATGATCAAGAAAGTAATGTAACTAGATCCAGTGTCGACCATTTTGTTGAATGCTACCTACAATCTCGATTCGTTGGTGCACGTCGAAATATCTAAACCCTGAAAATTCTAAACCTAGCTCAAAGTAGATATCAGTTGACCTTTGGCTCAAGTTACTTAAAACTTGTTTTATTATTATTTCGTATTAGTTACGAACAACACAATCTACCTATTTATTGGTGAACTCTGATGATTCATCTCCTGCAGCAACTGTTAAAATTAAAGTAACTGCTTGCTGTACATTGTAAACATTATGGATTATCACTTATTTAGGGGAACAACATCCGAGTCAGCAGAGGTCAATGGCGCGATTTGGTGGCAGACCGTTACTTTATGCGACTGTTGCCCTCATTTTAAAGTTAGCGGTTTGTGTACCGTAATTTCTTTCTCTATTAGCTGATGTTTTGAGTTTCTTCTACACCACCAACCTATGCAAGCAACTGGTTCATATAAACCAGGAAACCCGCATCAAAATACACTAACTTACCATAATATGTGCCTATTTCACTATTTATAATCTTTTCCTGGAAAACCCATTATTTAAAAACATACTTATATGTTTCTAAATTAGTTATTGAAAACAAAATAGGGAAAATAACTAAGCCAAAAATATTATCTACTGATCTCAGTAGTACAAAATTTTATTCTTATCTAATAACCATAAATGTATGATAAAATAACTCAATAATAAGGATATGTCAACCATATCAGAACAAGTTCTTTTTGTTGTTGCAAATAACTGCAAGGTTGACTAATAATAAACTCAAAATAAAAAAGGTGTATGTACAGATCTAAAGAAACAACCCTACTGATTTTGTATTTAAATTTATTATACATTAATTTTAATTAAACCTACAAGTCAATAATTTCTAAGCCTATTTTTTCATATAACAGCTATTTGAGAACTTAATACTGAGTGAACTCTGGAAAATTAATGTTTCACCTCATATTATTCTAGTCAACTTAAATCAGTTTAATCCACCTAGCTTCTATGAAGGGTTTTCTTACAGGAATTATCCTAAATTGTACTTAATTATTCGTAAAAAACGTAACTAATTCTCATATTACATCATCTAAGATCCTTAAAAAGTATGTCACGATAAGTACCTAAGTACTACAATAAATAGAAGACCAACTTACAAATCAGTACACATTTAAAAAATACTATGAATATTTTACTAAGAGTCAAGAGCTCCAGCTACATCTATGGTATCCTGACGGCGTCTCCTAGGTGGTCTCGCGGGCGGACCATGTGACTAGTGCTCCGGAGCGTACTGCCTACACTAGCTCGGAAAACTCTGCTTTACTAGTGTACTTAGCACGAAACCTAGAGATTGAAAAAACCTTTCATGAGTCATATACAATAAACACTAACAATAGAAAGGGCTACCACCATAGCATTAATCATCGGAACTATCCTCTACGAGATCAAGTAAATATCGTCCTATAATAAATTAATGCTATGTAGTGCGACCTAGTTAACAAATAACAGTAACATCTAAATTCCTATAGAGAAGGAAGAGTATAATGAAAATATTGTCTCACTATGGGAATGGTACGTTGTTTAAGGGATGATAATACTTTAGTGTGAAATGTATGATGATGTTAAGGAGTTATACTTACGTTGTTTAGAATCTTCCGCCGCCACCTCGGTTGCCACCCTGGCTGCCGCCGCCATAGCTACCGCCGCCGTAGCCGCCGCCGCCGCCGCCACCGCCGCCACCCTGGTTCATGCTGTAGGGCTGGGCGCGGTTGTTGCCCCCATATTGCTGGTTCCTAGTCGGACCCCCGCTGTAGCTCTGTTGGCCGTAGTTGCCAAACTCCTGGTTACCACCCCCCCATCCTCCGCGGCTGTTGCCGCCGCCGCCACCCCCGTAACCACCCCCTTGGTTACCACCCCAGCCTCCTCCACCCCCTTGGTTATTATCCCATGGGTTTGAGTTGTTGCCCCAACCGCCCTGGTTGTTTCCATAGCCACCTGAAAATATTAAAAATCATAAGTTAAAACCAGATCAATTAACCAGATATTATTATTACTCATTAACGAGTTTTTTTTGCTGATACATACCCTGGTTGCCCCAGCTATCGTTTCTGCCTTGACCTTGTCTTCCTCCCCTCTGTTCAGAACCATCCTTAGGAAGAGCTTTCTTGACATCCAACGGCTTTCCATTGATCTTGTGGGGGGCATTCACTAAAATAAAAACAAACAATTAGACGAAAGTTATACTGAAAATTATAGTCTTAGGCAATTAAATATTGAAGAAAATGTTTGTCTGCTGACTTGCGTACCTAGTCTTCCATGGAAATGGTAAGAAAGGTATAGCTATGTCAGTAAATTAATATCCACAGTCAAGAGAAGCCAGCCGCGGACACATAACTTCCACTCTGGGGCAAAACTGTGGATTGAAAATATTTACTGATCAACAATGAATACTCACAACAAACTTTGTCAACAGGGTCGTAGTCATCGAATTCAACGAATCCGAATCCCCTCTTCTTGCCGGTCGCCTTGTCCGTGACCACACTGACGCTCTGAACTTGGCCGTAGTTCGAGAAGTATTCCCTAAGCTGCTCTTCATCATGGTCATCCTTGATGCCACCAATAAACAGTTTCTTCACTGTGGCACCAGCCTCAGGGTTTTTAATGTCTTGTCTTGCAACCGCGCGCTTAGTTTCGACAACACTGTAAAACAAATTTTAAAATAAATACCAGGAACCTTCTTCACTGGGTCATTATGTACCACGTGTTGTTTTTCGCGTGTTGATTAAAAACAGTTTAAAAGTTGAATTGTAGGCCCCACAGAAAATGCCACGTGTAGAAATGCCATGAGACATTCACCAAGCAGAGTCAAATATTATTTGCAGTATAAAACGATATGAAAGCAAGAGTTCACTTTCATATAGCTGGACTGCATTTACACGATAAAAACGTAATTAAGATAAAATCTCACCGTCCGTCAATGCGATGCGGCCTGTTGTTCTGGGCATCATCCACCATGTGTGCCTTGGAATAAGTGATGAAGCCGAACCCACGGGATCTCTTGGTTTTCGGGTCCTTCATGACTACAACATCGACGATTTCTCCCCATTTCTCAAAATGGGATTTTAGAGACTCGTCGGTGGTGCGATAGTTCAACCCACCGATAAAGATTTTGCGGTGAACCTCGGGCTCATCCTGAAAGTAGGACGCTATGTGTCACAAGATGGCGGACGGCGTGGGATATTACGCCGCATGAATTCACACGGAAAAAGACATAATTCTATGAAATTACACCTTGTACGAAGTTTAACTTGCATTATTACACTATTTAGAGTAAATAAAGTTGGCTAGGAAACCATGCGGTAAAAATAGTAATGATTAGTGACATGAGTCACAAATTCACTGTCAACAATAAAAATTAAATTTAACTTACAAAGCCATCATCTCCATTCTGCTGTGGTCTCATTTTGCTGAGAACACTTGAAGTTAAACTAAACTTAAAAAATTAACACTTTTTTTCAACACTGCTGAAGCGAACGGTGATACGCAAACGACCGTTCCCCGCTAGAGCCGCGCCAAAAAGAAAGACTGACAGAGCTACGACAGGAAATTGATTTGTTTCCAAGCGTGGCGGGTGAGGAGGGGCTGGGAGGGAGGAGCTTGCGGCAGGCGGGAGGGATAGTGCTGCCATATTTTGAAATAACGTAACTAAATAACGTTATTTTATATTATATAATTTTAATTTTGAAGATAAATAACAACCTTAAGAAGAACTGTAAAAAAATTTGTAAATTGAAGTTTTAATCATTAGTTAGATAACATTTTGTGTTAATTAATATTACGGTTAAAATTTAAAGAGACTAGATTATTTTTCTGTGCAAAAGGATTTAAAAAAAAAACTGGAAAAAAAGTGACGTGAGTGACGTGACATTTTGTTTGCGTTGCCGCTTTCGATTTTCATTTTATTTTATTTCAAAAATCCTCTGAAAATACTCTTTCAATCAGCAATTTATCATCAGCTAGCTAAAATAATTCAAAGTGACCAACATGAAACCTAGCGGTGGTAGCGGCGGTGATGAATATGTAAGTACGATACAGTTTTTAATTAATGTTGAATCTTGGGAACTTCCAAATATTTTTATGCCAAATATACATAGCAATTTACAGCTACAATCCTTTTAAAGTTTTATGGACTATTTTCCATAATGTACAGCGTGTTAACTCAAAGCAACACATACTTATTGAATTGTATGTCACTAACACACTATTTCCTTATCAATTGCAGGAGGAACCAGAGCACTTGAGGAAACTATTTATTGGTGGCCTAGACTACAGAACGAACGATGCATCCCTAAAGTCATTCTATGAGCAATGGGGTGAAATCGTGGATGTGGTGGTTATGAAGGACCCACAGACCAAAAGGTCTAGAGGGTTTGGATTCATTACATACTCTAGAGCGCACATGGTGGACGATGCTCAAAACAACAGGCCGCATAAAATTGATGGAAGGTAAACCATTTTTATGCGTGATTCATTTATTTTAAGCCTTTTTAATGCAGTGGGAATATATTTCCCACCATATTTTGAACCTTAATCGCTTGTTTTAAGGTACAAAAACCACAAAATATTTGAATATGTTACTCTAAGGTCAGGTCAAGGTAAAAATCACAACTTCCTGCAATTTTAAGACACTTGTGAGCAAAAGTATGTTCACCCTATTTGTTCTAAGCAATCATAAGAACTAAATGTCTAATAGATAAATAGAAGATTTAAAAATGGTGCCATACTTTTGCTCGTAATTATTCATAAGTAAGCACTTATCTACATCTCTTATCACAGAGTGGTGGAACCAAAAAGGGCAGTTCCAAGGGAGGAAATCAACAGGCCTGACGCCAGTGCGACGGTGAAGAAACTCTTTGTTGGTGGGCTCAAACAAGAAGTAGAAGAGGAGGACCTAAAAGAGTACTTCAGCTCGTACGGAAATATTGTCTCCGTGAGCCTCGTCACGGAGAAAGACACCGGCAAAAAGAGGGGCTTTGGATTTGTGGAGTTTGACGACTATGATCCTGTTGATAGAATATGTTGTAAGTTGTCCATCCTAATTTATTTATTCATTCACAACTTTTGTTACCTGCATTACATGTTTATCAATAACATTCAATGGAGAAATTAAGATTTTTTTCTAACTTGTCTAAAGCTGAAACTATTTGTCAAAAGTTAAAATAAAACTTCATTTAAAACACCAGACTACTAATTCTATCTAAAACTAAAAAAAAAACTGATCTGATGCTGACTACTTATTTTTCATCAGAATTTTTCTGTTGACATGTTTAATATCTTTAACATCTACAAGTCTCCTAACAATGAAAACAAATGAAACACTCGACCAAGTGACATCTCAAAACTTGTTTTACAGTGCAACAGAACCACAAAGTAAAAGGCAACCGTCTGGACGTGAAGAAGGCACTGTCTAAGTCGGAGATGTCTGGTCCCGGAGGCGGCGGCGGTGGCGGCAGGCGCGGAGGCCGCGGCGGCGGTGGCGGCGGCGGTGGCGGCTGGGGACGACAGAACCAGCAGGATTGGGGGAACAATGGTAAGGAGTTGCTTTAGGGTACCTTGACACCACCAGTCTTACTTTAAACTGTCAAACGAGACTCCCATAGATTTTCTAGGGCAATACTAGCCTGTGACGTCACTATTTTGTCAACAACTAGGTATAATGCAACCAAAAATCTTAATTTGCAGGTAATTTAAAATTAATTATTTTTTAAGACAAAAATGAAGTGGGGTACCTTGACACCACCAGTCTTACTTTAAACTGTCAAACGAGACTCCCATAGATTTTCTAGGGCAATACTAGCCTGTGACGTCACTATTTTGTCAACAACTAGGTATAATGCAACCAAAAATCTGAATTTGCAGGTAATTTAAAATTAATAATTTTTTGAGACAAGAATGAAGTGTCTTAAAAAGTTGTGCCTTAGAATTATTGTGGAATGGTGTCAAATACCCAACCCTTAGCAGGCAGGCAATGTAGGGCAAGCAAGAATGCCTCCAACAAGGTTCTTTCCCTATTTTTTTTTATTTTTTATCAATTAGGCTGAAAGTGAAAGTAAGACTGTTTAAAATACATGAGAAAATAGTTAATTATGTTGAATATTCAAAATCTTACTCTGCCCTGAGAAATTAGACACAATAGAAATTCTATTAAAACTCTTTCTTTTCTGCTCTTATCATAAATGACATACATGAGTAATAATGCAACTATTGATATAATTGATACAGCAATACTACTACATTGTATTCGTTAAAGTAGGCATAGAAGAATACCACATATTAAAAACAAGAACCCAACTAATGACAATTCAATTTTAGATGGCGGTTACAATACAGGGTACGGGCAAGGCGGATGGGGCAACCCTAGTCCTTGGGATGCAAGCAACCAGGCCGCTGGCAACTGGGGCAACCAGGGCTACGGAGACCAGAGCGGCTGGGGCCAGCAGCCCAACAGCTTCGGGGGCGGCTACCAGCAGAGCTACAGCGGTGGGCCTATGCGCGCTAATTATAACACTCAACGGGCTCAACCATACAATTCTGGTATGTAACATTAGATTTATGTTATTGATTGTGTTGTATGATATTGATTTTACATAGTCTTTATGTCTTACGCCCGAAACTGCGTTAAGCGGGGCCCGGCGCGGTTTCATACGAAAGTCCCGCGACGGAGCACTTTGTATGAAACCGCGCCGGGGCCCGCTTAACGCAGTTTCTGCCCTTACTTGTGATGGTTAAGGTTACAAAGTGGTTCAGTAGACCTAAGATGCGCGCCGTGATAGCTTTTATCGATGTCAAAATGTATGGGCAAAATCGATAAAATGACGTGATAACCGCTTATCGCGGCGCTCATCTTAGGCCTACTGGACATAACTGTGATACTACATTGTGGGAAACCACTTTGATTGTTATCTACAATTGAATGCTACAGTCAAGAGTGTCTGCTAAATAGTAATACATGTTACTGACAAACATCGAGTAAATTGACGCACCGACAAATGCTGCGACAGACGACCTCATAAACGAAAAATGCAGGCCATTTTGAAAATATTTGGGGAGGCCTACGTTCAGCAGTGGATGTCCTATGGCTGAAATGATGATGAAGTTAACAAAATACAAATACTTATCACAACATACATCATACGCTGACAGAAAAAGTTTATTAACTCTTCCTATAACTTCTTTTCTACTTCAGGCGGTGGCAGCGGCGGTTACTCGACTGGCAATAATGCAGCCAATACTGGCTATAACAACATGGGCAACGCGGCCGGCGGCAGCCAACGCGGCGGCCGGTTCTAAGCCGCCACCGGGACCATCTTGTAAGTACCCTTTTTGGTATATATATTTTTTATTTTCATCTACATTCTGTGATGAGGGCTGCTATCCAATAAAGTGTGGAATAGATAAAAATGATATGGTTTGTTTGGTTTTAATTTAACTCTTCAAAATCTTACAAACATCTTAGCTTTGACAGCGCACGAGCCTCGCAGATGCAATCATAGCTTGGGATTTGACAATTTCTAACTTGAGTTTTAACTTCGATTTTAACGATAATGTTAGAAAACTGACTGGTTATCAAAAAATGACTTGCAAATAATAGTGATAAGCTCAACTGATAACCTTTGTGTTTCTTGGACAGTAGCCCTCATCACATTTGTTTCGCCTACAAGGCATCAAGCGAACGTTTTCAGATGGCATTCATACATGTACACTTATACTTACAAATTATTTTTCAATGTGTAGGTCTCAAGTTGCTTAGTTGAAGCTAGGCAGGCAGACGGTAGTTAGTGGTGGGAGGTAGGCCGAGCTAGACTGTGAGGGACAAGTGGACTTAGTGAAGCGGCAAACGTAGCCATTTTACAATTTTTTTCACCTACAATTGAGGTTTGTCACATAAGGTATTGTAGGCATAGATTCATATCTCTTATGATTTTTAGTCGTTAGCACACAAATCACAGTTTTTACATTTGAAGTCACAATAATATTTTGCACGGACATGTTATGACCATTCAGTAAGTTTTATTTATTACTTTTAAATAATTGTTTGCAATAAGTCCTTTGTAAAAGCTGTGGCTTACAGGCAATATTTGCGTTCTTAGATGTAAGAAGAGATATAATTGTTCATCTTGGATGAATATTATTGTTTTTAATTTTCAAATTTATTCTATTGATAGCTATATATAACATTCCAAAATCTATTGAATGGAGGAAGGAGGTGATATCAGGAAATAACTTTTACTTATAAAAATATATATTAAGTAACGTAAACACCAATATAGCTATCTGAATTAGCATGTAACTATCTCGATGTTAGACATAGGAACATACTACTTTTTTGATTTATTATTCGTTATTGTGTATGACACATAGATGGTGTGTTTTCGTGGACTACCATTAAAAATGGTTAACAAAAAAATTAACACCTTGATTATGATTGTTTTCACTTGTAAGTTTTAAAATTGTTGTATTCTTTAACGTTTATGTGTTTTACATAGTTTAGTATTATTGTAAGGTGTGGAGATGAAATTATTTTTGTTCAATATATTATGTGTGCTTTAAAAATTAAATAATTACTATAATATTTTCCATGGACTCTTCTTAACGTGGACGAGACATCCCGGTGGAAAAGGCCATGGTAAGTTGACTGTGTCCAAAATAAACATATAAAACGAATAATCATCTTTTATTTCCAAACATTATATCTTAATAACCCCTTACACAACAATAGGTATATTATAGTTAATTGCTTTTTACATTATAATACATTTAAAATTACTTATCTAATAGATATACATAAACTAATAGCGTCTAACGATAAGTACTTAACTAATCGGCGACGATTTGTTAATGTTGACGATTATTATCCATTTGACGTCACATGTTACTAAAATTAATTTTTGACTAGAGCAAATAAGTTTTAAACTGAACTTTTAAGTAGTTTAAAAAACATATTATGACTGATAAATTTTTAACGTCTCGTATTTTTTTAAATCAAGATAATCGTAATAAATGTTTCTTTCTTTCTATTTGCCAATTAATTTTAGTTTGACATAATGTACAAGTTGTACAACAACTGATAATACATTTTCCTACAAATATTACATTACGATATGCTTATTTTTATTTATCTAGAGCTGGTGGATGCACTGGTAGGCACGGACAAGGGGTAGGACAGTAGGGCGCTCCTAACACCGTCGGAAATAGGCCTGAAGCTGCCGCTAAGTGCCTGTAAATAAAATTAGAAGTTATAGATATTAATTAATAAATAATTAAATACATCCTGTAAAATATAGGTAGGTATATTTCTATGACAGAATTGACCTCGATAAGTATAAATGAGTATTTCTCAAAAAAAATGTACATTTTGAAAAAAAAAAGTGTGCTTTGAAACAGTTCAAAAGTTTTATATTTATAAATCATCACACAAAAAAAACACACACACAATTTTGAAGGATGAATATTAATCTTTAAGATAACTAAGAATTATAGCTATAATCCTACTTATTACCAAATATTTAGATATTTTAAAAATAGTCCTTTTTTACCTTTCATACAAAAATCTGTTTGCCACCCTAGCTTTTTCATGTGTTTTTGTTTCATAAAATGCGATACGTAATTTCAAAAAATATAGAGCGTTAATAACAAAAGGATTGGATACTATCTGCTTTACAGAAGTGCCACCAGCAAAAAATTATCAAATCATTTAGATTACGTTTTTATGTGATTACTTCTTTTGTTTTTTTAGGAATGCCGCCAAAAACCAATGCCGAAAGGCAAAAAGCTTACAGAGAACGACTCAAAATGGATAAACATGATGGAACAAAAATAATTTTATTAAAATAGTATGAATGATTACTCCCTTCTTTTATTTCTAACCCCTTAATATTACCCCGTATTTGGGTGCATACTTACAAATATTTCGAATTGAATAAATGAAGAACATTCACAATATTTCGCCAATGTATAACAAGCCTTATGGCCTTACTATTTCGTTACTACTATTTCGTTACGTACATTTTTTTTGAGAAATACTCAAATAAGTATGTTGATATCTGTTTGAAAAAGTTCGAAAGTGAAGACTAGAATATGGTAAGTAGCTAGATACAAAAAAATAACATGAAATAGTAGTTTGAATTAAAAAAAAGGCAAACGAAGGAATAAATTAGGCAAAATATAAACTCACTATTGCTACTTAGATATAAAAAAAAGTTGTTTTCTCCTTGAGAAAATGCTAATTCCTTTCTTTCTAGTCATTATCTTTAGCGGTTTAATCACTAATGTTAAATAGAATATCATTAAAATACACATTTGTAATTACAAATGTTTAAAAAAGCTTGGTAAACTACGGTTCATTTACAAATTGCTATTGTTCTTTACAAATAATTACCTGTATTGCTGATCAAGATGCGCCTTTTCAATTCTTTTGTCTTTCGCTCTTCGGTTCTGAAACCATATTTTGACTTGCGTCTCGCTCAGTGACAAGGCTGCAGCAAGTTCGCACCTACAAAATAAAATTATATTCTTAGTTCTTTAATTATGATCAATGCGAAAAGTCTTTTCGCATAAAGACTCAATGTCAGATCGCTTCATCAATAAACCATTGATATTGTCATTTAATAATAACCAAAAGATTATTAAAATTAGTTGTTACACAGGGTGTCCCAAAGAGCAGCACGCCACACTGACACTGGGCCTAAGACGCATCGAATACCTGAGCCCCTAGAAATGTTCCATGACTTGAGATTTTCGTGTCAGTGTGGTGTGGTGATTTTGTCACACCCTGCATAACCATGTTAACAGCGATTGGTAAGCTTGCAATGTGTTACCTTCTCGCTCTAGCCACATATTCTCCTCTCGCATATTCCAGCTCAAGTCTCAGGGTCTGGTGTGCAGAAAATGTAGTCCTTTGCCGCCGGGGTCGACTCTCTTTTCGACGTCTACGAGCCACTGCAACAATACGTTAATTTGGATTAAAAGACAATGATAACCATTGATAAATCCCCTAAATTTGTCACTTCCCCAATTATTTATTTACCTACTTACTCTAAAATGTCATGTTGAGTCTCATCCTAATCGGCTCATCCAAAAAAGCAAAGCTTAACACCAATCTAGCTAAGTAACTAAGTAATGGGACATAGTATATAGTACAGTACCTACCGAGTTATTTACTCATTCCTAGCAACATTTTTATTATTTATCCCGTTTAATATGCATTTTCAAAAAGCATGAGCAATGCAACGCCTTAGTAAGTTATTAAACACCACGTGAACTGACTAGCCCAATGAGATAATGAGGAACTAACCAAGTATAATTATTGCTGCAAAAAACTCATCAGTAAGGATTCCTCATAGTTCCTGTATCACGGTAACAGCATGAGAGGATCCGCCATACTGCCCGGAAGTCCGCGGCGCGAAACCCTTCCAGTGGGGTGAATCACGGAGAATTTTCAATCAAGTGGATTGAAATTATAGTGGAGGGTGTCGATAGCCTAACTCAAGTTATAAAATTACCACGTGTCACATGTCGTTTTATGCGATTGACGGACACTTCGGTAAAAGAACTGCGTTACCCATAAAAGCGCAATGTTTTGTTATGGCGTGGTTTTAAAAAGTTGAAAATTGAACTGTATTGTCTTATTGTATTGTCTCGATGTCACGAAAGGGGAGAGTAACGATTAAAATTAAATCTTTATATCACAAGCTAAATACAGTCTTAAATTGATATCCCTTTTGATGAAAATAATACCACGTCAGTATACCAAACTGCAACTTTAACCACTTTTAAATTTATCTCTGTCATAATTTTCTATTCGAATTTACTATGACTTGCAAACATAATACTTATGTAACCATTGGTAAAGCCATTATAACAAAAGTTATCTCATTTACCAAACATTAATACTTTTAATACCAACTTTCACCGTCTCTAAGTTATAATAATGGTAATTACCATGTTTTAACGAACTACGCAATGCACGTATGATCTACTGCAGTAAACTTAACCGTTTTATCGAAAAGTTATTATTCCTTATTTCCTAAAAAAAAAAAACAAGCCGGTAGCCGTAGAGATTGAAGCGCTACAAATCGCAGCATATGGCGCGGTGCGCAGGAATCGGTGTGCGTTACTATGTCCGGCTCGGTCAATTAGCAATTAATCACGATCCGTCGCACTCAGATTGCTGTTGTATCGTTTTTACACTACTGGTTTAATCTAAATAATATAAAAGTGCCTTATACAAAAGCTCAAAGTTGCACAGCGTGCTATGGAGAGGGCTATGCTCGGTGTTTCTTTACGAGATCAGAAATGAGGAGATCCGTAAACAAACTAAAGTCGCTGACATAGCCCGACGGATTAACAAGCTGAAGTGGCAATGGGCAGGGCACATAGTAGGTACGCAGAACTGACAGCCGATGGGACAGCAAGGTTCTGGAATGGAGGCCGCGTACCGGAAAACGCAGCGTGGGATGTCCACCCACAAGGTGGACCGATGACATAAAGGTAGCAGGGAAGCGCTGGACGCAGTCCGCTACCAATCGATCAACATGGAAAGCATTGGGGGAGGCCTATGTTCAGCAGTGGACGTCCTATGGCTGAAATGATGATGGTGAATATAAAAGTTAAAGGTCACTGATTGACACAGAAACTACAAGTGCTAGGATTCCCTTACATGGCGGTTTCATTTAGAGCTTTCGACCGAAATTCAACCCCTAACTAAGGGGTAAAACGGGATCCACCCGTACGAAGTTTCGAATAAAGAACTCGCAATAATCTCGTACTCGGTCCTATTTATCCTACTCAACCAATATTATTTTGAAACATCTTTGATGGATGAAATAATGAAATCTAATTGGTTATTTAAACACTTCTCTGCTCAGTTCCGCCTTGGTGGAAACCGAGCCTAATAAGCAAAAACTAACTATTAGTAACTAAGCCCTTATATTTATCGTTGAAAATAGTTCCAGTAAAATGCTTGTGTTATTGTATAGGGTTACTAATGTGGTTTCGTTAACAATCAAATCAAGAAACCCTCCTGAAGGATAATCACTCTCCTCGTTAGCGCAATACAAGGAGTTTTATTCTCATGATAGCTGTTATTATTTATTTTCGCATGACCACAATCATTAGAAATTGAATGCGTCTAATAATACAGTTGTGGGATATTTATTTTGTTGTTTTGGTACAGAAAATTACGTTTGTTTCACCATTGCGAACCTAAAAATCGGTCAAGTGCGAGTTGTAGGTACTCTCTCACGGTTCGGAAGAATATTTCAACTCAAAGATTGCCTGTGACAAACGCATAGCGTTGTCTTTTCGATTATTGGGACCATAAAAAGTTATAATTTAAAAGTTAAAGTTATTCCCACTTCGATTTTTTTCAAGGTATTAAAAATCTAAAAAGTTATGTTAGAGAGCATTGAGTAATTACAAAATTGGTAACGCCTTCAGTGCAAACTACCTAAATTCTAGTAAAGTCTTCGATACCGCTAAAGGATTTTGTTTTTTGATATTTAATTAACACTATTCTACTATTTGGCGCCCAACGTGTAGCGAATTTTCAATCCAAACGCATCCTTTACCAAAATCTGTTCTGCAGTTAAACAAAGCGTAAACAATTGACAGAGATAACGTTATTGGCTTACTACACAAACCGGAGGGTGCGAGGGAATCCGTCAGCTGTGGTCACCCCGGGATGTGTGACAAAGGACGATCGGAGATCGTCACGCGCTCAATCGAGTCGAAGTAAGTGGTCATTATGAGGATGAACATTTGAAAGTAGTATTCAACAATAATTGGTTAATAGAGCAAGGTCTTTACGTAGTTTTAATTACCATACTTGGGAATTGAGAGGCTTTGATCCCCGTTGTTAAAATGCATTCGTAAGAGCTCTGAGATTTCGATGTTAGATTGGTTAGATTCATAAAAATAAGAACCAGCCCAACTTTCGGTCGATATTAATTTCATCATTAAATTTTTAATATTGTTGATTAAGTATATTAAATTAGTTTTATTCATTTCTTTGTTTTATATTATACAAATAGGTAAAGATAAGCGCGGTAAAGGTAATCAAACCTCATCGTCTATTCAAACTCCCCTTCCAATATTGATAGCGTGCTAAGATTAAAATGTTCGCAAATAATCAACAGCTTAACAATGCCATAATAGATGTAGTAGGGCAACTGCCCCTCAAATATTCATTAGGAAAGATCCCCTAATTAGGAGAGCAGTCGACCATGGGCAGCGGCGGATTCGCCACCTGACTTATTCACAATCACAGTTTTGTTTTCAATATCTCTCAGATTCGTATTGATATTGCGAATTGGAGATACGCTCCGTCGAACTTCGATTGTGTACAATAGCTCAGCATCTTCGAGAGAAAACTTGTATTTATTGCGATGAAATCGTTCTCTTTTGTTAGAGACGGTATGGTGCGCATAGATTTTTTATTGTTCTCAGTTTGGTACACAATTTACATACAAAAACACTCAGAGCATAATAATTTATTTAAAAGAACTAATCTATTCAGCATACGCGATTAAGTGGTAAGAAGCACCTAATGTTTTTGTAAATTACTTAGCTCTACCGAGGCCTTATCAACCACTTAAGAATTTAAGAGTCCCTTTGTTCCTAAAAAGACAAAAGGAAACCGTAATTTGCTTATAATATAAGCAGTAACTATCACTTGCTATTTACATAAAGCTCTTTTAAAGTCACTTGGAATAAGTCGTAAAGTCGTTTAAGCTACATACCTACGTTAGCAAGTTTCTAAGACGCTGTATAAAAATGTAATCTGCGCTTCGAATTAGCCACGCTAAGGCTCACACTTCAGCAAACTGGATCCATCCTGAGCCAAATGCGATGTGAAACGAGGACTATACAAATTGCGGCTAAATGCTAATGTAAATCGAAATGTTATGTTTCCAAGTGAGCGCGCGCGCACGTGCTCGCTCCCAGACTGGATTGTTAATAGGATTTCATGTATTCAGCGTCGGCGTATACGAGGATTTTTATTGCGATCTAGGATTTCGATGCTGATTCCAATCATCGTTTGTATTTTGTACACTCGCGAGCAAAAGTATGGAATCACTTAGGGTGACGGCACCAGTAATGGACACAGCACCAATTATGGACATTTTTTTCGTTGATCGAATTTATTAAGCAACTGTCGCAACATTTTGAACTGGCAACACTAANAAAAACGCGTGCTTTTATAGGGGTTAAATAGGCCGCAACTCGCGACGTATCAAACAGTTCATACAAATGTCTTTTTCGTTACTTCTTCACATCAGCCGGGATATCTTCTTAAATACTGGTGTGATTTAAATGAATTTGGTATCAATTTAAAGATAAAAGTTTAATCTTTAAAATGGTGCCACTTTTTTTGTTACTAACAAATTCGTTAGTACAGAAGTTCGCGTGGAAACAACTTCATGTAAGTGATTCCATAGTTTTGCTCGCGAGTGTAGTTTCATACGTTATCTAGGTAAACATTATAAAGCAGCATATTATTATCTAAAAAAAACATGTCTTTTGCTGCTGGCAGACCTACCTAAGCTAAGTCAATTATCTTAGCTCGCATAAGTAGCTGACGGAGTTTTCCACAGTTACTTATGAGCAAGCTGCAAGCTACTTATACAAACACTTGGAAACTGCGATAGCTATGAATTTAAACTAAACTAACTTAACTCTGCAACCAAGATTAAGACGAGAAGACTTGAGAGGAGAGTCTAAACCTGCGCTCTCGTTGGTGCTAGAGATGCCCTTGATTGGATTTTTTTTAGGATTCCTTAATCGTCACACTACAAGCGCCAAACAACATACAATAAGGTATTTTTTTGGAATTTGCATTATAGTAATATCTTAGTAACTATGTACCTAATGAATGAGTAGTGGTTACTGTAATAATGTTCCCGTAAAACAAACGTATTTCGTTAGACCTAGTTACACGAGTAAAACGCACTTATGTAAAACATTTATAATAATGTCCTATTTCACAAAGGGATACGCAAATAAACCGAATACCCATTAATTTAACGAAAACAATTTTCATTGTCGCACAATACGCATTCAGTTAACGTTTCATGGACTGTTGTTTCGTAATAGTTATTAGCGTTGAACAATGGGCAGATTTTATAGCGGAGTAGCCGAACGTTGCCGGCAATTTTCACATGAGAGCGGGTCTAAATGGAGCTGGGGCTGTCTCCATAGCCAGGCACCGAGTCGTGGTGCCTTAATCGCATCAGCTCGGCTCCAAGCGAGCCGTCATCGCCCGCCCTACCCCCCACGGGCGCTTTTTCACGCGACAAACCATTATGATTCTATTTTCATGGCAATAAGGGACGGGAAACGATTTCCATTATAATGAGCTTACTGAATTTGTTCGAGCATTGTTATGATTTGGTCTAGTGGACCTGGTTTTCGCAATCTAGTTTGTTTACGATTATATGAAAATTACAATATTATTTAAAATAATAAATGAATATCATCTTTGTTATGCTTTCTGGTTGTGTAGTTTTCTGTAACGAATGTAGGTAATTAAATGTTGATCACAAACGCTGTTTCATTATTGACATTGCCAAAGAAAACTAAAGAGACTTTGTCTCGTCCCCAAGATTAACAAAGTTATATTATTTCGGAGATAATTATACTAGTGGCATAGTGGCATTTAGACTAAATTACGATAAGTTAGAATTAGTAGAGAGAAAAAGAGTAACAGATTAGATAATATTAGCTATGTAAACCTACCTAGTCGTACCTTATCTACTGGTAGGTACTCTTATTTATTCAAAATTTAAATCAAGTTATATTTAATAAAGTGTATTTCTATTCCCATTGTTTGATAATTCATACCTTTTTTGCTCAGTTTCCAAAAAGAGTTTATATCATTTTGTTGCCTAAGTACTCTACCATCGGCAGTCTTTGCAATATTATAAAATATTCACGTAATATTTTCTTTGATATTCACAAAGAGATGTCCACCAAAGGATAGGGTATCGTAATAGGTAGATAGATCTACAGGGAGCTTATCTCCGCGGACACTCTATTATATTCAAGTATTTTTCTAGTGATATTTTATTTTTACGACTATGTTGGACAGAGGCCTTTGAAATCATATCTTTGATCTACGTTCCCATGGCTACGGATTTCAATGCGCAGTTTTCTATTTTGAGTAGATTGCGAATAAAAATGTAGAGTTTTTTAATGGAGTGAAATTAATCAATAGCGAAGTTCTACGGTTAAAAAAAACATCTATAATATGACTGTGCTGGATAATTATAGTATTTACAAAAAAAAAGTATTTAAGTATGTATGTTTATATCCGTTGTCTAGTACCCATAGTAGCTACAAGCTTTGCTTAGTTTGGGACTAGAAGCGCAGTGTAAAATGTCTAATGATATTTATTATTTATAATTATTAGCAGCACCATCCTACGTAGCACTGTGATCAACTTTCCGGTGCACAGTAGTCCCAGGTTCGGCCTGACTCTACATAGGTACCTAGTTACTGCTTATTTATTTCACTTTGCGATCAAAAATTACGTCGAAAATGACCAAAAATCTATTACCTAACCTAATGCTATTCTGATGATCGTAAAGTTTCATCAAAATCCGGTCGGCAGTTTTACACCTACTCTCACACAAACTTACAATAGTGATGAACTACACACTGTTTCAGATGAGCAATGGAAAGCGATTCCGATCGCATAATTGCATTGTATTCGTACTTAAGGCCTTGTTCACACAGCGTTGTATTACTTTATAGCAGTATTCAGTTATAAAAATTCAAGTTGTTTAGCTCTATTCTAGCTTTCTCAGTACTCACGATGGTTTCTATTGACCACTTATACATTAACGAATAACATTTAATATACTGCAAAGAACGTCGAACGGTATAGTCCCGTGTGAACAAGGCCTTACCTAGGTCGTGTCGTGTAGGTACTGCATGGTTGAAACAATAAATTCGTTTTTTACAAACACCACTATCCTATCTACGAAATCTGCGGGTAAGTAATTACCAGATGAACTAAGTAATAATATAGCTAACTGAACCTGGGCAGTTTGTACATGGAAGCTCAAAAGTAATTTAATTTTGACAGGACTGACCTACACTTTTTACACTTAACACAAAATTGATTTGATATGATTTAAATTTAAAACAATACCTACCTACTTGAATTTACTATTCGATGGCCGCCTTATAAAGAGTTAGGTAGTACCTACATCTCTACTATGTGGCAGTAGATTGACGACAAAATGCACCATTCTTAACCTGGATTTTAAAGTAGGATCTCTTACCTACTAAGTAAAATATCCTATAGGTTTATAGTGGTCTTAGTAGGTCCTAAGGTAGTATTGAGTTATCCTGAGAATAATTTTCCTGCAACTGCAATAAATATTGGCTATAGGCTCTATTACGGCACAGTTTCTATAATTGGACTTATACAGGGTGACTTTCAAATCGTTGGCATCCTTTTAATATAAGACTACTCATGATAGGTACATAGCTTAGTGCATTCCCCAAATATGAGACAAATCCAATGAGATTTTTTGTCATTACGTTAACTATGTTTGTATTAGTGTGCTCTTATAAAGAGTTTTTTAAAACTATTGAATTCCACAGTCAACAGCACATTATCCTATGAGTACATTGAAATAAGATGCCACAGTATGAAGATTGATGTGCTGTCGTCTGTACAGGATTTTAAATATTGAAATTTTAATTCATTGTATTTGACTCATATTTGGGGAATGTAAGTACCTACTAAGCTATGTATCATGAGTAGAGTCTTATTTTAAAGAATGTCAACGATTTCAAAGTCATCTTGTAGTATTCTAATTGGACAAGAAATGGAGGCAAGCCAATCCCTACCTAAATGTGCCTAAATCTTGAAATTCAAGAAAAAGTAAATAAGTAGGTATATCATCATCATCTCAGCCATAGGACGTCCACTGCTGATCATACTAGGCCTCCCCCAATGCTTTCCATGTTAATAGGTATTTAACCCCATTAAATAGGTACAAAATCATGCAAATATTTGAAAAGGGGAAGCTTAACAGTTGATTGCCTATCTAACTGTACGACATTAATAAATAAGCAGAAAAATTCGGATGAGCAAAATTGTTTCCTAGGAGATTATGGTAGGTATAGGTACCTATACCTACCATAATCTCCTAGGAAACAAACAAACAAACAAACTAAACTATGATCAGCAGTGGACGTCAAAAAACCCAAACTCGTAGACCTAGAAATTCTATGTATTAGACTCGTAGAAGATCTATAGATGACCCACGCTGAACTGTCCCGCCAAACTCAATGACAGGGGGGCGCTATCATCGTTCAACTATATGGTTTCCAACATGGCAAAAATCTGAACCTGCGATCCGGTATTGACGGTGGCGCCCCACTGTCAATGTCATCGACAGGACAGTCCAGTATTTTGGAACTATAGAACGTGTAGAGGAGCTTGACTCTACCTTAGGTTTGATATCTTTTTCACAGTGCGAGCCATACGATTGGTCTTGGCAACATTTTACATGAATTAGGTAGGTACTTTTATGAAATGGATTCCCACCATAAGGCAAATCGATTTCTTCACGTTATTCCTACTCACATGAAAATTTTTCGGTGGATCTTCTTTTCTTATGATATATGAAATCTTTGGAGATGCACAGCTACGTTCTTTCTTTAAGTAAGTATTAGTCACTAGCCGATGTAGGCATGAGAAATTTTTAAACAATGTTAGTACCTATGTCTGAATTTACCATTTCACACAGAAAAGAAAGACTAAAGTCCAGCAAAATCGCAAACACGCATGTAGTATACCTACCTATCTGCGATTTTTTAAATTTTGAGCACCATGGGAATAGGTGCTCAAAAAACTGAAAAATTTTGGCTCTTGTTTCACTTTTTGTCATTCTTTTTGCAATCTTTCCAACTTTAATAACTACATCTGATTCTAACTAATTCACTTCCATAAGCATTTAACAAAAGCAATATTCGGGCCAATTCACGCACAATCTCGAAAAAAAAAAAACAGAAGGTTATTAAGTAAATTAGGTTTTTGAAATGCCACAAATCTTGCTAATGTTTTGGCCTTTAAACAAGTAGGTATGTTGTGCTTGTGCAGCCTAGACCCCTTAGAGTAGTGTGAATCCAAATTTTCAAATTTAAAAACTTTTGCTCGCTGCGCAACATGCAAAATACTCGTACTTACTGCGGACTTGAGTCATTCTTCACGTTTAGTCTTAAAATGAGATATTAGCAAATAATAAGTACTCTTACTTAGGTACTAACTTATTTAAAAAGGTACCTTTTTAGATGTTATTAGATTTTCAATTACATAAGACAAACCGCAGCGGCACTGTACTTAAGTCTTGTAGTTTGAGATGAATGGAAGTTGATGTAAAACCGTTAACCCAGATCCCAGTTTTTAACTTTTAATTATGTACTCACGGAAAGCTGCTAGACCAGCACCAAAAGCCAGCTGCTGATGCGGCAGCAGCATCGGGCGCGGGTACACGGGCAGCGGCGGCGGCGGCCACATCGGCAGCTCCTGCTGCGGCTGCGGCCCGTCGCTCTCCTCCACCTCCACGTCAGAAGACGACTCGCACTCCAACTCCTGCCTCTCCACCTCACATTTCTTCTCCTCCTCCAAATGACCGTAAATCCGAGCGAAAAACTTCCGCGGAGACGACGGCCGCGGCGCCTTCAACGACTGCTGCTCAACAATCTTCTCGGTGCTATCCTCACTCATCGTTACAGACTCATCACACGTGCTACCCCAATGAGATGGACACGTGCATTGATACGTCAGGTGCCACCCGCGACATCCCTCGGGAGAGTTCCCGACCCCGCCCCCTTATCCCGAACGAAAATGTAAGTTAGGGTGAGGGTGGAAAGCGACCAATAAGCGCACGGAACGCGACTCAAGCCTTCGGGTGGGCGTGTCCTGGCGTTTTTTACTGAAATGTCTTAAAAGTTCTTGAAAAGTTAAAAGTGGCTGATAAAGATGAATACAAAAGACGTTTTATAGTTATTTTTATCCCGCTTGGGTACTCCATTCAACCGCATACTTTGAAGAGATTGTAATAGGAAAATTGAAATCATAAACATTATAAAATTACTTAATTAATGGATAGGTAAAAACTTTTTAGATGTTTATTCAGTTGTGCTGCAAGTCTATGGCTAGCTTGCATTGACTCAAGTCAATTTGATGTTTTTGACAAAATTGTGCGTAATGCTGAAGAGTTTTGCTAATAAAATGCAAAAGAATGCGGCTGTTCTAACAACTATCTGTATGCTGTTGTGTTTTGCCTTGAACTACACGTTTCCACTTCACAGGGAAAGTTTGAAGTTGTCCTCAAGTAGTTCGGAATATGCAAACAGTAAGATCCTGTAACATTCTTATTATTCTTTACCAGCTGAAGTTTTCATAAGCCTCCCTGAAAATTCCTTTACTTTACAAGCATTTAGCGAAGCATTAGGGCTTGGGTCTTCTAACTATGTATTCTAATTAATTCGGATAAGTAATGTTATTGTACTGATTTAGACTGAAATGAGATCTATAGGTATGTATGTACCTACTTTCTATTTTCAGATACGCACCATTGGGATGACTTTTTACATTCCGCAAGCATCATTGACCGTACAAAGAAAATGGCGTATGACTTAGAAGACGTTCTAAAAAGAATTAAAAATACCGCGCAAGATTTTGGGAAGTCCCACGCCAAAGATCCAAAGAGAGACGACACGAACAGACTCAGTGAAGAAGATCTACGTCAATACGAGCAGCTCGTGATAATGAAAAAGTATCCTTATCTAGACCTCAAAGAATTGGAATTCAAATACAGTCCTCTATCCAGCAAGAATACAAGACAAAGCTTCGGATTTGAATCTGATGTAAACTTAAGAGCAGATTCTAATTTGTGCGATACTGAAGAAGGGCTGAATGTTGAAATAATAAACAGAGGACTCTCAGGATTTTCTATTCCCCCAAAGTTGACCAAGGGAGTAGCCATGGTCGAAAGTAAATCGAAGCTTAATAACCTGAAAAATGATAAGGCTGAAGATTCTGTCATGTTGTCGAAAAAGTCGCCACAGAGGGAAACTTTAGGCAATCTAAGAAAAGAAAATTTAAAATATGAACATAATAAAAATAAATAGTTTAATGTTTATTAAAATACTGCATTTTATTTTACATATTACACGTCGAAATCAATATATTTTCCAGTTATCTAATTTCTAATACATACTAAAAATTATGGCAGTGACGCCAAAACCGCTGGGCTACTTACTTATTACTATTGTTGCTTCAATAAGTATTTAAAAAAACAACCTCAAACGCTTTTACAATTTCTTATTTTGCTAGCGGACCTTGTCACATTAAATAGGAAGGTAGGTACTTATACTTAGTACCATGATGTCTTAATAAGACATCATGGTACTAAGTATAAGTTTCTAAAGACATAATATGTCTTTAGAAACTTTTCAGTATAATACAACTACTTTAGAAACTTTTCAGTATAATACAACGACAGATTTTAAAAAAATTGGTGAGAAGAAAAATCTTTCGTTCGATTCCGCCCAATAAAACAATCTTAATTAACTATTTTATTTTATTTATTAGGACAACCAACAAGAAAAACACGCATACATGGAATTAAGTATACAAAGTGATTAAGGGGCAACATGAGGTTAAAACGTTTTTCTCTTATCTCTAAGGTTTAAAACGTACAGCTGAGATACGGTTCACTCTTTCGAAAGCTCCCGCCACAAAGTAAGGTCACTACCGTCAAAATGGCCAGTCAATAGTGATGTTAGTACTAATCGATTTAAAATTGATCGATTACGAAATGTTTAATCGTCGTAACATAATATTGATTTTAACTTGGATTAAGTAAATATATGCTTGTGTCAGGCAGTCATTCTTAATATTCGTATTCGCTGAGATATATTTCGCCTTCCGCATTTCCGCCGACGCGGCGACGACCTCATAAAGGTAGTTAACCAACCGTGCGATGCAGATGTGTGGAAGTTATTGGGGGAGGCCTATGTTCAGCTCAGCAGTGGACGTTCTGTGGCTGAAATGAAGTGATTATCGTAAGCTGGCCCGGGTCTCCTCCAGCACTACGTACTACGTACATGTTTTCCACTGGGCAAGGAGAGCAAAAACATTTATTGATGCAAACAAAAATGTGTATTAGTTGTGAACATGTTTTTGTTGATAGTGTAGGACAAAACACGCGCTGGAGACCTGGCTTAATTATATCAATGCAATGTTGTTGCCTACTATGGCATACTTAGAATTTCTCTAGGGCTTTCGTACAAATCATCACGTGCGAGCGATTAATTGTTCAATTGTTTGGTTGTCTCTACATCACTAAAAACTTTGACATTGACAGATTGCAGCTGGCAGTGACGTTTTATCTTGCTCTTGATTAAAAATTATAAAGTGATTTTGTTTTTGTAATCGTTTGTCGTTTGTCTAACGATTGTGGTCATTATTGCTGAATACTGCTGTTTTAATTAAGCAAATCTTTTTATTAAAAAGGTAAAGTACTTTACAATTTCTTTCAAAAGTTAGATTTTATAAAATAACTCGAGTCCTTACTTCTACTCTCTTTTTAAAAATAATATTGTAGTCTTCGTAAATTGATCATTAAAGATGGCTCAAATTCTGAATTGACTGTAACAATTCTTCAAGGTTCCACCTCTAAGTGGTTATAAATTAAAATCGCTCAAATGAAATAAATTAAACTACAAGTACTACACGCCGGTAAGTGTATGGGTTACTAAATTAAAGCTAAGGTTGTTTTATTGTTAACTATAGAGTGTAACTAATGAATGTTGCAGACTAATATGGAGTTACAGTGCACAGTGCAGAATTATGACTGGGGCAAACTGGGATCTGACAGTATGGTGGCCAAGCTGCTCTCTAGTGCCGATAGCAAGGTCTCTATCGACGCTTCAAAACCTTACGCTGAGTTATGGATGGGGACACATCCCAACGGGCCTGCACTGATAATAGACAGGAACGTGCTGCTCGGAGATTACATCAAAGATAACCTGGATGCTATCGGCCCAGTGGTCAAAAGCAAATTTGGTGTTTCTGTGCCGTTTCTGCTTAAAATTCTGTCAATAAGAAAGGCATTGTCTATACAAGCTCATCCTAAAAAGGTAACTGATGAACTAAGTTGTAATTTAAATCAAATTGTTTATTGGTATTTCAAATACATATGTGAAATAGCAACAAATTCAGGACAACCAATTTAATAGCAACAAACCAATTTATGATGCAATTTCAAAATATTGTCAATTAATGCCACTATTTATCCTGAGACTGATCCAATGTGAAGATATTTATAATTTCTTATCACAAGAGATAATTCTAATTTACTGCCTATGACTGTGTGGTAGGTAATTCAAAGCCCACATGCAATAATGATAGTGTTATCAACTATGTTGTATCTTTGTCAACTCATGATCAATAATTTGTCTGTTTGTCATTATAGGAACACGCTGAAGAACTTCACAAAAGTTTCCCGGACATGTATAAGGACCCGAATCATAAGCCGGAGCTTGCCATAGCGTTAACACCGTTTGAGGCTCTCTGTGGATTTAGACCTTTGTCTGAAATTAAGATCTTTTTGACAAGTAAGTTATGAACAGGCTTAATATTAAAAGAACTATAATAATAATAATATCAGAGAGAATGAACTGTGTGTGTAAGTTTATTAATAGCTCTTCCCTATTATAACTCTCAGAACCAATGCATATCTATTTAAATCCATACAGGTACACCTTGTATTTAATTAAACTAACAAGATTTAATTGAATGGAATTAAATATCTTTTTACTTCTTATATTGCAGAACTACCAGAGCTGACAGAGATACTTTCAGCGGACAGTGTCAGTGCCCTCTTAGCCCAAGAAGACCAAGGAGACCAAAACATACTCAAACAGGTCTTCCATTTGCTCATGACTGCCAGTAAAGATGCACTTGCATCAAGCTTGAGCAAATTCCTGACAAGACTGGAGAAAGAAGGTAAATAATATTAAAATATTCCATCACTTTATTAGTTTTTTTTATTAGAGTGACATTGGCAAACTTGTAGAAATATTATAATGTACAAAAAAGGAAAAAGAATTTAAAAAGGCAATGCATATTTTAAACATTATTTTCCCGTTGTCTTTTTATTTCTTACTATTACAAGGTTATTCAATGTTCTTTTCAGATGCATCAGTACAGTTATCACTACTCTACCAGCTTGTCCAAAGACTGCACAGTGACTTCCCTGGTGATGTTGGCTGCTGGGCTCCATACTTCATGAACTATTTAGAGCTCAGGCCTGGTCAAGCCATCTTCCTCAAGCCTAACTTGCCACATGCGTATATTAGTGGAGGTAATTGCAGTTTGTTCTGGCTATTAACTAATAGAAACATTAAACCTTATGGATTCAACTATGTTCACCTGCAGTTGCAAGAGGATCAAGTAATTTAATAAAATATATTACACAATCAAATACATACAAGTTACACAATAAATATTATAGTCATACATTGAAGAGGAAAATATGGAAGTACCTACAACTATAGAAAACCACATTTTCTTGCTGAATGCAAGACAGCAATAAAATCATTTATCCAAACATAACATAAGGAAAAAGCATAGGGAAAAAGACTACTTTCGAGTTCTTAAATGCGTTTTTTTACTTTGAACTATTGAGGTTTCCAAACTATTTATATTTTAGTGGACTCTGGTAGGGCCCAAAAGGTTATTTTTATTTTTTTATTTTCTTAAGTGTTTTTTTTATGCATAACACAGCAGGTATTTGACCACGATCACACCTGATGTTAAGTGGGATGCAGTATAGGATGGTACATATCTGCCCTGTAAGTGCTTATTCACTCTCGCCTTGTTGTTATGAAGGCGCTGGATGCAGGCCGCTACCAACCGGCCATTATGGAAATCATTTAGGCTGGCCTGTGTTCAGCAGTGGACATCCTATGGCTGAAATGATGATGATGAAGTGTCATCGAAATTTAATAAAAACTAGCTTTTGTTGTCTACAGACTGCGTAGAGTGCATGGCGTGTTCAGACAACGTGGTTCGAGCGGGTCTCACTCCCAAACACATCGACGTGCCCACTCTAGTAGGCATGCTGGACTATGGCAGCTACACCAAAGATGAACTGCTCTTCAACCCGAAGTTGGAAGATGAAAACTGCTGTATCTGGCGACCGCCTGTGCCTGACTTTGCTGTTGCGAAAATTAAGGTAGGGAGATTATGATTTTTTATGAGAAATGTCGCTGCAGAATGATTTGCGTTCACTTATTAGTAAGGCGCCTAAATTAGGGCGTTTGAGACCTATTTTCAAAAGAAACTATCTAAAATTTTATTGTAAAGTGCAGTATTATACTCGTATGGAACAATTATTTACCGTTTTTACTAAATTCATCTATTTAGGATACACAAATTTGGTGGTGGGGGCCCGGTGACCTGTAACACAGGTATTCATTTACCTAGCTCAGGCTCCGGTCTCACACAATCATTAATGAGTTTTCTTTAATGTTTTGTATATTGTATCCTGTATTTTTGTGTGAGAAATAAATAAATCTTATTATTATTATTATTATTTGTACGCTTTGGAGCTCACGGGTCAAAAGTGGCCCGGTCCTTTATAAGGCTTGCGTGGGGATACAGATCCAACACGTAGAGGCCGTTTTAAGCGCAAAACAATCGACAAAAGTGAAAGTGGTGCACATGCTGGATCTAGTCTCTGACTATATCATGGGATGTAGCCAGAGACCATCCCCAGCCTGTGCACAGGAGCTATTGCAGTTATTGGAGAATGGACTAGGGTTATGGATGAAGGGTGGATGGACTGGTTACTGGGCTATGGATGGAGACTACGGGACACCTGCCTGGTTCATAGTCTCGGACTGAAATAATGGCAGGCGGTGACTAGCCAGCGACTAAATGGGCCCCCCCTGGCGTCATGGGTCGTATAGACCGGACTGAGGGGCAACATTGGCGTCTGCCAGCTCAGGGGTGTAGAGAGGTGTGCTGCGCTTTCTCCGAAGTTACTCGCGGCGTTATGCCCTTTAACACTTCCACCCCTGGAGCATATAGCTCTAGCGACTCCACTCTGGCCGGCCGGTTNAAATAAGCACTTTTTATTAAAATTTTGTCTAAATTTTTGAAATTCTTAACTGTGTACACATCACAAATGTAACAAATTACATTTGGATCGTTGAGGCAACTTCTTGGCAATGCAGACATGATATTAAAATAAATTTCGTTATAAAAATATACCGATAACATTACAAACTGTGCAACCAAAGTACCGATTAAAGCTAAAATTTAAAACTGAGGGTAGATCAAAAACTACACGTAGGAAAAAAAAAAGAAAAATATTTTTATTATTACTAATACACACCTAATAATAAACTATCAACAGAATTTCGGCACCATTTTAATTTTGATTTTTTGTTGACCAGTGTAATTTAACCCAAAATCTAAATTACACACCTAAACTTGATTTCTGTGCACGCACTCACTTACATACTTTTTTACCATATCTAACCAAACTACATAATAATAAAGTAACTAAAATGATTTCACTAGCTACGACTTCTAATTTTATAATGTTTTATTATGGATAGCTCTCTATCTAATATTAATGAAATAGACAGCACAGAAGTAGCGGTCTCTTTCAAGTGTCCAATAAACAATTTCTCACTTTTTCTAACAGTAGATACATCGGACCTCACAGTAATATCTCAAAATATACGCAGTATTTACGCTAACTTGGATGACTTTCAACTAAATTTGTGTAATTTTAATTTTCTGCCTGATGTAATTATATTTAGTGAATGTAGAGTAGATCTTAACAAAAACATCCCACAAATTGCGAATTATGCATCATTTCATACAACCAAACACCTAAACAAAGCGGATGGTGTAGTTGCTTTTATTAAAAACACACACAATGCTACTGTAAACGAGTTAAGCCTGACCCATGCATCTGGCTTACAAATTTGTATAAACGATGTTATTATTATAGGCATTTATCGCTCACCATCCATCAAAAATGCAGATGAATTTATACACTCCTTGGGCCTACATTTAGAATCTATTGAAAAACATAAAAGCGTTATATTAACGGGGGACATAAATATAAATTTACTATTCAAGTCTGATGAGCCGTCGCAAACTCGCTCAAATCGCATTCACTATTTAAATATGCTAGCTGTTTATGGTATGCTCCCGGGACATATCCTACCAACAAGAGGCGAAAGTTGTCTTGATCATATTATAATTAATTTAGAACAAAATAAAACGGCAACCGTTGCTGTTCTTGATGCTACAATAACAGACCACTCCATGACATTCCTAAAATTGTCCAACCTTAGAAAACTAAATATTAATGAATTAAATACAGTTAAAACGACAATTAATTTTAACAAAGCTTTGGAATCTCTTAAAACACATAAACTTAATGATCTGTTGACCTTAGCCGATCCCAACCTTATTGCAGAGCTATTTATAGGTACCATACAGAGATGCCTTAGGTCAAATACTATCACTACCCCAATACCTAGACAAGAACGAACTATTAAGCCTTGGATGACTGCGGGTGTTCTTCGCTGTATTAGGAACAGAAATGCTATGCAAAACAAATTGAGATTGGATCCAGGAAACCAAATTCTAAAAATTACGTATAGGCGTTATCGAAACTTCTGTACCAATATAATAAAGAAACTAAAGCGTAATTACGACAAGTACCAACTTGAAAAGGCTATAAAAAATCCTAGAAAATTATGGACTACCATAAATAATATTACCCAGCGTAAACCTCCAAAATCCCAAAACTCAGAGCTTTTAAATATTGCTAGCTCTCCAAAAGAATCACTGGATACAGTCAACGCTTATTTTGCTACCGTCGGTCAAAAATTGGCAGAAAATATCAACGCTAACATCTGCTTAACACAGGAAAATGAAAGATCAAACATGTCCTTGACTTCGTCATTTGCCCTCATTCAAACGGACTCTGATGAAATGCTCTCGACTATCCTGTCTATGAAGTCCAATAGCGCCCCAGGGTGGGATAAAATCCCGACACGATTTCTAAAACTAGCAAGCAATGATATTGTGCCTGTATTAGTACACCTTGTAAATCGGTGTTTTGAACTTGGTGTGTTTCCAACGGTTTTAAAACAAACTATAATTACACCCATACATAAAAGTGGTGCCAGAGACCATCCCCAGCCTGTGCACAGGAGCTATTGCAGTTATTGGAGAATGGACTAGGGTTATGGATGAAGGGTGGATGGACTGGTTACTGGGCTATGGATGGAGACTACGGGACACCTGCCTGGTTCATAGTCTCGGACTGAAATAATGGCAGGCGGTGACTAGCCAGCGACTAAATGGGCCCCCCCTGGCGTCATGGGTCGTATAGACCGGACTGAGGGGCAACATTGGCGTCTGCCAGCTCAGGGGTGTAGAGAGGTGTGCTGCGCTTTCTCCGGAGTTACTCGCGGCGTTATGCCCTTTAACACTTCCACCCCTGGAGCAATATAGCTCTAGCGACTCCACTCTGGCCGGCCGGTTAAGGCAAGCCAGAGGTGAAAGTCCTGCAGACCCTCTCGGATTCCACTTCGGCAAGCCGAAGACGAGGGTCTTGACCGACTCTCGGGAGCACTCGGATTAACAACTGGCCCCGTGGTGTCGCTACTCACCAACAGCTCGCCACAAAGCTGCCCTGCGGGGCTTATTATTATTATTATTATTATTATTTTACCACATAATGTTGCTCCTAGTCGCTTTCTAGGCTGCATGTATTCAAGATAATGTCATCGATTTACCTCAAAGATTAAAGCTGAATTCAAATAATCTGTGCAACCTGGATACCTAACCAGTATCATATATTAATTAGTCAGGTGAGGTCAATCGATCGAGAAGAATTTTATTTACCACAGTTATCATTTAATTAATTTCGCAACAGGTAAACGGTGACGACGAGCCCTACAACACAATCATCCGTCCCAGCCCCAGCCTCATAATTGTCACGTCTGGTTCCGGAGAGATCTGCGACACAGAGCCCATTCCAGCCAGGCCTGGAGTAGTAGTGTTCCTAAAGGCCAGTCGTCAGCTGACTCTCACACCTGCACCGGGAAGCCATCTTGAGGCCTACCAGGCTATATGCAATGTGTGAATAGCAAAAATATATTTTACTTCACCTTCATCATCGTCATCATACATACATGACATTGGCGAAATCGTGGTTCCCAAAATCAAGTCATCGCCATAAAAAAGAAGAGATCCCATGTAATTGGAATTGGAAAGAATTTACTTGGGGTTCCTAAGAGATCTGTGACACAGAGCCCATTATAGCAAGACCTGGAGTAGTTGTGTTCCTAAAGGCCAGTCGTCAGCTGACTCTCACACCAGCACCGGGAAGCCATCTTGAGGCCTATCAGGCTATATGCAATGTTTGAATAGCTAGATAATACTTTTCACTTCACCTTCATCATCGTCATCATTGCACACGTGACATTGGCGAAATCGTGGTTCCCAAAATCAAGTCATCGCCATAAAAAAAGAAGAGATCCCAAGTAATTGGAATTGGAAAGAATTTACTTGGGGTTCCTAAGAGATCTGTGACACAGAGCCCATTATAGCAAGACCTGGAGTAGTTGTGTTCCTAAAGGCCAGTCGTCAGCTGTCTCTCACACCCGCACCGGGAAGCCATCTTGAGGCCTATCAGGCTATATGCAATGTGTGAATAGCAAAAATATATTTTACTTCACCTTCATCATCGTCATCATACATACATGACATTGGCGAAATCGTGGTTCCCAAAATCAAGTCATCGCCATAAAAAAGAAGAGATCCCAAGTAATTGGAATTCGAAAGAATTTACTTGGGGTTCCTAAGAGATCTGTGACACAGAGCCCATAATAGCAAGACCTGGAGTAGTTGTGTTCCTAAAGGCCAGTCGCCAGCTGACTCTCACGCCCGCACCGGGAAGCCTCTTGAGGCCTATCAGGCTATATGCAATGTGTGAATAATGAATGTTGTCTTTTAGTTCATTAATTCACATTTATCATCGTCATCATTAAGCACACGTGACATTGGCAAAATCGTGGTTCCCAAAACCAAGTCATTGTCAAAAAAAAGAAGAGATGCCAAGAAATTGGAAATAAATAAGAATTTTATTGGGGTTCCTAAGAGATCTGTGACACAGAGCCCATAATAGCAAGACCTGGAGTAGTTGTGTTCCTAAAGGCCAGTCGCCAGCTGACTCTCACACCCGCACCGGGAAGCCATCTTGAGGCCTATCAGGCTATATGCAACGTGTGAATAGCAAAAATATATTTTACTTCACCTTCATCATCGTCATCATACAAACATGACATTGGCGAAATCGTGGTTCCCAAAACTCAAGTCATCGGCATAAAAAAGAAGAGATCCCAAGTACATAATTGGAATTAGAAAGAATTTACTTGGGGTTCCTAAGAGATCTGTGACACAGAGCCCATAATAGCAAGACCTTGAGTAGTTGTTCCTAAAGGCCAGTCGCCAGCAGACTCTCACACCCGCACCGGGAAGCCATCTTGAGGCCTACCAGGCTATATGCAATGTTTGAATAGCTAGAAAATACTTTTCACTTCACTTCCATCATCGTCATCATTGCACACGTGACATTGGCAAAATCGTGGTTCCCAAATCAAGTCATTGTAAAAAAAAAGAAGAGATCCCCAGAAATTGGAAATTAATAAGAATGTTATTGGGGTTTCTAAGAGATCTGTGATACAGAGCTCATACCAACAAGACCGGGTGTAGTGGTATTCCTAAAGGCCAGTCGCCAGCTGTCTCTCACACCTGCACCGGGAAGCCATCTTGAGGCCTATCAGGCTAAATTAAAATAAAAATATGTTACCTTCATCATCGTCATCATACACACGCGACATTTGCGAAATCGTGATTCCCATAACCATTACTCTAAAAAAAAAGATCGGTAACATTTTGTGAAAGTGAGAATTAAAAGGGAATCCCAATAGAGTTCGAATTTTCTCAGGATTTTTGCATCTACATAGTGCCAAATTCAATCATCTCATTAAAAACTGAGGCAGTAAATTTCTTCAAGTGAAAACTCTTCGATGCTGAACAATACAAATTGTTTAATAATAAAGAGCTCAAATGTAAACAACGAATATTTATTAGATTTAAATGGTTTTAAACTGTTAAGTTTGACTGTATGATTTTATTTTACTGTTTGACTTGCCAATTTTTATCAATGTAGGTAATTGTTATTAACCCTTAAGTAACATCCTTATTTTTGGTTACACTTTGAACACCCTGGGGCAAAAAATTACCCCAAACGGAAATTGAAAAATTTTAAGTAAAATTTTAAAATCACTTTAATTTTGTGATTTACAATGTATTATTGGACTCACTAAATTATACGATTTCTTTAAAAGAACGTCTATCTAGCGTAAAGAAACACCTTAAATCAATCATAACAAAAAACAAATAATTTGTCATTGGCAACTAATAGTCTCCACAATGGTCTTTTAGAAAAATCTTGGAAAGTTATTGTGGGAACCAAAAACTTACACTAATCGGACATTAAATAGATGTTTTATGCATATTTTAAACACAAAATGAAATAAAACGAAAATTTCTGGCTTTATAATAAAGCAAAATAAAAAAACTTATTTTTTTTATAAAATTATGAAAAAATATTTTAAATTATTTTTTATTTATTTTGTTCCTAATTATTTTTTTTAAACACATCAGACACGCTGAATTACTACGTAATTATCACTTTTGAGCCCTATTTCTGTGTCGAATTTATGAACGCTCTGTTCTGAGGGGATGTCTTCAAAGTTCGAAAAGTATCATGTAAATCAAGCTCTAATTATCTCTCTGCATTCTAGAGACAATGTGCTACTTAATCGTCATATAAATATTTACTCATTTTGTTTCAATGTTGTAAAAACCTATTAATAACATGTTAGGTGATGATAAATTAAAGTATGCGTAACTAACACCCTGGGGTAAATTTCTGCCCCACCTACCTGTAAAAGCGAAACAGATGATTTTTTTCACATCCCGCATCTACGAGCTTAAAGCGCACACTCTGGATTGAGAATACACAAAACGACATTGCACTAGCTACGCTAGAAAAAAAGATAAGTAAATTTATCTGCGCCTGGGGTAAAAAATTACCCCACGGTGTTACTTAAGGGTTAATATGTATGACCCTTGATATAATTTTGACTAGAAATTAATTTTATTTGACATACCTATAATATTTTTGTTATAAAATTAAGTACCTATTTATAAGTGTGATGATTATAAGAAATTATTTTTGCGATTTCTATTGAGATTTCAGTTCCTTCTAAGGCCTCAGCCTCGAACTTAGCGGGCAGCGGGGCGGCGGCGGCGGCGGCGCGGGAGCGGCAGGATCTTATGCGTAAAATCAAATAGACCGGTTCTCGAAAACAGCGGCGCGGCAGCGGGCAACGAGCGGGCAGAGCGCACTCCTTCTTTTGCCCACAATAAATCGAGCGTTAGGAATAAATTTGAATCGAAATAAAATTGTCGCCGTTGTTCAGACATTCCGTTTGCGAATAAAAACAAATATCTCGACAACACAACCCCGAACACAAAACATCGCCGCTAAAGCGCCGCGCGAGCTGCCCGCTTGTTTCGAGAACGGGTCTGCGTTGCCCGCCCCGCTCCAGCGCCGCCGCCGCTCCCGCCCCGCTGCCCGCTAAGTTCGAGGCTGAGGCCTTAGACGGGATATACCTAAATGCGTGTCGAAATTATTAACTAATAATATTTTATTTATCGTATCAGTATTTTAATATGTTATATTGTTAAGAAAATATAAGTTTAATTTGTAAACTTAACTTTTTAATTCAGTGCCAACACGGTAACACGGCAAAGCCCTCAGCAAATTTATGACAGCTCTCCATCTTATCAATTCAAAAAATCTTGCAAACCGCATACTATCAACAGTTTCTGACAGATTTCTATTGTAGTTAATTGCTGATATTATAGGCCTTTATTTATACGTTGTTGTGATATTCTCACTAATTTTATAAATTGGAGCAGAAACAAGGAATTCGCTGCGGGCTGTATAGCGGTTGCGTGCGGTGGCACTTACAAAAGTGTTCCTAATAATCGAGTGCCCTATATAAGTAAAATATAGTCTAAATTGATTTACACAACAGCCTTTTATTTATTATTTTTGAGACAACTTTGCTACACCTTCTGTGTCTGTCTCAATTTTGAGATAATCTGTGCACCCCTAGACAAAGAAACGTGACGGTTTTAATACCGAAATCGCTTAGCTCCGACTTTTTTGTATAATTACCTACTTCGGTATATGAAACGATATCGAAATTGAATCTGCCACAAATACAACTTTTTCTAAGGGTAAAATCGGAAAAAACGTTTTTGAGGACAACACTCGGTGCTTTGTCATATTAAGTCTATGCAAATGGAGCATACAGCAAAATGTAGTAAATGGTAGAGACGTATTTTTAATGTTCCCACATTACCAACTGCAGATTGCTCTGATATTGAAAACTTATTTCGTTGCGGTTATCAAAAAACGCTTCCGCACAGAATATCTATGCACAACTAGCAAAAAGTTAACAGCTCGAAACGTCTTGTGCAAAGAGATTACGTCGCGAATCTAATAGCGAGACCAAATAATTTTTCCTCAAACTATTGGCAACGATCACTTAGACACAGGTTATTCAAGATTTTATTTCATTAACCTTTTTGTGGGTTTCGGCGCACTTAAGATTATGATTTTACCCTTTCTTCTGAAAGTCGAATCCAGGGCCACAGTTTGCAAACCCATGTGTTATTATTCTACCAATATTGTACACAGACACAATCACTTACTACTTATACTTACGCAAGTACCTAGGTACTTACTTATCGTCATATAAATCAGACCGTTAACTGGTAACTGAAATTGAAACTTTTTACCCACCACGCCTGTTTACTCCATACAAGTTCATTCTCCATATGGTCAATTATCCATATAAGAAATCCTTAATTGGTTGTAATATGGCAGTGATTAATTTTCTATTATCAGTGTCCTGCTGTTTGCCGATTAAGATTTTTAGAACAACTTGACAATGCCATGAATGTTTTTTTGTCACCTCTATCCGCATAATACATAGTTATGAGATTCGTGTGTCAAGAGCAATTTGAGAAACACTGATAAGTACCTACAGTGTGTAACATGGATAACTTTATTTGATCTAAACTTAAGTTACCTAGGCACATTTTTGCTAAATGCCATTATTTATTCTGATTCCTAGTTAATTTTCTAGCGTAAAATGTCTTGAGCACTACCTACTACTAACTTAAGTCACTGAAGTATGTGTAAAGTATTTTCCTTGAAAGTAACTAGATGATTATAGGTTTACTTTGCAGTTTTCTGTTCCTACGGACGCAATCAAGAGACTGTTATTTAAGCATTTTGACATTGTTAAATAAACATCAACTATTTCTCATCGCGGAAAATTGCATTGGTCACGTGCGAAACTGACTCGCCATAATTAAATGGGTGCCTTTCGCAACCTCTTTCCACATTTTAATTCGCACAGATTGTTTCTATTCGAAACTACGAGACTAGGCCTAATATCGGTTGCCCTCATCTCTGCTGTTTGCGGAATCGAAAAAAGTTGGTACTTTAATTGTGGTTTAAATCGTTCTTTAACTAAGGTCAGGTAGGTTTTAGTTGCACAATATTTTAAAAAATCCCGTCCGATTTGAGGGAATGATTCTGAAGACAACCTTTTTGTATGGTGACAATATCAAAGCCTATGGTAAAAAAAATGGCGCGGGTGTGCATACGAAGGCGTAACTACCACAGCCATACAAACACAAGTATAATTTTTCAGAAGACATAGACATACATTTTCTAGAGAACTCTAGAGTTCTAGAAGGACTACACAAACCAATTTAAATGAAAAATTTGGCAATAACTACTTACTCTACTTAGGTAAAGTTAAGTTTCATGTGTTTATTGCGCAATGCTGGATGATGCCCAAATTGCAGCGGTTACGTCAGCAATGTTTATGGCTCTTGGCGAAACTTTGGGCGAAGTACGGGCTGTGATTTGCATTTGATCGAGATTAATTATACTAAATTATGTACCGAGAAATTCGTGACCGGACTACCTTTGAACGACTTCGAAGCACTATGCTTTTAAAACAGATCAATGCGTACAAGGAAGCTTCTTATTGTGTTGGTCTTTATTTCTGGTCGACCATGGTCTAATCTCAGTCGATCAGGGAAAGGGCCAGTGTTAGAACAAAAAGAGAATTTGAACAGGCAATAAAAGAACGTGATTGTAACAAGGAAACACAATATCAACCCTAATTGAGTAAACCTTTTGATAGCCCAGTGAATCTGCCCTCGCTGCTATCGATTTTTAAAGCACAAAGTTGTACCAGACATTACTTACTTACACACCCTTATTACTACGTAACTTTTATAACGTTACACAACGTTAACCTTGCATTTGATTTGAAGTTACAAGAGCAAACTTGACCGAGGATTTATTATTTCGATATCGATCGATAAGTAAACTTGACACATCGCTACAAGTCATTCTAGTTGCCGTTGAAGTGTAGACAAACAACGTTGCCGACATCACCGTGGCTTACTGCAGTGATTTGACCTGTATAAGCTCTGACATTGTATTAATTTCACACATGATTGCGTGTCAGCTTATGTTTGTAAATGACTCGTCGAAAGAGCTTTTGGTTATCACAGTTTTGACTTGTGTGAATTGTTTGTACCTAGCTATCAAACAAGACATTGTTAACATTGTGTGTTAAGTTACCTACCATAATGTATAGGACATATATGGTAGAAAAATCGGATTATTAATCTTATTATTTTGAGGAATAAATTGACCAAAGTGGAAACACATTTTAAGTGGGTGTATAAAAGTTACTTTAAGCTTCTATCACTAACAACAAAATAATAACAAGATCCTTGGAAATATGTACCTGTAGCAATTAGTAAGTGTTTTAAAAGTAAATTCAAACACAGAGGTCAATTAGCTTTACAATAAATTAACTAACCCACCGTTAATGACCCACAACAATTTGTCATAGCTCTCCATTTATCAATAGTCAAAAACGTGGGCAAGGTTGCTATTTGCCGAATGAGAATTAGATCTTATCCCCGGGCAGTACGTAAAAGCGAAAAGATATCTGATCAATGAATCGGCACGTACCCACCAGACCGGCCCTGGCTTTGCTGTAATT